GGACGATGGAGTTTTTTCCGATAGCACTGACTGCCGACCTTCATGTTGCAACCGAGGAGGAGGAACCAGTTGGGTTGGTGGCGGCGGTGCAGGAGTTTCCTGCTCGGCCTTTTTGGTGCTCGCTTTGAAGTAGCTTGCGATACCCATCTTGACTGATATGGTCTAGGAATACTGTAAACAGAAACTTTCCCAGTTTGCCTTCCCTAGGCAATGGGCTTATATAAGTCCCAAGCCTTTTCCACAGAGTTTGAGAAACCACTATGAGAATTCTTTCACAACTATCTCTAGTCCGAATGTGAATCCCCGATGTGGAACGAGTGATGTATGGTGAGTGTTGGCAGCAGGACAAGAGTATCCTATGCAGTGAGATGTGCCGTATGTAAGTGACTGTAATCCACTAAACAGGGCAGCACGGGCTTCGATGATATAAAGAAACAAGATGTGCTATTGCAAAGTGGGGAGCACAATCCCAGGCAACAAGGCCAGGCACTTGAACGAAACGAGTGGTGCTGGGAAGAGAAGTTGTAAGTGAATGTGGTGTGGACGAAAAACGAAAGAGATGCCCAAACACCTTGTCCAGCTATGCAATATTGGCCGAGAATGCAAAGCCTGCAGGTCTGATGAGCGAGGGGAAGGAGGCAGAAGATAAAGAGATGCAACGACGTATAAAAGAAGTACGATTACAGAGAGAGAGGGAGTAGGGAGGGTGGGGGGTGAAGCAGGGCAATTGTTGAGGATGTACTTACGGATGCTGGACCAGGGACGAGAGCAGGCCAGGGCCTGTGTGGCCGCCCAAGGAGGCTGGTGGACTGGATTCTCAAAGCATCCCGATCGTTGGTTACCGCTCGATCTCTCGGTCTGGTGTGTGAAGTATCATCCTATACAGTATGTAGGTACCTCGGACTTTGTGGATAAAGGCAGCACCTTTTTGGGCTGGAGCTGAGAGCAGAAATGGAGAGACAGCAGAGTTTGATCAAAGCGTAGCCAGGGGAGGGGCGTGTGGATTGCGATGCAAGGTTGTGGGCGCAACGAGCTGCAGCTCTTATGCGCCAAGATGCATATATTGCTATTGTGGGAGGGGATATGTCGAGGAACAAGAGCGAGCTGATGGCCAGTGGCCTCCGCTTGAACGCCACGCCAAGGATCAAGACTTTCAAGTGGTCAGTAGGATACGAAGGCAAAAGAGGACGGGCCATCCTCTCGGCAAAGCGGCCAGCCAGGAGAAGATCTGGCTCGAGTTCGTGCCCAACCTCCAGCCACGAATCAAATCAGATAGACGTCTAGATAGAGCTCTCACTTGAGAAATGCCGGGTTTTTGGATGATCCCAGGCCACAGCCCCCCTTGTAGTTGACAGCGTATAGTGGAGGCCAACTGGCCGAGAAGCTCCTCCAGGAGGAACAAGGCCTTGTTCTGAGAGACAATGGCTTGATGAACGGACCCCGGACCGCTGCCCACGTTTTTCTCGGATCAAAAGCACTGCTCCGTAACACACACTTGGACCCCTGCCCAGCAATGTGGACGATATCCGTAATGACTGACATCGAGTAACGCAGCTTTCTCCCTGGCCTCGCCATAAAGTTTAGCTCCAGCTCCCAGCATGTTACCGCACCAAGCAGTGGCAGCTCGTTTATGCTTTGTGTGCCTGAAAATAGCACCATGCCAACGCCCGTTCGGGGGCAGAAACCGACGCTGACAACCTGCGAATAGGCTTTTTTCGCTGTTTCTCAATCCGTCTTTTCGTGTTTGCCTCTGCGGAAGGCGTCCGCCCACGGCCTGGCCCACCCCCAAGCAGCCGCCGCCATGGTGACAATCGCGGTGGATTCGCACATGTAGTCAAAATCGCAAAGCCAGTCTGTACCAGTAATCCGGACCTTTTCTCCCCCCGCCCAGCGCTACCGGGACCTTGGCTAGCTCGAGTCTGAAGCGGGCTTACAGCGCTTCCAACGGGCGGTTGAGGCGCCAGAAACTCGACGGCTGTCTCGATATCAGTGGCGATTACACGCAGCTCTAGGACAGGGCCCCCGGCCAGGCATTGTCGTAACTTTCTCGGTATTCTCTGGCCCTCGCTTTTGGCTTTCGTCCGGCCTGCCGTTGCGGTGCTGGGCGGATCGCCCGTCAACTTGGCCTGCCTGGGTGCAACTCCCACGCATGCAAGGCGGTGGGCCAGCGAGGAGAGGGCGTGGCCTTAGCAGGTTGAAAAAACCGGCAGAAAAAATAAAGAGGCTTTTGGCGGAACACCAGCGAACAAATAGTGGGCCACGCGGCCTGTTAAAGCGGCGACTGGGGCGGTATCTGGCGGTGCTACAGTAGCGCCAACTGGCTTCTGCACTCACCACAACCATTTCATGCCATGCCATTATACGATGCCTCCAAGACAAGACAAGAGCTAGAAGCCAGCGGTTGACACAATCCGCGGTCCCGGATCGGAGCATTAGCAACAATGTCTCCCGGCAGTCGTACTTCCGTCTTATCGGCCTCGCCAGGGCAGATCGCGCGAGATACATGTACAGCGTATCGCAGAAGCAGGCTAAAGAAGCTGTGAGACACCAGCGAGATTACTCGAACTCTATCTACCTACTGCCTATGCATGATAAACCACGCAACGGGTCCCGTCAGCCAGGCAGCAGATTGCACAGAGATAACGGCACTCAATGCTTGAGCAGCCACCCAGAAGACAAGTTGCTGGCGGCCGATTGGATCCTTGGCGTGGCAGCCGCACCTAGAATACGCTGCACGCCAGATTCAGGACAGCCGCACCACGCACGGGAAGCGCCACCGCAACAGCGCATCAGCAAAAAGCAAAAACGAGATAATCAGAGACTCCAGCTCTTCCCAACCTCCGTACCCCTTGTCCGTGGCCGAGAACGTCCTCCCTCGCAGCGCTACTCGCTGCTTGCTTACGAAGCTTCGCAAACGCTTCCTAGGCAAGGTAGGAGAAGCCGCCCTGCAGGAGGAGCAGTTGGCAGAAACGGGGGCTGCTTTGACTCGACGAATCCAAGTGCTCGCAGTTGTTCTCCGTCAGCTTGTGTTCCGTGTGTTCACTTAAACGAAGCCCTATCGTGAACGTCATGGGCACGGATATCCATCGTCGTTGGTGTGGACGGCTTGTCTGCAAATCAGGTGCCGCCAACGGACCTGAGCGTCTCTGTAGCTGCGGAGAATGGCACGCAATTGGTGCCTGGTGCGAATCCCTTACATGCACAGCCAGCTATTTTTGGCATTTCCCTTTGGTGGCATCGTATTTTCCACCATTGTGTGGGTAAACTGTCCGTTTTTGCTCGCATCGACTTGGGTCCAGCTAGCACGCTTTGTGTCTCTTCCAAACCCACGGGCTCAGCACCATCAGCTTGGAACGATGGTAGGAGCAATTATACTTTTGCCTGTAGCCTGATTGTAGTATTTGGTAAAAGTCTGCAAATCACTCTTCAGATTTTTGTGCACGTGTTGAATCTAGATACAGGGAGGCTGAGCTGAAAGTCGCTGTAAGAGCAACCAGCATCATCAGTCTATCCGTCAACCTGACCCATACGAATGCTACGTCTATGCCACTTCACTCACCTGATAGCAGTCGTATGCTTATTGTAGCACCAAGGCCGTAAATTTGGCACACGACTTTGCGTCCATCATGGCCAACCTACCCTACTATCTCAGAGTGTCAATACGCTTTGCTTCCCCTGCATCAAGGGTCTTGTGGCTGCCGCCGAGCTTCGCGCCTCCACGCAATATTCAGCACTCATTGGACTTCCACCTTTGTCCATGCACCTGCCATGTGCCGTGTAAACGCCACGACAATCTCCCTTTCATCAGCCAAGACAAGCCACATTGTTACGGAAGACTGACCTGAACTGAATCAGTCAGCCGCCCCCCCCTTTACTCCCACTTACACAAACTTCGGTCAAGGCGTGCCAAGATAGGGCGTTCATCTGGCAGCTCAATTTCACGCTTTTGATCCTATTCGCCCATTCATGCATGCATTCATCGCAATTTCAGGCATTCACCCGTCATCCACGTAGTTTGTGCTACCCGCCATGGCATCTCAGAGATAGGGGACGCCGCCATCGACGGATAACCACGTCAACACGGCCACTTTTGGACTCACTAATGCCTTATTTGACCAACATGTTCCAGACCGGTGTGGCTCGCAGAGAGCAGAAAAGCAGATTGGTAATTAGAATTTCACGCAACTCGACGAATGCGCATTTTCAGCTCAGCCATGATGATCCCGTTTTCGCTGTGGCTGCTTTTATTGAATCCGCTAGAACCAAATCACATCAGTCTCTCGACTCACCGTATCTACAGAAGCTCAGCTTAATTCCATTTTGTATTAGCATATCGCATACGTGTTTCTACATACATGCTGCATTAACATCCCACCTCAGTAAAAGATGCCTAATCAGGTCCTATAGGCATTGAAACGTGTTCATGCATCGCGGCACATTAGATCTAATGTACGACTGCAGCACTCGCCCTTTCCGAACCAGTAAGAAACATCCAATACCGCTGTAAGATGCCAAGAGATTTTGAATCCAATAGTACCAGAGAAATATTGAAGTTGCTGATAAAGAAAAAAAAAAAACAGTTCAATATAGGGGGGCCAGGATAAAGAGGCTAGGTACTCATGCGGCTATTCGGAATATATCCTTAACCACACGCCCATTCCTTCTTCCTCCTAGTGTCCGCCGCTAAGAAGAAAGATTAGGAGATCGCTTCGGTACATGTAGCTATCAATAGCAATCCAATCTTCTGGTTGGTTGCCGTGTCGGAAACACAGCGATGTAGATAGTGAATGGCGTCAATGAGAGGCTGGATGGGACGGTTACACCCGTAATTTCATTACAAGATAACAGATAACACTCACCGAAAAAAAAAATTGGAACTTGGCAAGTTTCTTTTCTTCTTCAGGCACAGCTATCTTGACTTCGTAGCCAAACAAAAGCCCAACGTGCTGACGTCTTGCATTTCAGCCTTATCTACATCCCTGTTTTCAGCTTCGTCCAGTACCACGGTACGTGCATGTACATGCAATGTCGGGATGCAAAGCCAACAAACAAAACTGCATGTGCATGTACTATGCCCATCTAGTAGTTTGCAGCATTGATGGAGCAAAAATCCTGGCCTCCATGGTGTTGTTCTATACTCTCTCCCTCGCAGAAGCCCACCTCTTGATATAATGCAGCCTTGCCAAGCCAATAGAGACATGGATAGTACTAGCTCATCTTAACAAAGTGATCAAGAATAGTACTGGACCATAGAATTATCGCACGCCATCTGCCAGCAAAGAGACGCCTATCCTTAGGCGAATTGCATTCTCCGGACCCCCGGTCTACAGCTGAATGCTTCACCGCACCGACCTTGCCCTGACTTACACGGACTCTCATAGCTGCTGTAATGTCTACCACATGTAGAAGTGGTCAAGTTTACAGTGGTAGTAGGTATAGCCTCCATCAAATGCTTCAGAGAAGCATATTACTAGTTTCTAAAAAAAAATATAGTAGTAGACACCATGATACTAGGTTAAAATTGTATGAATATTGTGTACGGTATAAAAAAAACTAGTAGATATTTATCTCAAAACGCCTGTTGCCCGTTAATCTCGCGCATCACATCTAGTAACCAAGAAAATTATGCCCTCCAATCCTTCCTACTTGACCATTATAACTACTAACCGTAAAAAGCTCTTACCACGTATACCCTTTTTAAAATAACTACAAAGCTTAGAAATAACAAGAATGGCTCACAAATCCTCGTTACCGTCGCATTGCTGCAAAATGACAACGCGACTAACCTCAAGCTGAGGCTGCGTCCATGTAGGGTACCAAGAGTCGCGCGCATTCCAAAAGTCCTTTTTGGCATTGGGAGATTGATCCAGCCAAGGCTTGCCAGACTGGCCATCTTCGAACCAGCCGTTGGTGCCACCGACAGCCAGATTCATGATGAGATAAAACTCTTGATCAAAGGGGGTGTTGTCAAGGCCGGTCTTGCCCCAGATGTCGACGAGCCTTGTGCCGTTGGAGGTAGAGTCAGGGAATCCACCTCGACTCCACATGGGCTTATTGAAGTTGGTGTAAGTGACTTGCAAAAGCCGGCTGTTGATATAGGTGAAGAGATACTTCTCGGACCACTCAAGGCCGAAAGTGTTGAACCCACTGCTGTAAGTAGTGTGCAGTGCCTGGCGCTTGTTATTGGTCTTCCACCAAGCGTCATTAGCCGGGTCGGGCCCCCAGTGAAGAGCAGACGAAGCGATGTTGTTGCCGCCTTGGGAATAGGTGTGGTTGTTACCACGCGACTCCACGATATCAATTTCTCCAGAGGCGGGCCAGGGACCGTAGGTGTCATTGACCGGCAGCATCCAGATGGCAGGCCACAGCCAGTCGCCCACAGGCATCTTTGCAGTGACTTCAATACGGCCATACTTGATCTTTGCTCCCTTGAATGTGTTGATGCGGCCAGAGAGGGTGGGAGGGACAATGCTAGAGTTGCCGTTGGTGGTGTTGGTGGCCGCGACGCAGCTGTAATAGTCCTTGGAGGTACAGGTGCCGTCTTTGAGGAGATCGATGACGTTGTTCTTCTCAACGAGATCAGCACTTTGGAGGGTTGCCTGGATCATGAGGTTGCCATCTTGGACGAAAACGTTGCTATCGCCTCCAGTGGTCTGTTCAAACTCGCCATTGCTAAGCAGTGTGTTAGTAAATCATTGTGAGAATTCGGTCGATATCAGAAAGCATGCTTACCCAAACCCGCCAACCTGCACCTCTTTTGTCCAAATGCTAGGGTCAAGCCCGTTGCTAAAGTCGTCATCCAGGACGGGACAGTATTTGTGGTGGACAACACTGCGCATACCGTCCCAGATCAGGAAACCTGAGATACAGAGGCCAAGGAGGATACCAAGGAGAGGCAGGATTGTGACCCATTTCTCCTTGGGATCATGCTTTTCCAGCCAAGGCTTCTCAATCTCGCCCTTCTTGACCAGTCGTGAATGAAAGTATCGCTGGCCAGTTCCCTCGAAAGGACCCTCATTAGAGGAATTAAAACTAGAAGCCGGTCTTGAGCCGTCAGGGCTAACAAAAGGATTTGTGCCAGGGCCGGGAGCGTTGGAGGCAGAATCAGTGCTATCAAACATGTTGCGGTTGCCATCTTCTGTATTGGGAGTTCCCGGGCGAAGAGGCGTTGGCGCACTGGAAGTGGCAGCCGAGGGGACGGGAGGTCGCCCGTAGAAGTTTTGCTCCATTGGGGATGTGTTTTGTATGTCACGAGTGAGGCAGTACTAACAGCGGCCACTTGAATTGACAAGTATCGTGTGCCTGGAATTGGGAGATATGGAGGGCTGAGCTCAGATGTAGTCCGGCTGGTGGTGTTGATATGCCGGAAGAGAGAAGCCCGAGCTGTCAGAACAGGCCCAGTTGGAACACAAACAGAGAGAAAAGATTGGTGCTCTTTGGACGAGACACGAGAAAGAGAGACTGCAGATGCTCAGGCGAATGAAGAGAACACCTCGCGGGCATGCCGCAATAATAGACTGGACTCGAGCCTCTCAGCCGCTGCTGAACGGGTACGTACAGCGCATGTACGATGGACTCGAAGCTTTCCTCTAAGCCCGTGCAACCCAGTCGCATCGCAAACTTTCAACTTTCTTTTCTTATTGCATCCATTAGATTAGTGCTGGCATCAAGTGGCACTGCCCGGGCTCTCCAGCGGAGTCTCGCCAGCCAACCACGCCGCAACTCCAAGGCATCAAAGGGCGTGTGCCTAACGCTGTCCCTTGCTCGGCCGGGATTTGAGGGTGGAGGCCATGCAGGCGCTGGAAGTGCTGGCCACCACTTTGCTGGCGCCATCTCAGCACCCTTGCAGTGCCATGCCAGCTCAGCTGCGTCCTATCAAGGCGCTACGAGGATGGACGGACATGGTGCCCGTCAGCGCGGCAGCCGGTAGCAAGAGTCGATGCAAAGAGATGCAAAGAATTAGACACGGGGCTAACACTGTCCGGTATGCTTAGATCTTACCTTGCTTTTACGCGGTGCTGGCTCTATCTGCGCGGCCGCAGAAATGCTAATCCGAAGGCGAAACGGCCGCGAATAGATGCTACATAGTACTAGTAGTATAGAACGGATAAACCCTCAACTTCATCTAGTCACACAAACTCTCTCTGTGATATTGCCAACTGCTACCTGCTGGCGGAGCACCATTTCCCATAGCCTCGACAAAGCTGTCCCACAAAGCCTTTGCCGTGGCCATTGCATGTTGCATCCAGCCACGGCCCCGGCTCGAGCCGTGTCCGCCTTACTCGCAGTGTCCGCCATATATTGCTTGCAACTATCGATCAGCCACATCCAATTTCATCTGCTGTATCCAACCAAATCGTCGAGTGCTGCGATGATACGTAGCACTGCGTCTGCCGAGACCAGATACCAAGCAAAAAAAAAAAAAAAAAAAAGCCCATCCTTGCCGCAGAACTGAGCCGGCTTTTCGCAAGCAATTGAGCGAAGCCTTTGCATGAGTGCTGGCTCTCTTGCAAGCACCAGAAGCGCTAGAACGTTGCCTGTTTTATTCCCCCAAGCGCTAAACAGCCCGGTGGGCCTGGCGCACTTTTGACACGGACTGGCTCAGCGGCACAAGCCGGAAAGTGGGCTGGAGTGCCAGAAAGGCGCAAAAGCAGCGTCGCTCTCTGTGCCCGCGATTAGATGCCGCTGTGGCTGGCGAACCAGCTCTGCCGCTTGCGCCACTTTGCCTCTCAACGTGCCGTGCCTGAAGATCCTGGTCACCGCTCTCGCTCACCGCCTTTGGATAAGTCCACGCCCTCTCTTTTCTTGCATCTCTTGTGCTTAATCCTCCCAAAAGTGTCGGTGCATTTACGGAATACTCCTCCCGCTTTGGCACTAGCCAGGATGCGCTGAACGGCGCTATCTGGTAGCTACAGATCAGAGCGTCGCTAAGACGCTGGAAACCTCGTAAACGGCCAGAGTTTGCCGCACAAATCATCCACCGGTGCCGCGTTAATGCTGCCAAGAGGCCAGTCCAGGGCAAAGGAAAAAAAAAAGTTCGCTGATACTAATTCTCTCGGTCTTATTTTTTGTGTGTATGTTCCCACTCGACATTTACCAGCCTGCCCAAAAGACGTCAATGACAAAGTTTGCCGGGTAAATGGACAAAGTGGTGCTAGCATAAAGCGACCATGACAAAGTTCCGGCTACTCGCACGCATGACTGATTCCAGTAATGCAATGCTGCTAATACGCGCACTTGCCATATCAACGTAGCATAAGGCCCTCCGCAAATCGCCTAGTCCGGCCAATTGACTCGGAGCTATTGGCATTGTTTCGCAGCTTTGACTTTTTGTACCTGGAAATGTCAGATTCGAGGCTCAGGCACCAAAGTCAAATTAACCACCTTGTCAATCTATCATCACATTTCACGGCTGCGGATATGATAACCAAATCTTGCATTCGGTTACTTGTGCCATTGCAACGTGCTAATGGCGTCCGCCTGACAAGAAGGTACCGTGAGAGGAACCACAAAAAGAGTATAGATATCACGTCTCTCCTACATATGTCAGGTTTAAACTTTCTTGGAGCAGCTAGATGAAACACATAAGACGCGCAGATACTCCATATTCTATATCCAGACATCCCTACAACTGGGGCTTCATCAAACTCTCAATCGATAAAATATGAGCTGTTGATATCAACGACAGGAAAATGAAGAGAAACAGCGATCCTAAGTGGGCTTACAGTGAGTTAGTCTCTCCACTCGGCCGGATCAACTCAAACGACTTCATCTTCTTATCTCACGTTCTGCAGCCGATGCAATACGATGATTACGAATACTGTCGCCCATGGGGAAACCAATCGATCGGAAAACGGCACGAGAATGACAACTTGAGCTCAACAAAAGTACAACTCGGATAGCCTTCACCGAGCGAATGCAGCGGGCAGTGGTTTCAAGGCCTCTCGATCTCGCACGCGCTGCATGCCAAGGACTATGTCTTACACACCATTCAACCAAGCCCTAATCTTGCTTGTTGATCGTCATTACTGTTGGGAAACACGCAATAATTCGGTGAATATCCCGCGGCCAAGCCCGGCTTGGCGAGGTGACCATTGGAGCTTTGACTTTTGCTGGATGCTGCGAGCTGCTGCCATTATTTTTTATGCTGACATTTTCTACAGGTCTGTTGTCTCTCTGAAGATAGCCTTGCGCTGAATCATGCATCTGGAGCTGAGGCTCGACTCCGCTTTGTGGAGAGTGGCTTGCTTTCGACAAATCCCCCAATGCTTGCTTACTCTTTCTCCAACATTGCACCATTCCCTTGCACTCCCAACGATCAACACCAATATTGCGGCCGCAGGAAAATCGATTCGACGCAGGATATGCCAGGGGTTCTCGTATCATACATGCACTGCCAAGAACAGGAAAACGGACAATGGGTATTGGGGTTGGCGACATAGATGCATCCGACCCAGCAACAAGCTGCAGCTGTCGACAGCCAATCGATGAGGCTCGCTCTATTTTTATCAGTACGGCTAGCGACTCGGACGTCCTGTTGGCTGCATGTCTCAGTCGCAACAACTATTCCGCTGGCGCATGCGCTTCTCGTATCCAAGCAGAGAGAGGGTGCGTCGTGGCATGCTTCTACAAGTTCTACTCTAGGGGACAATGCACTTTTTTTTCTTTCACTCGGAACGCTAACCGAAAGACACGACTCATGATGAGACACTATACAGTTGGGCACTGACGGCACTTCAACCTCGAGGATTGTCCAAGGCGCTCCTCGAAAAGAATCCTGCCTATCGATGGCGCAACACAGATTGCATCAATTGTGCAACCATCGCTGATTTTACATGCTGGCCGAGTCCTTGCGTTACCTGCTAATTACCCAGCGTCATCTATAACACTGCAACACTCAGACTATCAGTTGTCGCCATCCTTAACGTCTACAGCCAATTTCCGCTTCTTTGTATCACCGGCTTATCTCCTTCTAATCCACTCGATCTTGGCAGTCGTGAACACCCGATCATGACAACAGACAGCACTCATCAAAAGCAATTTTGTCATGGTTTTTAGAAGTTTCATGTATATAGTGCCGATGGCTGGAGTGAACTCTAACAGTTGACTTCCTTGGAGGAGCTGAAAAGCCTCCACGTCTCTCACTACCCATCTAGCCTCCTCAACTCCTTGTCCGTGGCCAGAGCTCCAGCTGAAGCTCATACTCGTGCTGATACGCCGCAGGCCTGTGGCGGCGGTGGATCAGCACGGCTCATCGGGTGGTTCCATAGCCATCGTTTCCGTTCCCACAACCCGATGCCCCATAATATTACGGCGTGATGGAGCCTGACTCGGACGAGATCGGGTAGTTCCCGATGAGGCAAGACAGGGGTCAGGTCTTATTATGTGGGCATTTGTTTCCATGCTCTCTTTTTCCCCTCTTTCTCTCTTCTTCTCTGCTATCAGGCTGCCGTGCCGTCTTTACGCCAGTAGCGCAGCGCTATCTGGCAGCGTAAAGCGTTCCGCTTTTGCGGTCGCGCTTGTGATGCATCAGGGCTCGTATGGATGCAGGACCGCAAAAGGCCAGGGGTCGGTATATCGCAAAACAGCGCAGCGATTGGACAGAAGCGCACTGTCGAGATGCATATTTCGTGCCAGCGTTGCATTAACACAGCAGGACAATGCGTCCAGGTAGCCTCTTGGCTTTGCAGCCTCTTTGCTTCTTCTTCCTCCTCGTATCCTCGGTTGCAAGGGGGCTCCATGCCAGCACACACATACACAAACTACTGCGTCATTGATGCAATTGCGTGCCCTTTTGGCACCGCTTGCCTATCCAGGATCGCTATTATTATTTCTACTTGCGTTTAGTGGGCGTGCTCTCTAGTATTTGCAAAAATTTTCTCCATCGTTCCCTTGCAGGAGCTTGCTGTCCTATCATGACACACCCATGCCCAGCCACGTTCAGCTGCCAAGGTAGCATCAGAAAATCCATCCATGCCATCCATAGATACGACAGCACACTTGTAGTACATGCATACATGCAGCAACACCCAAGGGAGAAGAAAAGAAACCCAAACCAATCAAGCCTCATCCCAGCCGCTGGATCCTAGCGGCTGGCTAGCTTTTGCGTCCGGCCGCTGTCCAAACACCAAGGCCGAAAGAAGAGGCCGCAATGCCGATCATCCAGGAACCTCGTAAGCTTTGTGGCCAATCCAGAGAACACGCCCGTTTGGCGATATACTCAGTGCTACGGTAGTGAGCATGGATACAGTCTCTTTTTTGCAGGCGGTCAGTGGCCCAACTCAGCCAATGCCTCTATATTTTCTCTCTCTTTCTCTCTTCCTTGCATGCTGCCAGCTCACGGGTGTCCGAATATCATACCATCATAGCATCTGTTTGTTGTCCGTGTTGTTACGACCTAATACTCCTCTAAGCCCAACAAGTATATCTATGTATTTTATACGCCATTAACGAAATCCAACCTCCTCAACATATTCGCCTAATTGGTTCTCGGTTCTTACTATTTTATACTATACCTACCTAGTTGTAAGGGTCACCCAGAACAACCTGCTTCAGCTCAGCCTTGACTTACACGCTATTGTTAGGCTACTGTTCAAGGCAATCTACATCCCATTACTCGGTCCTCGACATCCAGATCTGTGGGAGACGACTACAGCATATCATTTCAAACAATCACATAACTCGATTTCTCTAGTTGTTATTCTCCCATAAAGCTGTCAAGTTCAACAGCTGCTGTTGCTGCATATCGATCTCCGCCTTCTTTTCATTTCGTTCTCGTCTTAATCAAGACACTTTCCCAAGTCGACCTGACTATTCTCTTTATCCACCTACATCTGCCCCCTTCACCTCACAGCAATGCTATCAAAAAGGCTTGCGGTCGTGGCCACTCTGTTGGCATCTGTCTCGTCAGCAAAAGTGGCATCAAAAGACATGGAACAAGATCTAGGCACCGTGCTAGCCAACAACAAAGATCTATCTACATACTACGAACTCATTCAGGCATGTAATATGAGATCAAAGCATCGTCACAGTTGGCACTAACAAGCCTCTATAGAAATATCCCGATATTCTCCTCCAGCTTCCCAATTACGCAGGCGTAACAGTGCGTTGTCCCTTTCTTCTCTCTGTGTCAACTCTCTCACTAACTTTTGACTTTTCAATAGATCATTGCACCCTCCAATGACGCCTTCAAAAACATCCCCTACACTGCTCTCAACGGCGTGTGGAATGCAACTGACAAAGACACCACCGTGCCTCTCCTGCAATATCACATTCTCCAAGGAACCGTCGCCACAAATGCCCTCCTGACGGGTCCCACCTACGTCCGATCAACTCTTCTGACCAGCACTCGCTACACCAACGTGACGTCTGGCCAGAACGTCCTCATCGCCAAGCAGCCTGGCGACGACGTCGTCTTCACCACCAGCATGGGCACTCGCTGCACTCTCACCGAGGGCGACATCGCCTTTCAGGGCGGCCTGATCCAAGTGGTGGACAACCTGCTCGTGCCTCCCGCGCGTTTACAAAACACTTCCGAAGCATTCAGCGTGCCCAACTTCCTGGGCGCTCTCTACGCCGGCAAGCTCATGCCCAAGGTCTCCTACGAGGAGAACATCACCGTCTTTGCCCCCGTCGACAGCGCCTTTGCCACAATTGGCGGTTCCCTCAAGCACATGGATGCCAAGAGCATTGCTCGCATCATGGGATACCACATCATCCCCAACCAAGTCCTCGTCTCTTCCGCCCTCACAAACGGTACTCGCCTCCAAACCCTCGCCAACAACGCCGCCGGAAACGCCCCCGAATCGGTCGTCGTCCGTCAAGCCGGCAACAACAAGTTCGTCAACTCGGCCCAAATCGTGCAGCCCGACATCCTCCTCGCAAACGGCATCATGCACCTCATCTCCGGCGTGCTCAACCCAGACGCCGATGCCGCCGTGCCCAACCCCACGGCCCTTTCCCAGGCGCCCGTCTTCCCCGTCAGCTCGGCCCGCAACCCGTTCACGTCGGCGCTGCCCTGCACCGTGAGCTGCCCCGTCACGACGACTTCGGCGAGCAGCACTGCGGATTTGACGACGACGAGCACAAGCATCTTTACGACGAAGAGCAAGGGCGCTGCTAGGGCTCTTGCTACGGCGGATATACATGCCGCTGGAGTAGCGTTGGGTTTGATTGGCGCAGGAATGCTGTTTTAGAGTTAGAAGTTGTGTTTTTGTTTTCCTTTAGTATAGAGACGCGCATATCCTTTTTTTCTTTTCTTTTTTTTTTTTTTTTTTTTTTGAAAAGGGGATATGCTTTTTTGAAAAAAGCAGATGTGTGGGCCTTCATTGGTATATGGAAATAATGGATCGATTTAGATGTTTGTAACTGTTGTATTTTCTTAATCAAGTCGTACCTAATATAAAGGGGCATAATTATCCATAACCAGAATGGTTATAGTAACCATGCTTGAATAATATCACAAGTGAGGTGCTTTTAGCTGTCAAGTTGTTGGTTATTCTATGAATTCGGCAGATGCTCTGCGGCAGAACATTACCAGAGAATACAAAAAATATCTAGAAAACAAATGAATTGTCTAGTAATCCGGTTGATAGTTGAAATTGCCCTATTTGCCCGACTTCGTCATATTTAGGCAATGTATAAAGGCAACAGCAGTCTTTAAACTCATATTCGGACGATTGAGAAACTGATTATCATCAATATTGGCCATATTCTTTCGGCTCAAAATATTGAAGCAAAAATGCAGGGTAGACAACAATCACAGAAATAAGAACAAGCAAATAACATTCAAGACAAATGAGTAGACTTAAAACGGTACGTTACGAAAGATGGCTTGACATACATACAATCCTTACATTGCAGTGATATCTTGTCTATCTAAAGGCAATCGCCCAACATACGCAAACCAATCAACTGGGCTTTTCTGGCCACTGTGATATCTGTAAACTTCATACAAGCAGAATGAGTCATCTGGAACCCGTTGTTCCAACGTGGTTGTTTATTTGTCCATTTGCCAAAAGGCTTCCCATATACCTTTCCTTCCCTTAAGCTCCCAACGCCACCAGTGGTTTTAAAACAAGAAGCAAGATTATTCCCCAAGCCTAAACAGCGTGCCATTAATAGAGGTCCTCTTCCCTCTTCCATTCATCACCTATAGTTTCGACCCGCGCTCCGGTCGTCGTCAAAACTGCGGCTGCGACTGCGGCGTCGGGTGTCGTGATCATCACGTCGGCCTGCTCCATTACCCCCTCCTCCGCCCCGTCGTCTAGGCGCCGGTGATCTGGACCGAGATCGAGAAGAGAACGAGTCGTTGGACCGACTACGAAATCGACCACCGCCGCCGCCTCCACGAGATGGAGGGCCTCCGCCAGGCGATCGAGCCGGCGATAACGAGTTGGGTCGGTAGACATCAGATCGAGGACCGTATCGGCTCGCTGGCGAGAGGCGACGGCGCCCACCGCCTCCTCCACCACCACCCATTGGGCCAGAAGGTGGGCCTCCGCCGCGAGAGCTCTGAAAGGGGACTCGAGGGTCAATGTTGGCGCCGCGTCGAGCTGTAGGAGGCGCGGGCGAGAGCTTTCTGCGCTGTAGGACGATGGAGACGTTGATAACGGCGCCGTCGATCTGCGCCTCGTGCATGTGTGAAATGGCCGCTTCGGCGTCGGCTTCGTGATCGTACAGGATGTACGCGGTGCCTCGGTTCGTACCGACTATAATTCGCCCAAGGGCATGTTAGTAACGACGACAGGGCAAGGGGGGGTAATTGAAGGACGTGGGCGGTTTTGCGGGTGACTGACAACTTCGGTTGATTGGCAGATCAAGATCCTTGATATGTCCAAATTGACCGAATATTTCATAAAGATGCTCCTCGTTGATGTTTTTCGACAGTCTCTCTACCACAATCTAGTTCATAGCAAAGTCAGCAGCTGCGCTCTCCTCCTTCTCAATCCACGAAGCCACCATGCGACCAAGCTCCAAACACACCTTTGTGCTTTTAGCCAGAGGGCTCTCGCTAGGCGATCGAGAGCCCCTAACGCGATCACGGTTCCTGTTTCCGCTCGCGCTCCTATGACGGCCATTGCGACGAGGCGGCGGCGTAAACGACCGCGATCTGGATCGAGGCGAACGCGACGGGGATCGCGAATCGTAGCGTCGACGGCGATGCGCTGGCGGCGGCGAGCGAGAGTCGTTGGATCGAGGGGGAGTCCGTGACAGGGACCGGCGGTATTCTCGAGACGGTGAGCGCGACGCCATTGCTGGAGAATGAAAAGTGTCGGCGCTCTTGTTTTGTTGGTGGTGTGAACAAGATTGAAAGGGAGATTTGGAGAGCTTTCAGTGAATCCACCACAGCTCCATCGCCGTTTCTGGGAGCGTTGGCGCACCTTGGATGCGTGGTCACGTGACTGCCGCCGCCAAGCTGAGTATTCGCAGTCACCAGCTCGACGACAGTTGGTGGTCAAAATGCCTTTTCTAGATCATGAATTAGATATTAAATGCTATACAAACATGGATTCATCACAAAGAAGAAGAAATCTGCATATCAGGTGACGAAAGCGCTTCAGTTAGCTGGTTTACAATTAGCTTATCATTAAGAGGGATGTCACTGAGAACTTCCACAATGAGGTGGGATTTCTAGAATAAGGCCGACTGCTAGTCACTGGGTCTAGCATACCTAGGTATGACTCTCCAAATTACTTATATTTGTAGAGTTTTGGTTACCTCAAACAATGTTTGGAGATGTTGTTGGTGGAGTTGACAAGGTGCTCTGAGATCTCATCGCTTTTTAGGTATACATCGACCCAAGCTCCATTAACGTTTCATCTTATTACATGCATTTCTTCCATGAGGCGCTGAACACTAGCAATTGACGTTTATTCTCCATGATTGTCATTAAAGTTAAGAAGCCCCCAATAGCCCTTCGTTATGAAGACTAGGAAGGAAGATCAGATAATATAAGATCCCGCTATGTGGGGGGAGGGGCAGAAAAAGAACCCTGAAGCCGCTCTCAGTTGCGGGCAGGCGGTGAACTCGTCCCAGCCAGACTGAAGGATGCTCGGCTGTTGGTGCAAGTAAAAATGATGTGCATAGGTAGGTAGGTAGGCGGATCTTTTGGCTTTGATGTCAGAGTTTCCATACTTACAGGTAGCAAAAGAGCTGCATAGATCTTGCTGTGAGTGCTGGTGGAATGCAATTAAACAGCAGTCAGAGAAGGGCATGTGATGGAGTCATCACTAGAGCGGTGAAAGATGATGTAGCTTAGCCATACAGCTTCCAGCACTACCTACATGGACTTGGATTTATGGCGAGGCAGCTTCTGATTTTGAGTCTCGGTACCCTGGTGCCAGAAAAGGTAATGCCAATTCGATGATATTTACTCCGTACAGAAACTCACGTAACCAGATTAATATGTGACGGTGTTGCTGATATGGAAGCTCGGGTTCTACCGCTTTCTCGAATCCAATCATAGTGCAGCCAGTGACTTGATTTGATTGGATTAGAGAAGCTCTTCTAGGTCCTGCTGGTAATCTGCCTGGATGGACAATATAGGCCGAGGCATGTTACAGAGCTCTGATTAAAATAAAACACTGGCTGCATCACAAACACAAGGTAGAAACAAGGTAGAGCCCAAATCTCTGCTTGTTATGCTCGATCCTACACTCGAGACCTTGGGATAATTGTATCACATTTTGACGCATTTTGGCGGTCATCGCAGCAGTCATACCATTGGATAAATTATAAAAACATGGCCAGACATCAGCCCATTATAATTCCTCCAGACCCAGAGAGAGCACGCATTATCTCAATTGGTCGGAATGAACGCCTAGCCTGCAAAGTCATACACATAATCCAGCCTGAGAGTCCTCAGGACAACATCTCCCTTTGAAAATAGTCTGGGGCGTGTCTTCAACGAACTCCATCATTTACAGAACCAACATCCAATAATAATTCGTAATCCTTTCATTTGATCTCGAGCTCAGTCTTTCAAAGCTTCAGAGAACGACGTCTGGTATTCATCATCGACGTTACAAAACAAGGTACTCCAACAAAAGAAAGTAGGGCATCAGTGGTGTGTCGCAACAACTGCAGTCTCTTGTCAGTATTTCGCTAAAATTGCCAAAAGCTGACGGGGCAACATACCAGAAGGAACAATAATAACAACTAGGAGAAGAACGATTCCAACAACGATACAGACTCGCATCTTCATGTCCTTCCACCACATCTGCTTGCGGACTCTGTTGGCGCCGCGACGGAAACCCTGCGCGGATTCTGCCAGGTTATCCGTCTTATCTTGCAGAACATCCAGGCGGTCACCTCGCTGAGCCACGTTCTCGATGTTCTTTCGCATCACTTGGACAGTGGCGTCGATTTCCTATGCGAAAATGAAATTAGCATTTCTGTCGAGAATTTTTGACATTTTGAACGAGAAAATCCCAATGAACTTGGGGCCGCAGTCTCAGAATCGTTTGATGCTCAGCAACAAAGCCCACTAATGAGCGCACTGTTTGCCCGCCCACGCTGAGCTCCGGATCAAACCAAGCCTCGTAGCCAGAGGAGATTCCGCTTGAAGCCAAAGATTGATCTCGCCCAATTTCCAAAAGCCAACTTACACCTTGGAGAGCCTGTGTGCGCGACTGGCCACCGGCTTGCGGGTCGGCGCCGCCCTTGGGAACGTAGGGATCATATGGAGCCTCGGACATTTTGACGGGGTATAATATTCAATACAATAGAGTCGGAAAGGAAAAACGCAGGAGAGCGAGCGATCGGAAGTGCAGAGCGGACTCGAGCGACAGCGGTAGAGGTGTTTTGGTGTTGTTGCGGATCTGGAGAGAGGATGGTTCGTAATGGCGGCCAGAGATTTTGAGGAAGACAAGTTTACGTTTTGTCCGCCGAACAGCCCCTTCGCCTAGGTACCTAGGGAGCATACCTGCTGGAGGCGTTGCCCCCCAGGCTGACGACAGCGCGGAGACTACGGAACCGCCCCAGCCTCACGTTACGGCAGGCACAGGTACTGAGTACATGGCCCGAGTACGGCCAACTCCGAATCCACTCTTGCAGCGCCCGGCGCCGTTCAGGTTTTTTGTCCTTGTTCGATTAATCACGAGGCTGCGTCATTTTGGACATTTATAAGTCTTCATTGACAGCGCTGTTTAGCAATTCTTTCAAAGGTTGACATGCCAATATGGGCCGCCCGGAGAAGGCGCCGGAATCGCCATCCCAAGGCTCCGGGAGCAAGTCCAGACATGCTGCTTGTACTGCTACATTGCCCCGCCACAGTCCCCTCTGCCAAGTGTGGCTCTGCGCTCTTCTCACTGATACACGTGATTATGCTTCCCCTCCCAAACGGCCTGCTTCGTACCTCGAGAATCTCACCTGCTGATGATGCTGTCATTGCCAGGATGCTGAGTCTCTACAGGGAAAAATAACTGCTGCCCAGCTTGGCCATCTCCAGCGGTGACCTGCAGGCACTTGTCGATTCCCAGCCGAGGCCTCAGACATGCGCAGTCACGCAGAGGGCCAGAGCTAATTGACCCAAACCCTCCTGTCGCAGGCTGGTTTCATCGCATCGACGAAAGCGCCTCGCTTGCAACTCTTGACGCATTCCTGGTCAAAGAAACGAGCGGCTAGTCGGCGCAAAGCGTTTGTGTACCTGGAATCTACTATTAAAAGCACAGAGGACCCCGTACTACTGTAGCACAGCAAGCATCTTTATGCTCTATAGACTCAAAGGCTGAAAGAGCGGCGCCGGGTTCAAACATCTATCCGTGCGCATCGCCTCAGCCATTGACAGGACGCGACAAGGCGAGAAGTACAGAGTACAACGCTTCATTACGATTACGAAGCCGCCACCTTTTTTCAGGCACAGGACATCAGCACGCCTTGCAGCGTATGCGTATCTATTCAAGGCGCCGTCTTAGTAATCCCTTGCCTGGCGTTAGGTTCGACACTTGGCGGATGGCCCTTGCCGCTTGGAGCAATAAGTCTGCGACAGTAAGCGTATTGTAGCGGCCTGTTGGTGAATCATTGTCGAAATTCTTCCATCTAGTACAGAGTATATCATCAGCTGGACTTTGATCAATTTCTTTTCAATCCTTCTCCAGACTCCTCGAGGCCCGCGACGCAATCATGTATTTCAGGCGCCTTCTTGCAGATCGCAGATCGCTAAAAGATGAAATGACGTTGTCCTGCCCTATCAAAGCTAGGTGCGTTTCCGAGCCAGATAAGCGATCGCCGTATGACGAGCACCGCTGCTGCAGCGTGCTACAGACGTGAAGAGAAGAGATCGAGAAACGGCATCTTGTGTTCACGATGCGACGTCCCTCTTATTCAACTTATTCAACGTCTTGCTCCGCCGTCTCCAGCCCCCCGCCCTTTTGTTTCCCCCCATGCGGCCTGTATTTGCACGCGAAGGTTTGGTGGCTCCTGAACTACTAGTAGCCGCCCCCATTCCATCTCCACCAACACAAGCTTACTTTTCTGTTTTGCATGTATGTGCCGGCTGAAGCACCACAAGGGCCAACCACCGTGCAGAGAGCAGCCACGGCGCCCTTTCAGCGAGAAGATCCAAAGGCAAAAAAAGCGATGGATTAAACGGTCAGCACCTTGTCCTTGTTGCCCGTGCCGCGCAAACAAAAACACCAAAAAGGCCCCTTGCGGCCGCGGCGGCCCTTGCGATGCTCCCGTTGCGGCCTGTTTCCGCATCTGGCCATTGCCGCCTCTTCTGGCTTTCCACCAGGACAGCGAAGCGGCTCCTGTCTCCCGGACTCAGCAGCCTCTCGCCGGCGCTGGGCTGACAGATTGTGCGCCGCTCTGCATAGACTGCCGGGCCTCAGCGGGGCCGCCGTGCTATCAGTGCTGCTTGCGGCTCTTCTCTCGTATTTAGAACCTTGAGTGGCATCTTGGTCGCATCTCGCTGGGCCAGAGCCAAACTCGCCCTGAGATAGTTTGATGCACCGAAGCCGTGCCACCAATGCTGTGCTGCTGCCTCCACCAAGGTTTTCTGTGGCGTTTCTCCAACTGCCGTCTGCCGCCGTCTGCCAGAGGAGCAAGCAAAAGACCGTTGAGAGATGGCTCACAGGCTCCAACGCCATGTAGCCCCCAAGTACTGTCGCATACAGGCTGCCAGGAGCCAGTACCGCCAGATACTCGCTCGCCACTTGGAGCTCGATTCCGTAGCACGAGCCCAGATGGTGCTCCTCAACTCTGCTCGTACGTCAGGAGAGCGTCAACCCGCTCTTGCTCGGTTCGATGCCGCAAGCTATCGATGCAAGCGCTTCCGGAGCCGATGGCAGCTCCCCAGCCGCATGGCTTCTGGATATCTAGACCACCATGTAGACGTAAACTCTGCTTGTTTCTCCTGTGTTTCCGCTCTTTCTCCACAGAGACGCTGCCTACTGTCCTGTCTTCGTTTCTTTTCTTCTTTGTACTCTTCCAAGTCTCATCTCATCTCTTGTCTCTCGCTCAACGTCACTCGCTTAGTGAGTTTGTGTGGTGCCCAGGATACTTGCACCTTTGTGCTGGTGCTCGAGTGTGAATCGTCCAGTGCCGATGGATCTGGAGTTGTAGCGTATTGTGGTCTGCCTTTGCCTCCGATACTCCCTCGATCGACGACCTGTTTGCTTGTACCACCGGCCCATGAGATCCTCTATCGCCACCAAGTTTTAAGCCTCGTGTCTGATACACGTTTTTGCAAACATGGAAAATCCAAGTCAAACGCCGCTGCTGATCCGCCTGGCCATAACATTGTTGTTGGCAACTAACCAGCTTACCATGGCCTATAACTTGGACCCAGATTCTCGCGGTGGGATGATATCAGGTCCGCCATTCTCCACATTGGGACAGTCACTAATGGGGACCTTTGTAGAGTCTATAACGTCGATATCCAAACAAATGGCGGAAGATTTGGTATCTTTCTATAAAGGCAATGAGCTTGGCCAAACGCCTGGTCTTCTCCCCGACCCATATTACTGTATGTATCTAAATCTCATTTCCCTGTCGCACACTACTTACAAATGTCATCAGGGTGGGAGGCTGGTGCTATGATGGGTACTCTCATCGATTACTGGTATTATACAGGCGATGATGCTTATAATGACATCACCCAGCAAGCTCTCCTTTTCCAAGTCGGGGACACCAACGATTATATGCCAAGAAACCAAACTCGGACAGAAGGTAATGATGACCAGGGCTTTTGGGGACTGACTGTCATGTCGGCTGCCGAATACAACTTTCCAAACCCGCCTGCCGACAAGCCACAATGGCTTGGTCTCGCCCAAGCTGTTTTCAACACTCAGGCTTCTCGATGGGACACAGAGTACTGCGACGGTGGTTTGCGGTGGCAAATTTTCTCATGGAACAATGGCTACGACTACAAGGTAGGCTATATAAGCGCTGTGTCCAGGCACGCAGCTCAACGTTGAACCCGACTGACAACATACATAGAACTCAATTTCACAGGCGTGCTTCTTCGCTCTCGGTGCCAGATTGGCTCTGTATACCGGCAACCAGACCTACGCCGATTGGGCCGAGAAGGCGTGGGATTGGATGATAGATATCAAGTTCATCAACACCACAAACTGGTACGTTTATGACGGCGCCAGTGTCAACACCAACTGTACCGTCCTCACGCCTTATCAATTCACCTACAACGCCGGAGGCATGATCCTCGGTGCAGCTGCCATGTACAACTATACAGAGTCGCAGGTATGGAAGGATCGCCTAGACAACCTCGTCACTGGCAGCAAGGTGTTCTTCACGGGCCCCCATAACAACATCATGGCAGAAGTTGCATGCGAGTCGGTCGGTACTTGCAACGTTGATGAGCACTCGTTCAAGGCATATTTGAGTCGCTGGCTAGCCAACATGACCAAATGGGCCCCTCACACTTATAATACAATCATGCCATACCTCCGAGCGTCTTCGATTGCGGCGGCAAAGCAATGTGTCGGCGGCAAGAATAAGCGCATGTGCGGCCTCATCTGGAGTAACAATACTTACGATGGAACGACTGGGGTCGGCCAGCAAATGGCGGCTCTTGAAGTCACCATGGCCAACCTAATTGGAGAAAGTAGTGCTCCCCTCACTGCCGACAGGGGAGGCACCAGCCAAGGGGACCCCGGCGGTGGTGGCAGTGATTTGGGTCGGAATACGCCAAATGACCCAGACTATGGGCCCATTAACGGAGGCGACAGGTTTGGGGCGGCCATTCTCACGATCCTCGTCATTGCGAGCGTGGTTGGGGCCATAGGCTTCCTTTTGCTAGACGAGACAACCGGCCAAAGGCCTGTAGCTCAGGTAAAAGGGCTGTATTCTTCTGCCAAGGGATTCTACTCTTCTGCCTCGGCGGCCATCACCACTTTTGCGGCGGGCGGAGGTTTAGCTGCGGCGGCGGTTGCCGGACGAAAAAGTGCTGGGAAAGAAAAAGTAGTCGTCGTCAATGAAAAAACTGTTACCAATAGCAGAGATTCAGGAAGCAATGGCAGTCTGCAGGGCAGCAACTCGAACAATACTTCGCCGGAAGCAGCCCTGGTTGCCAACCGGTCAGCTCGGCGTAGCAAGGCAGGTCGAAGGCGACTTTCAAACATGCCGATAGGTTGGCCGCAGAATTCGTCCCTCAGGAACAGTATTGTTGTGGCCGAGTCATCATCCGCAGGGGCATCTACTGAAGGGAGCGGTGGCAGTAACAGAGCATTATAAGGCTGATTTGCTACAACCACGGAGTGGTTTATTGGTATTTGGCACTTGGCACATCTCCCGGCGTTTTCTTGTATTTACTTCATCTTGGGAACCATCCTTACCCGGAGGATGCTCTGTTTGTATTTCTGATGGCGAATCTGGGGTATCTGGAGGGTAATCATGTTGGAACAGTGACAAGACTGGCTATTTTTGGCTTGGCCAATCATGTTACATAAGAGGCTTTACGAGCTTGTGTAAAATGGCATTAATGTGCTTTGCTTTTATTTCAAGAGCGTGACATGCATGTGGGATCGATGGCTGAGATAGGATAGGTACGCTGGGCTTACAATGACAAGAAGCTTGTCACAACGGTGACAGTCATGTGAGAAATTAGTAGCAACGCTGAAATAATGCCTCACCAAATCTCTTTGTCTTCCCGTGATGTAAAGTATAATACACAGAAAGCGTAGTAGAAGGAATGAATGTTGGGTAAACTGGTATGTAAAGATGATATCATCTTATCCGAGGGGTATCAAGCCCATAAAGTAGTATACCATGGCAGCGTAAATATACAGAAATGTATTGGGGTTTTCTCATTGCTTCGATTGTGGGATAGCTGGGCTATTAAGAGCTGCAAATTGAAAAGTTATATATAGGGTAGCAGATAGCATATTTAAATATACCTGTAAGCAACAAGAAAGACCTCTTATAGCTGATTTCTGGCGGAGTTGTCGAAAAGTATTGCAGTTGATTTTGAAGTCAGTACAACTAGTAGGGTAGCAGCTTGCCCCGCTAAACCAAATACAAGTGCTGGGTACCCTGCCAGCCCAAGTGGGCCGGTGGATATTTGAGCCGATCTTGGACCCTTCGCCGCTGGCCAACATCTTTGAATTGTACGACTGCGGAATCGCTTTGCTGCATCCTCAGGGGCTCTCTGGGGCCGCAGCAACATGTCTCTCAGCCGCCGCGATGCAAAGAACGCAAGAGGGGACCGCGACAACTCGTCCCTCTTGTCCGCGATGGCCTACGACGATGACGCGTCATCCATCAACAGCCGAGATCAAGATACGGACAGCGAAGACGATGCCCTGCAGCAGCGCGCGAGGAACAGCCGCGAGCTCCTTGCCCACGACCGGATCGTGCTGATGGAAGAGGAGGAACTGGACCAGCTGGTGACAAAGTCGAGACGCAAGCAGGATCTGGTGCGGCGAGGCTCGGCGCTTGCGCTCCCCAATCCCTTCAAGAATCTGGTGCGCAAGCCTAGTCTTGGGAGCATATCGACTGGCGGCAGTTCCTCCAACGAGAACCTCGTGACGGAAAAGGGCAAGGGCTCGTCGGAGAATAAAAAGCAAAAGAGGCTTGCGAGGCGGGAAACGAAGCGCAAGAGACTCCTGGAAGAGGCCCAGCATGGCGAGGACGGCGAGCTGATGTACGAAATGGAAGAGGGAGGCATGAAGGAGGGCAGCTCCACCGGTTCCAGCAGCGAAAGCGAGGAGTACGATCGTCACAATCTCAATGCTTTTGCCAATGCAAAGGCACAGCGAGGAAGGGGCTGGCGCCGCTGGCTTTTCATTCACTCATTAATCGCCATTGGGTTTGCGATTCTGGTGCTGGCTTCGTGGAAGCTTTCAAAGGGGCGCAAGTCGGCGAAATCGTCCAAAGTTCATCTTGTCAGCAATGGAACTGCGCTGTTTGCGCCTACCACCATCATTATCAGCCTCGACGGTTTCCGTGCCGACTTTTTACAGCGCGGAATTACACCAAGGTTAAACGCCTTTGTCAAGGAGGGCGTTTCTCCCAAATGGATGCACCCGTCGTTCCCCTCTGTTACATTCCCCAACCACTATACTCTGGCCACAGGCCTATACCCCGAGGCCCACGGTATTGTCGGCAACACTTTCTGGGACCCCGAGCTGGAGGCAGAGTTCCACTACACTGATCCAGCCCGAAGTCTTGACCCCAAGTGGTGGGGCGGAGAGCCGTTTTGGGTCACGGCTGAGAAGCAGGGTATCCGAGCTGCGATTCACATGTGGCCCGGAAGCGAAGCGCACATCTTGAACAAGGAGCCCGCCTTTGTTGACAAGTATAATGGCAAAGAAGAGCTGGATAACAAGGTCTCAAGGATTCTTGGGTGGCTGGACATGCCTGGGAAAGAGAGTGCATCGGTCGCGGTCGAGGAGATGAGACCGCAGCTCATTGCAGCGTATGTTCCCAACGTGGACAGCCATGGTCATGCATATGGGCCAAACAGTACAGAGATCAAGGCCACTATCCAAAAGGTTGATACGATGATGGACAAGATCTTCAAGGGACTTGACGAGCGAAATTTGACAGACATTGTCAATGTCATTGTTGTGTCGGACCATGGCATGGCTACGACGGATACAACTCGGGTGCTCCAACTAGAGGACCTCATCGACACCTCCAAGATTGAGCATACTGACGGCTGGCCTTTGTATGGACTTCGGCCAAAGACTCCTGATGACCTACAAGGTCTATACGACGGCTTGGCGGAAAAGGCCAAATCCAATCCCAACTTTGACGTCTATCTCCGCGACGTGAACATGCCGGAGCGATATCACTTTTCCAAAAACGACCGCATTGCTCCTCTGTGGATTGTGCCCAAGACTGGCTGGGCTATTGCCGCCAAGGAAGAATTTAACGTGGAGGAGGCTAAGAAGAAGAACCTTGTATATCATCCTCGGGGCTTACACGGGTATGACCATGAACACCCGCTGATGAGGGCCATCTTCATTGCGAGAGGCCCAGCATTTCCTCATCCGGCGAACAGCCAAGTCGATGTTTTCCGTAAGTTGAAGAGTCTCGTGGGTTTTGCAAGGTGGCTAACTTTCTGTGAACTAGAAAACATTGAGGTCTACAATTTGCTGTGTGACTCACTTGGCTTGACACCGAAGCCCAACAATGGAACGTTGCGTCTACCCTTTAAGCCGATTGGCACCCACGAAGCGGAAGACGAGCCAAAGATACCGGAAGACCCCGTTACATCATATTCTCGCGCTTCGACGTCGTCTTCACAAGCTGCAAAGACCAAGACTATCGAGCGCCCCTCGGTACCACCCAAGCCAACGACAACGTCTTCTCCTCCTCCTCCCCCTCCTCCTCCTTCTTCTTCGGCTGCTGAGTCGAAGCATTTGACTCTTGCAACCACCTCAAGTGGAGCTGCAGCGGGGACGCCAACACAGACGCCTCAAGATCAAGATGGTGGCGCTGGTGGCGCTGGAGACGACGAAGCTCCCCCGGATAAATTGCAGAGCATATGGGACTGGTTTTCAGATAAGTTTGATAAAGTTTGGCATAAGATCACTGGCGGATCTAGTGATTCAAGTTGAGTGGGAGAACGTGGATCACAGCGCGGCATTTTGATTTCTTATATCCACTTTAGAGGCGTTGGGCTGGCATATATAGGTTCTCTGTATACTTGGATATTCTTCTTTTTCATTGTGTGTGATTGGGGTAGGTAAAATAGCATGAGCGTAGTCTTTCATTCATTCTTATTTTTGTAATATTAATACATAAACACATATTTATACTGGCACAATTTAGTAGCGTGAGCATGCTCTTTTCTCTTCTTTCTCTTTCGCTCATGGTTGGCGTTACGCTATACTTTACTCTCTTTTCTTTTCTGTTTTTCCTATCGGGTGGAATCTATATGGCTGTCGTGGCAAAGCGCCTGTGACCAGTCAATATCAATACATCAGTCATGATTCATACCGAAGACATCATAATTCGGGCTCAGCTGTAATGTTGGATGCGGCTCCAAAGGGCGCCGGTGTTGGTGCCTGTTTTGTCCTTCGGCAGCAAACGCCCAGCGCAGGCCCCATAAAATCCCGCGCCAACAAATTGCTTCTTTCAGCCAGGGCTCCACCAGCCTACGGCAGGGCCTGCATTAACGGTGAAAATCAATCTACCTCTACAGAATGATTACGCGACGCGCCGCATCATTAAGCACCCTGGCGGCTACTTTCATCATCTTCACGGCCTAAGCCTCATTCTGCATCTCGGCCACTGCATGGCAGCTTCGTGCAGGCGCCTCAACGCAAGCTTGGCATCCGCTTCCCGTGCCTTCCCTTTCCATGACGATACTGCTGTATTCATGCCTGACTAGCGTGGCCAACATTTTCTTTTTATTTCCCTTCCAGCTGGAATTGCGCTTTTGTCTCTGACAGCACACACCCACGCCTGGAGTAACACCGATTCAAGGGCGTGCAGAACCTCATTGGCGCAGTCGTCACCGAAGGAGAGTCGTCGATTCATGGGCTTCGGAAGAAGGAAAAAAAAAAAAAAAAGAGACATAGGCTGGGGCTTACTGCCTAATCAGGCCCCTCCACCACCAGCACCACCCCCCCTTTGCTGTACAGCCTCGCAACCTTTGCTTTTTTTTTTGTTCCTCTTCCTGCACGGCTGCGGGTGCCAATAGAGCGAGGCCAGCGCATGCGATGAACTGTCAGGAGCTCCAGGAGGAGCTGACGGTCCAGGAGGTGATCCTGGACTCGCTGCAGGGCGAGACTTTTGAGGGTGTGGAACAGGACCGCGAAGAGGCTCAGACGGAGATTTCGAGGCTTAAGAGGGCTTTGAAGGCGCTTCGCAAAACTAAAAAGGACGAACAAGGTACGAAGAAGAAGAAAAAAGCCATTACCTTTTACCTTGCCTTTCCGTTTACCTTTATCTTGCTCACAATGGCGTATTGGTTTGGAGGTACTGATATGATGCTATTAGATGGCCGGCGGGTAACACCGCAGCGGGGCATGGGCTCAGATGTTCCAGCTACGCCAGGTAAGCATTTGCGTCTTCGATTTTCTCTCTGGTACCTCTCGATGCTTTCGTCCAATTGCTTGGAGTCATCCATCAGCTGTCGTCTGATATCACTGTTTGGTGACTTGGGCGTCACCCCCTCTCCGGCTTCCTTTTGGCTTTATTTGGGCTTTCCCTCTCTTTTTGCATCTCCAATGTGAAAAGAAACCTGTGCCGCAGAGGATCAAAAAAGTCAAAAAGAAGTTCAATCCACAAGTTCACGGTTTCACAAGCCCTCCTTTTCGCTTCTGGTCTGTGCATTTGATACATATTCTTCTTCCTCCCTCCCTTGCATCGTATATTTTCCCTCACCTCCCGCTGCCTTGCATTCACGCCACCTCACTGGCTGCATTATATCAAGAGGCGAAAGTTCTCTCTCTCATCACCAGAGCCTTAGTTATTCCTGTGTCGGCAAAGGTCTGATTCACTCGGAGCTTGCTTGTTTCAGCAAACGCTCCTTGGGCCTGCTCTTTGTGCGACGTCAAAGGTGCCCAATTGGCTGCCTTTTCCCGCCTCTTTTCCCGAACACATCTTCTGATTTTGCTCCATCAAGAAGTAGTCTTGACTTCCTCTGCCTGGCAACGATTAACCTCTTCGATGCTAATCTTTCTCTTCTATCAAACAAGGCAATAACCGCGGAACACCGGCTACTGCTGGCCCCTCGAGGTCGCACTACAGCCCAGCCGTCATGGAGACTCCTCGCAGACATTTGACCGCTGCAGATGGAGTGAGTCCAGCCTCGCTGTCGCTGAGGAATCGAAAGCGGGACTTTGAGTCAACCCATTTGGATGCTGGTCGTGAGTCGAGTAAGTCTCGACGGACGACTCCAGTTCCATTTGGTGGCCGGCCAAGAGCTGTTGCCCCCTTCCTATCAGACGAAGAAGTCGAGATTATTGACCTGACTGGGTATGTGAGCTCTGTAAACCCTTTTTTGCGCTCTTTCGTCGTGTTCAAATATCTCGGAACTGACAGGCTTTGTAGAGCTGATGTGGAACCCGATGCGACGTTTATTGCAGAGCAGATTCGACAAGCGCAGAGACACGAGCAGGAAAAAGCAGATAGAGAGATGGCCATCCTTCTGTCAAGCCAAGACTCGCCGCCTTCGTCCCATCGTGCATCTGGGCCGCCTAGAGGCTCTGACCCCCAACATCCTTCAGCTTTTGACCGGATAATGGCCACACAACGCTCTAATGCGCCTGGAGCTCCCTTAGATATCTTCTCTGGCAATGCTTCAAGACCTCCAAATCCTCGAATCGAGTCCAATGGATCTCAGTCAACACCATGGAACTCGACTGGGGCCGGATCTTCTCCAGCCTCGAGTCTTGAGGACCCGTTTAACCTTTTGTCAGGCTACGTAGACCCACAGCAACTACAAATTGAATATCCCATCGGCACTTCTAATGCAAACTTTATGCCCGGATCATTTACACCTACGACTCAACCTTTTACTCAACCTTTTGCAGGTGCACCTTCTCATAGGAACGGCCAGATGCAGCATAGTCCAAATGGACAAATGCCAGGAACGTTTCCTGGCATGGGCGGAGCACCGACCCTTGCAAGCAATGCTAACCGGACGCCATTATCGGATATTATTAATAGAACGAGCATGTTTGATTTTGTCAACGGACTGGATGAGAATGGGAATCCGCTCCCAGGCCGTGTAATGGACTATATCAACGAATCGTTGTATGATCCTAAAGTCACGGATCAGGAGTTGGATGATTTATTGAAGAACATCCGCCCGGACATGGAGATCCCAGTAGGCAATCGTGATGGAACGCCAGAGGGCCTTAAGAACTCCCTCTATCCTCACCAAATAGTCGCGTTGACATGGATGAAGAAGATGGAGGAAGGAACCAATAAGGGCGGCATTCTGGCTGACGACATGGGCCTTGGCAAGACCATATCAACTTTGGCCCTTATGCTTTCCCGCCCGGCAAATTCCCGTCCCAAGGTGAGTCTCAATTAGGTCCCGCCACGCATGTTATCCTACAGCTTTTTTGTGCTAACAAAGCTTTTTGGTAGACTAACTTGATTATTGGCCCGCTGGCCTTGATTCGACAATGGGAAGAAGAAATATACAAAAAGACGAGACCATCACATCGACTGTCCGTGTTTGTATATCATAACAAAAAGGCGACGACTGATGAACTCCTCAAATACGACGTTGTATTGACAACGTATGGTACAATAGCTCAAGAGTTGAAGCGGCTTGACAAATTCATTGAAGACAACTCGGGCCGTAACATCGATTTTAATGATCGAGCTATTGCGACCAAGTTTCCCCTCTTGAATCCGAGCAAGTCCATTTTCTACCGAGTTATTCTCGACGAAGCGCAGTGCATTAAAAACCAGCATACCAAGACTGCCAAGGCTTGCCATAAGCTAAGAGCAACGCATCGATGGTGCCTCACTGGAACTCCTATGATGAACGGTGTTGGCGAGCTCTTTTCCTTGTTGTGCTTCCTTCGCATAAAGCCGTACTGCGTGTGGGATCAATTTCGCCAGGTAAATCCTCTTTTCCTCCACCCTGCACTGTATACTCCGAGTCATCGAGCTAACTATTGGCAGAGCTTTGGTGTGCTCTTTGGAAAAAATGGAGATCCCAAAAGTGTTGCCATGAGCAGGCTTCGTGCTCTCCTCAAAGCCATTATGCTCCGTCGTAAAAAGGACTCCAAATTGGATGGAAAGCCTATTCTCCGGCTGCCACATAAGCACGAAGAAGTCTTGTATGCCGAATTATCCAAAGATGAGCGCGATTTCTACAATCAACTGGAGAAGAAATCGCAGGTACAATTCAGCAAATATCTACGCGATGGTAGCGTGGGCAAGAATTACTCGAGCATCCTCGTTCTGTTGCTTCGACTACGACAGGCATGCTGCCATCCCCATCTCAACCTTGACGTGGATGACACTGCACCAATCTCTAGTGAAGATATGCTTCAGCTAGTCAAGGATCTGGACGTCAATATTGTGGCAAGGATCAAAGAGGCTGATGCGTTTGAGTGTCCCATTTGTTATGATGCTGTTCAGTCTCCCATGTTTTATATCCCGTGTGGGCATGATTCTTGTCAACAGTGTCTGACTCAGCTGGCCGACAGCGCAGCTGTGGCGAATCTCCAAGAGGGCAATGAAAGTGACAAGGCTAAGTGCCCTGTTTGCCGTGGACTTTTCGATCCCAGAAAATGTTTCACGTATGAGGCCTTTCAAAAAGTGCACATGCCCGAATGCGTCGAACCGTCGGCTGCTGAAGAAGGCGAGACTGACAGCTCAGACGATGAAGAGGGTGACTCTGATGACGAGTTTGATGACGAGGTGGATCGTTTTGGCGATCTGAAAGGCTTCATTGTACACGATGAACCCGAAGATGATAGTGAGTCGGAAGTAAAGAAGGAAAAGAAGACGAAGAAGAAGGGCAAGAAAAAGCAAACCGAAATCAAGCCCTCTATGCTAAAGACTCTTCGCCACGAAGCATCCAAAAACAAACAGGCGTTCAAGAGGTACATGAGCTACTTGCGGAAGACTTGGCTGCCTGCCGCCAAAGTATCGGAGTGTATGGATCTTTTGAAACAAATCCACGAAACTGGAGAAAAGACGATTGTGTTTTCTCAGTGGACTCTTTTGCTGGATCTACTAGAGGTGGCTATGTGGCACGACAATTATCCAGGCAAACTGAGACGATATGATGGAAGCATGAGCTCAGAGCAGCGATTTGATGCCGCAAAGGACTTTCGTGATAAGAATGACGTCAAGGTCATGCTGGTATCTCTTCGCGCGGGAAATGCTGGACTCAACCTCACTGCCGCTTCTCGCGTTATTATCATGGACCCCTTTTGGAATCCATATATTGAGATGCAGGCTGTTGATCGCGCTTACCGCATCGGCCAAAAGAAGGAGGTGAAGGTATACCGCATTCTAACGCGTGAGACTGTCGAAGATCGAATCGTCGAGCTCCAGAATCGGAAGAAGGAGATGGTGGAGGCAGCCCTGGATGAGGCCGAAAGCATGAAGATTGGACGTCTTAATGTGAACGAACTAAAGTTTCTTTTCAACAGCCGCTAGAGTGCTATCAAGACGCATTGGCGAGCTTTTTACCAAGGTTCTTTTTCTTTTGTTTTTCCTTTTTTTTTTTTTTAATCTCTTCTCTCTTCGCGAATGATTGAGAAATTTGAGAAATGATTTGCTGTTTAAGATGATTGAGATGTTATATACTTTGCGATGGTTCGCGCTGGTTCGACGGCAAAATAGTCTTTATAACACCCTCCAAAAGTGTATTTAGGGACTAAGACGCTGCTTTGTCAGTAAAGGAAGGGTCAAGGAACGTATAGGTTTGCGAGAGTTGAGAGCAATTGACTCTTTATATGTTTGATGAAAAGAATGAAATTGATGATAGATATAACGATAGTTTATGCAGAAGCTGAGAAAAATCTCTCCAGGGGAAATACTAGAGATTTATAATAGGTACTAAATGCGAAATTTGCACAATGTGGTAAAATATGGCCTTGTACTCGATGAATCCTCAAAGTGATGAATCTCCTCAATTTGCCAAAAGCGAAACTCCTATATTCCTCTTCTATATATGATGCCTATAATAAGCTATCTGAGTGCCAACCGCTATTTTCAAAACACGCATTATTAACCATGTCCATCCGTATCTCTGTCTCTTGTTCGTCAACTTTCTTCTTATTTACACCCAGCTCGCAAGCCTCTCTCTCTAGGATGGAGCTTGTTCCGCGATGAGCGTCTTGATGACCTGCTCTGCCGATGTCGTCTCGCTAGGCCCGTTCACCGACCATTTCCACGTTTTAGTTTCGTCTTCGCTCTGGGCCGCATTGTTGACGGAGAGAATGAGCTGTTCGGCGTCACCCGCGCGCTCGAGGACAAAACCGATATCAAAGGTCTTGTTGTCGGCGCCCTGGATAGAAGTACCGTGGACGCTTTCCACAACGGTGGCGGTGGCGTTATCATCGTCGCTTGTTGAAGGAGGAAGTGAGGGGAGCACCTTGACAAAGTGATTTGTGAGGACGCGGGCGATGGCGGTGCGGAGGTAGTCGCCCAGGGCCTGGACGCTGGGATATCCCTCTGACCAAGGGGGGCACAGGGCCAGGAGAGGGGATGAAGCGGGCAGAAGAATGTAGTAGTAGGTTGCTGTGACGGGGAAGCTGAATGAGCGGCCGCGGATGGTGAGGGATACGTCGGGGAAGATGGTGAGCTCGATGGTGAAGTCTTGCGTTTGTAGGAGATTGCGGACCAAGGTGTGTGATGCGGATAGCTGGTTTGGTCCGCGCGAGCTGGGGTCGGAGGCGGTTGTTTGCATGGTGCGTAGGATGAATGAGGATTGAATGCCGGCCTTTTGGAGGGTGCGTACTAATAAGCCCATGTTTTGCATAGATTCCTCAACGTTCTTGAGGTACATGGTGCGCGCAAGGACAGGGCGGAGGAGAGCGTAGGATTGCTGGCGAGTAGAGCGGGAGATGTGAGGGGGGATAGGCCGTATCCTCATGAGCTCGTTGTATCGATGTGCGTAGCTGAGAAGGATATGCAGAGCCATGGAGATCTTTTCTGCCAGGCCGTTTTCTGGCATGTCCTGTTCAGGCGAGGGACATGATTCCAAAGGCAGCAGTTCTAAAGTGATTTTGGTTGTTTCGTCGATTTGGCAGGCCAGCTTCCTGCCCTCGGGTTTTACGTCGTAGGCGGCTAATGAACGCGACTCTTTGGTGAGCTCATGCCACAGCTCTTGCGAGAAGATGGTGTTGCGTGCTTCTAGCACCCGAGCCTCTAGCGATTCATCGTCAGAGGACGGCCGCGTGGTAGATCGCCCAATGACCTTTCCATCCTTTTCGTATGTTACGACGAGGGCTTCAGAAACACCGCCTAGTCGGCCAAAGTCGAGATCTGCAGAGCCATCGTCGCCACGCCGCATAGGTGCTAAACCATTATTTTTAAACTCGGCGGCAGCTGGTAAAGCAAGTTAGCATCTTCTCCGTGCGCACACGACTTGAGCCAAAACGTACCCTCTGAGAACCCAAATCTGACTCCCAAAGTATGCCTCTCCTGTGGGACTCTGCTTATGGACCAACCGGCCTTCTTGACTCCGACGATATCTTCCCAGTATTTACTCTCAGAATTGATCTCTTTTTCTAAAAATGAAGCAGCCTCTTCTGAAGAATCTCTAGTCTTGTTGATTTCTAAAAGGGTCCACCCCATGGCGACCGATTCTTTGTCCTTTGTCTTAGCAGGTGTGACATTCGAATCGTTGAGCTTGTCTGCGCCCAAGGTGCCAATGCCGACCATGTCGCGGAGTTGTTGTGATAGCGTCAAGCCTGCTTGTGTTGGGTTCTGTTTGGAGAGGAGGAGAGACATGGAATCGAGGGTCAACAGAGCGGCGTTACCGGCTATACTGCAATCATGGCGCGTCAGAATATTAGTCTCAAGGGTCGATGGTCTCAATCATGTAAGAGCATCCGTACTCGATATTCTTCAAGACTTCCATCCGCGCGACACCGGGATCCTTCTCCGCTACGTCGGCCTCCCCAGCGGCCTCGGACACTTCTTCGTCTTGATCGTCGGCCGCATCGGGATCCTCGCTGTTCCTGAGTTCTTCGCGGAGCTTGTCCTCTGTTATGGAGCGGAAGCCCCCAGGCTGGGCATTGACTCGAGCAATGAACTCGGCAAGATTCTTGGGCTTTTGGTCGGCGACGGGAAAGGGCCGCAATGAAAGCGGCGGACCGCCTTCTGACGACATGACGAATTTCAATGCGTAACTGTCGAGGCTGGTGGTGGTGGCAGCCTCATTGAGGTCGTGCAGTTTCGATGGCCAATCGCGACGCTGTTTGTAGATGATCAGTAGCTTCCACTCGACAAGGCTGTGAAGCTCCAGCGAAGACTGGCCAAATGTGGAGAGGTTGAGCTTCAAGTCGTCTCTGATTCGCTGTCTGCTTCTATGTACCGGTGCTCGTTGTTTGCGCGTGTAGATACAAACAGCTCACAGCCTCATGACATCCTAACCCAAACTGCACTAGCTGCGAGTGCTCTTTAACTTTCGCAAAGCTCCGAAGCTGAGGCCCTAATGGCATTTCTACAGGGGCCTCTAGCGCTGTAACCGCCGACTGCCGGAGGTCCGTGGACTGGGATGCTACGCCGGTGTCGAAGGACGTCCCTTGAAATTGTGCTTCACACCGACTCACAAATTCCCTCATTGCCATTACGTGGTGCTTGTAGTCAATGATCAATTGCTTGAGCGGGATTGATTCGCATTAATCATGTGCGTGTGTCGCGCCACTGTAGTCATGGCGCCAGGCATCAGATGGAGGGACCGGTTTATAGTGTACACTTGGGGGCTGTACCTTGCTGGTGCTTGGACCTATTACGTAGGAGGGGTTACCAGCCATAAATGACGGAATGGACGAATTATCTTCTTGTCAGAGATAGCCACGTTTTGGCGTCCAAATGCGGATGATGATTAGGTTCAGCTTAGAGTTTCTGTAGCAGCGCTTCATGATTTCTTCAATCAGTCCTTCTCCCTCTTCCACGTCTTCATCGAGTAGCTCTGAGTCTGCGCTGGGATAACGTCACAGAGGGCAAGGGAAAAAAAAATTAGAGCCCCGCCAACTGATAGCATCGCATTAAGGGCCGATAAGAGCTTCTCGTCGCCAATCCCCCTCATGCCACTCTGAACTACACCAACATCCCATATCCTGTATATCTTACCCGCCACTTAAATATTGTTTATCCTTGGGCTCACGGGCGACGGGCCCCTTTAAATGCCTCTCCAGCATTACCTAGAATTCTTTCCAGGACCCATTGACATCTTATTAACCTTTCGTCGCTTCTTTCGACGCATCTGGCAGGCCCTCTTTCGCGGCATCGGATACTCCACGACGGCCTCGTTTGCGAATCTACCATCCACGATGACTGTCAAGAAGAAGATTGCCGTCATGACCTCGGGAGGCGACTCCCCGGGCATGAACGCCGTTGTTCGCGCCGTCGTCCGCATGACCATCCATATGGGCTGTGACGCCTTTTGTGTCTACGAGGGATACGAGGGTCTGGTGCAGGGCGGCGACCTCATCAAGAAGATGGGATGGGACGACGTCCGAGGCTTCTTGTCCGAGGGTGGCACTCTGATTGGCACTGCTCGATGCATGGCCTTTTACGAACGACCGGGCCGACTGACGGCGGCCAAGAACATGGTGCTCAACGGCATCGATGCCCTTATTATCTGCGGAGGTGACGGCTCTCTTACCGGCGCTGACAAGTTCCGGGCTGAATGGCCGTCGCTGATTGACGAGCTCGTTTCCAACAACGAGTTGACTGTCGAGCAGGTTGCGCCGTACAGGCACCTGAATATCGTCGGCCTCGTCGGATCCATTGACAACGACTTGTCCGGCACGGATGCGACAATTGGCTGCTACTCGGCCCTCTCCCGTATCTGCGAAATGGTCGACTATATCGAGGCGACAGCTTCTTCGCACTCTCGTGCTTTCGTTATTGAGGTCATGGGACGACACTGCGGATGGCTGGCTCTGCTGGCGGGAGTTGCGACGGGAGCAGACTTTGTCTTTATTCCCGAGCGGCCGCGAGATCACGATTGGAGAGAGGACATGAAACTCGTGGTTCAACGGGTGAGTTTTGATAAATACTATTCTTCGAACCTATGAGTGTCACGACTAACTTGTTGCTTTTTTCTTTCTTTCTAATAGCACCGCAAGATGGGAAAGAGAAAAACCATCGTCATCGTTGCAGAGGGCGCCCGCGATAAAAATGGCACCAAGATCTCTCCGACTGAAATCAAAGATCTGCTGGCAGACACCAGCGAAGGCGGTCTCGGCCTCGATACCCGAATCACCACCCTGGGACATGTTCAGCGAGGAGGCACAGCCGTGGCCTACGACCGCATGCTTGCCACACTCCAAGGCGTTGAGGCCGTAAAGGCTGTGCTGGAAGCAACCCCCGAGACGGAAACCTGCTTCATTGCTATCAACGAGAACAAGATTGTGCGAAAGCCGCTTATGCAGGCCGTCAAGGAGACGAAGGAAGTTGCCGTTGCTGTTGACGCCAAAGATTTCGACAAGGCCATGGGTCTACGAGACACTGAATTTTCAGATCAATACAAGTCCTACCTGACAACCACAAACGTTCTGATTGACGACCACAAGCTACCCGAGAAGAACGTTAGTATTTTCCCCATCATTTGAAGATTGTATTAATTACTGATATTCTCCTAGCGAATGAAGATTGGATTCATCAACGTTGGCGCTCCTGCTGGCGGTATGAATGCCGCTGTGCGCGCAGCTGTTGCATACTGCTTCTCCCGTGGACACGAGCCCCTTGCTATTCACAATGGGTTCGCCGGGTTCGCTCGCCACCACGGTGATTCGCCTCTCGGGGCTGTCCGACCATTTGACTGGCTCGAGGTCGATGGCTGGGCCAGCAAAGGAGGCTCGGAGATTGGTACCAACCGTGAACTCCCTTCGGAGTCCGGCATGGAACTGATTGCCAATCTCATTGAGGAGTATGAATTTGATGCTCTCTTCATTGTCGGTGGCTTCGAGGCATTCCACGCCATCTCAGAGCTGCGCAAGGCCAGGGATCAGTATCCATCGCTCTGCATCCCCCTTTGCCTCTTGCCGGCAACCATCTCCAACAACGTTCCCGGCACCGAGTACTCACTGGGATCGGACACTTGTCTCAATGAGCTGGTCAACTACTGCGACAAGATTAAGCAGTCCGCTTCGGCCACCCGGCGCCGTGTCTTTGTTATCGAGACTCAGGGTGGGCGTTCCGGCTACGTTGCTACACTGGGAGGCCTCAGTGTGGGAGCTTCTGCCGTCTACATCCCCGAAGAGGGAATCAGCCTCGAGATGCTAAACGCGGATGTTAAGCACCTCAAGGAGGTTTTCAACCAGGACAAGGGCCAATCTCGCGCGGGTCGCCTTATTCTTATCAACGAGAAGGCCAGCAAAGTCTATGATGCGAAGCTCATTGCTAGTATTATCCGAGATGAAGCTCACGACCGCTTTGAAAGCCGAGAGAGCGTTCCCGGACACGTGCAGCAAGGTGGTGTGCCTTCGCCCATGGATCGATGCCGTGCTGTCCGTTTGGCCATCAAGTGTATCGAGCACCTGGAAGACTTTGGCCGCAATGCGCATAACCGAGTGAAGAAGGATCCTAACAGCACAAGCGTGATTGGCATCCAGGGCTCCGAGGTCGTCTTCACACCGATTGCAGAGCTTGAGGAGAAGGACACAGACTGGCCCAACAGAAGACCCAAGGCTGCCCACTGGTTGGACATGCGCGAGGTGGTGGACATTCTGGGCGGAAGACCACCCTATCCGAAGCCGGAGAGGAGCTTAACAGGACTCGTTGCGAAGGATATGAAGCGTGGAATTTACTCGGGTGGGGACTAATGGGTGCTATGATAGGTTTCTCGTTTCTTTCTATTCTGGGTTAATGAAAAAAAAAATGACTATCAAAATTACATGGTTATTGATTATGATCAATATTGTAACAAAAGGAACTGTAAGAAGAAGACAAGATGGAGCACTAAAAAAATCATTATTATCACGATAGTTGTCCCAAGACGGCTGTGTCTCCAGCTGAGCTCCGCAACAGAGCCGCAGCATCTGCGAGTGCCACCAACGCAACGGGATCCCCATCGGCCATGACCGCTAGGGAAATATCTGAGCAAATGGGATATTGCCGAGAGCTTTTTTAGATGCCGCTTTGGATATGACCTGCAGTAGAGGGAGCTTGTGCTTGTAGATTGTCGATGTGCTCCGTTAAGGCATGAAGCCGGCGCTGGAGCCCGAGGCGTTCCTTGCAGCACATGGGCAGTGCAGTGCTAGCTGGCATCTACAGAGAAGAGCGAGAGAGAGAGAGAGTTGATGGCGGAGTTAGTTTGTGCATGTGGCTGCGCATGGCCCCGGTTCTGGTTCTTTGGACCTGCGTTGCGGGCGATGAGCAGTCATTACTACCGTAGAACTGCATGCTGTGATACAAGTTTATCTCTATCGCATCTGGGACCTGTACGTAGCGTTTAATCTATCGCAAGGTACTTGTGCGTTTTTTCATCACTGTTAACATCATCAATGGATATCTACGCAAAGACTCCCATGAATCATGCTCTTCATGTCGCCAAGGGCGATGCCACCACACACCCACACCCCTCTCCTCCCTCCATTCTCGTGGCCAGCCGCCGGTAGTAGCGAGTTTTTTTTTGGGGGTCACGATGCCAGGGTTTTAGTGACGCATGTGACGGGGGTGTCGACTTCGTCTTAGCTCTGCTTAGTTCCAGGCCTGGCTGCTGATGCGTGCAGAGACCAGGGACTGCGGGAGAGAGGCTGTGACGCCATGACCTGGCGGTACTGCTGCTGCTACTCTCCGTACTGCTACTGCTACACTCTCAGAGTCAGAGGGAAAAGAGAGGCGAGATGGATGGACGCCTCGTCAGGCTTCTTGCTGTGGTGTGGTTCGCGAGGCATGTCACCGGATAGAGTGCCACTGCGAACGGATTACTCGTAATAATATGGAGCAGGCCTGTGAAGACGAGTAATATCTCGCTACTCGTATGGTCTTTACATCTCTTTGAGAAGGCCATGGAACGGCAAGGAATACTATTGGCATCAACAAGAGGGGGGGGGTCTCGGCTCAAAGACGCCTAACCAGGGGCCGCTCCCTCGATTTCACTATGCCATCATCATGTTGTATCCCCCTCCCCTCGTTGGGCTGCTAGCGAGTAATAGTACCTGAAAGGCCAAAAAAAAAAATTAATTAACGAGGGAGCAGCACAGCGTAAATTAAGAAAAGAACGCAGCATCGGTAGCCAGAAAAGATGCGCAATCTAGCCCGCTGCACTATTGCGTCAGGGATTCAAAGGAACGGTCTTTGGCGGCCCCCCTCCATGCTAGGCGCTAAGGTGGGAGCTTTGGCTGTCGCAGCACTGAGACAAGTTGGGCTGGAATCGAGGTGGGTGGGTGGATGGGGAAAGCTTCACAGCCCACCGCCGGGATGGAGCTAAGCCGGGGGTGGTTGATGCAGACGGTAGAAACGCAAAAGCACAAAGAAAGAAAGACGAAGAAGAGGAGAGACGCAGAATATAGAGGTCGAGAGTAGAAACAGATGGTGGTGTTTGCGCAGATGGCTGCGCCTTTCTCTGGCGAGGCCCGGTTGGGCGAGGCTTTCGGAAGGGTTGAGAACGAGACGGAAAATGGCGTTTGCAAAAGCAGGCTGGAGGCGGGGGCCAAGCATGGACCGAGCCGCTGCTACGGCGCTCAGAAGCAGGCGGGCTGGGCTGTGTGGCTGTTAGTCTGATACCGGTTGAGAGTACGAGAGAGCACCAACAGCCATTATTGGCGTGGCTGGGAACCGTCTCTGTGCTTGGTTCTGTTGCTGCGTTTTACGTATTGCATTAACAACTCCAACTCTGTTGATTCTCAGCACCTTGGTAGTTTGTCTCGCATGCAAGCGCCCAAGCCGTTCTTTGACAGCACCGTCATGGAGCCTGTAGTTTCGAGGCACCATCAAAGGCAAACGAATCTACCAACTGCTGTTGCTCCTAAACATGTACCCCGTGAAAACCCCGTGCATGCTGCAGTCCCATGTACCCAGCACCTTGTCCTGACCGAGAGGCCATGATGAATGCAGCCGGTTCTTGGTCCCCGCTTGGGCTCCAAAATGGACCGAACAAAGAGTCAGAGCACCAGAGTATGTTAGTAGACTGGTGTTTCAGCATCCATCCAAGCGCCCCCAAAAAAACAAGACAAGACGAGCAGAAGCGTCCAGAGAGAGAGAGATAGAGAGAGAAACAAAGCCAGAGAAACTTGGTCTTTGAGCCCTCCAACCCGCTCTCGGTATCGTCTGGTGGCGCATTGCATTTTTTTTTTCCCTGGGATGGCCCCTGGTTTCTTTTTTTGGGCTCTTATGCATCTGATTTGACAGAGACATCAGGTCAGGTTCTAGCACTAGCACCAGCAACTTCTGATCGCCTGAGCCCAGTTCCAGCGGGATGACGTTTGGCCAGCCCCCTGTCGCCAGCTGATACTGCCTTGCTGCCTCTAAAAAGTCATCACTGCCCCTCTGGCCGTTGGCGCCCGCCTGGAGCTGCCGCCAGTGACCAGGGGCTTACAAGTACTTGTAGGAAATCGTCGGAATCAGCGTCTGGGCTCTTTTTATTAGTCGTCTCCCCCGCCTCCTCTGCTCTCTCTGCTGTCTGACTCTGCACACTGCATTTTGTCTAGCTGCGTCGCTGTAATCTGTGCTGCGCACTTTGTTCGCCCTCGTCCCGTTTCCGACTTTGACGACTCTCGCTTGCCGCGTGCGCCCATATTCTCTTTGTTTTCTTGTTTCTTGGGGGGAGAAAAGAGAACGGTGAGTGTCCTTCTGCGCTCTGCCCGCGCCCTCGTCCTTTGAGCAACGTCACAAGGGAGGCCATTTCGTCTCAGCCGCATGACGTTCCCACCTGGACCCCGCTTCGACTCCTCCCGCTTATACTGATTGATAAAGCAAAGTCACCGCAGAAGACGCTTGTCCGGCTTTTTGTTACTCAGACACACTTTCACACAAAGAGGAGCGCTGAGCTTTCCTCTTGAGACTTAAGACTTGAGACTCGCGGCACACGAGACCGATCAGCCAAAGGAGTTAAAAAAAAAAAAAGAACACAAGGCACAAACAAGACATGGCCTACCGAGAACGGGACGACTATCGTCGGTCCGCCGTCGAGTTTGACGACATCCGCGCTCGCACCGTTACCCGCAGCCCCGCGCCGCCCAGAGCTCGCCGCGGGGAGTTTGACGAGTTTGACGTGCGCATCCGCGAGCGAGATGGCGACCTGCCGGATTTCCTGAGGGGAGCTCGAAGGCCCGAGGCTGGCCCAATGGTCCTGCGCCCGCGCGAGGATCCCTACGAGCAGCGCCAGCCGCGCGAGCCCGCCTTCCGCGAGGAGCGTCTTGTGCGCCGCGCCCAGAGCGTTGCGCCGCCCGAGGAAGAGATTGACGTCCGCACCCGATTTGTTGAAAAGATTCGCAGCCCCTCGGTTGCTCCCCGGCGCCGGTCTCCCTCGCCAGACAGGAACGTCCGATATGTTCAGCCGAACGACACCTCTGAGCACATCCGCATCATTGAGAGAGAGCGTGAGCGTGAGCGAGTGCCCTCTCCGTCGCCCTCACCGCCACCGGCTCCTCCCGTGGTTCGCGGCCCCGTGATTGAGCGTGAGGTCATCACTCACTACACAGACATTGACCATGGTGAGTGGTTTTTCTTTTTTGCTGCAGGAAATTCGGTTGTTTCGAGTGTTGTCAAATAGAGTTCGATGCTAACCAACCTTTAGGCATGATTCAAGCCAGGCAGCCATCCCCGCCTCCAGCGGCCCGCGCCCGGTCCCGCCCGAGAGAGCGCGAGACGCGCGAGACTGACATTGACATTGACATTTCTCGGTCCAAGGGCCGCACCACTGGTGTCGAGGTTGACATTCACCGGTCTGCCAGCCGCACTCGCTCCAAGAGCCGTGAGAGGCGCTCCAGCCGCTTTTATGATGACGACGTTGTCGTCCGCCGCGACCTCCAGATTGATGAGACCAGAAGCCGCCGGAGAGCTCACTCAGCTGCCGCGCGCCCTGTCGAGGATGACGAGTCCGAGTACATTACGTCCAAGGTCGATGGCCGTGGACGCATGGGCGAGGCTTGGGGAGGCGCTACCAAGGACTGGGCCATTGTGGATGTGCCGCCCGGAACTGAGCGGATTCGCATGGACGGTGTTGGCGGCGCCACCACCGATACCACTTGGTCCAAGTACAGCGGCGTGAGGCGGACCAAGTTCGTCCCGGAGCGAGAGAGGGAGTTTAGAGATGATCTGTCCAACAGGGCGCCCTCGCCACCTCCTGCTCTCGGCCGCGAGCGTGTCAGCGTGTCCGTCCTCGACCGCGACCGTGAGATTGACATTGGAGTTGACAGGAGACAGCCCAAGGATATGTGGACTGAGATCACCAAGGACTTGGTCATCCGAGAGGCTATCGAGGAGCTTGGCTATGAATATGAGGAGACTGACATGTTCTTCTACGTCATGGACTACCTGAAATATGTAAGTCTTGCAGATGCCTCGCCATTGATAACTCTGACCGAAACGAGTTTACTAACATGAATGTCTTCACAGGATGATGTTCTGAAATTGACTGAGCTATCTGATGATATCCGACGATCCAGGCGACAGCGCCAGCGCGACAGCATCCGAATTGAGCGAGATTACTATGATGACATTGACCGAAGGGCCTATGACAGACGCCCAGCACCATCAGCCCCTCGGCGAGATGAGCGCGAGCGCGTCAGGGAGACGGAGGTCATTTACGACCGTGCTCCCTCGGCTCGCTATCGCTAAATGACATGGTGTTCCGTCACTTAATTAAAACATCTCAGCTGAATCTACAACAACTTGGGAGAGGATGAGAGAAGTTAATCAAGTTTGCATGTCAGAGAGCGAGTTATCATGATGCATCATCTTTTGAGTGTTTTGGATTCGGGGCTCTGTTACTTTTTGAAGAAAGGAAATGAAGCTTGCTCAAAAGAGGAGGAGAATGTAAAACGAGGAAGATATAAACAGGGTCAGCTGAGCGGTCGAGCAACGACGACGGAAACGCGGGCGAGAAGTTGGATGGTTTATCTTTTTTTCTCTGATTCCACTTTTTGATTTTCCTCATGTCTAACGATCGATGAATGTTTGATGACGACTTGGGAGTTTTACATTGACGATTTGCTTTATTCTATTTTTATCTTTTATTTTTTCTTCTCACATGTAATGAATAACGAAAAGGCAAATAAATAAAAAATACTCTATATAATATCTTGTATGTTGTTGATTTTGACGTGACCATGGTGAATCAGATCTCGGCTTCTTTTTGTACTAGCAGTGAAGCTGGTCATCTGGAGCACCGACTACAGTTGGATAGTTGGCCACTACCGGCGATTGTTACTACATCAGGAGATGGGATGGATTTTGAATTAAGCGATAAATAAACTGTCATGATCATCACACGACATTCTATTTGGCCCTACAAGGCCATTCCCCCACGCTGCGTGATTCGGCCTCCAGCACCTCATCCGGAGAAATCAGTGCAGCGAGGCCTTGTTCGTCCCTGTTTTCCCGCACGGGCTACTGTGGGGAGGCCCGGGTTCCCGTAGCTGACGCAGAAAACCCACATTGTGGATTTCAGACCCGACTGGGAGCGATGACGCTTGCGAGAAACAGACGGTTTGAAGACGGGCAGCCAACGATATCGGAGGCGATGGTAATAGTAGACGCTGCATGGGTGCCTCACCCACGCACCCATGTATTGGAGTCAATTGATGGAATCTCCAATTCCTCATGGAATGGATGAGGATGGAATAAAGAAACCTGTCAAAAAAATTCTAGTGCCGCAAAATCCACCGAGATGATTGTTGGCCACGCCCTTTTGGCCGTTGGCGTGATGGTGGCGGATCACAAACTGGAATAGCAAATGGCTTGCAGCGCTTGCATGCAGCCACTGTGCGTCTAATTGGGCAATGCCTGCAGTTACGTACTTGTCTAGAGTCGCAATTTCGCAGGCGCGCGCCCATCGCGGGACAAGATGCTGCAGAGGCGGAGATGAGTCAGAAGGCTGGAGATGCCAAGCTGTGGAAGTCTTGATTATATATTACTGTATTGTGTCTTTTTACATCTGGATTGAAAGAAGCATCCCTTTATTCACTTGTAAAAAAAGGACAATCCAGGTCTTTCCACGGGATTGCCAAGTAACAAAACCACTCTCTCGGTCGCCGGCGTCGGGCTTAGAAACTTTGGACCCCTCCATCAATCACTTTCCATAGCGGAAGCCCCGAAAGACTCGCGCTCAACCCCAGAATATTTGCCCCGCGATACCTTATTTTTTTTTTACCTTGCTCTTTTTTCTGAATCCTTCTCTCCTATACACAGAGATCAATTTTCCGGAATAGCAGCCAAGATGCCCATGTGAGTCTATCCATTTGCGCGCCAACTCTTCCTCTCCGCAATTAGGCTAACGATGACGTCCGTCGCAGGCTCAAGGAACCGTGGAAGAAATACAAGGCGTTCCCGCCGTTGAACCTGCCTGATCGCCAATGGCCTTCAAAAACCCTCGACAAGGCGCCTCGGTGGCTGTCTACCGATCTGCGCGATGGTAACCAGAGTCTGGTCGACCCAATGGCAAGTCTACAACTTTCGCATTGAGAGTCGGGAAGAAGAAAAAAGAAGAAAAGCTCCGATCTCGCTGTGTTCCTGGGCTAACTGAACAACTGTCGTACAGAGCGGCGATGAGAAGTGGCGCTACTTCAAGATGCTGGCCGACATTGGCTACAAGGAGATTGAGGTTTCCTTCCCTTCCGCCTCGCAGACCGATTTCGATTTCACACGCCGCCTGGTCGAGACGCCCGGCACCGTTCCCGACGATGTCTGGCTGCAAGTCCTGTCACCCTGTCGCGAGGACCTGATCAGACGCACCGTCGAGTCCATGAAGGGCGCCAAGAAGGCCATTATTCACATCTACCTCGCCACTAGTGAGTGCTTCCGGAAAGTGGTTTTCAACTTCTCTCAGGAAGAGACTCTGGAGCTGGCCACGCGATGTGCGAAGCTGGTTCGGTCTCTGACCAAGGACGACCCTTCCACGGCCGGCACCGAATGGGCCTTTGAGTTCAGTCCCGAGACCTTTTCTGATACCGAGCCAAACTTTGTCCTCCAGGTCTGCGAGGCTGTCAAGGCTGCCTGGGAGCCTTCGGTGGAAAACCCCATCATCTTCAACCTGCCCGCCACGGTTGAACTGGCCACACCCAACGTATATGCCGACCAGATTGAATACTTTTGCCGAAACATTTCGGAGCGCGAGAAGATTTGCGTTTCGCTCCATCCCCACAATGATAGAGGTACGGCCGTGGGCGCCGCAGAGTTGGCACAAATGGCCGGTGCAGACAGAGTCGAGGGCTGCCTGTTTGGCAATGGCGAGCGGACGGGCAACGTCGACCTAGTCACTCTGGGTCTCAACCTCTACACACAGGGTATCCACCCCAACATTGACTTTTCAGATCTCGGCAGCATCATCGACATGGTCGAGACATGCAACAAGATTCCCGTACACCAGCGAGCTCCGTATGGTGGCTCCCTGGTCGTGTGTGCCTTCAGTGGCTCCCACCAGGACGCCATCAAGAAGGGCTTCGAGCTCCGGGAGCGCGAGAACAAGGCCTTTGACGACCAGTGGCAGATGCCCTACCTGCCGCTGGATCCTGCCGACATTGGACGCACATACGAGGCTGTCATTCGTGTCAACTCACAGAGCGGCAAGGGAGGCGCTGCCTGGATCATCCTGCGTGGCCTGTCCCTGGATCTGCCGCGCGGTCTGCAAGTTGCCTTTTCCAAGGTCGTCCAGAAGAGAGCCGACGAGCTTGGCCGAGAGCTGCTGCCCTCTGAAATCACAGAGCTCTTTGAGCAGACCTACTTCCTCAGCAACAACCCGCGCTTCAGCATCGTCGACTACAACATCTCCACCGATAGGTCCAGATCGCCGGCGCCTGTGGCACCCGGCAAGACACCCGTCACAAAGGATCTCATGCGTGTGTTTAACGGTGTGATTTCCGTGGACGGAAGGGAGTTTAAGCTCGAGGGTCGCGGCAACGGTCCCATTTCCAGTTTGGCCAACGCCCTAAGAGGCGTCGGCGTCAACTTGGATGTCCAGGACTACAAGGAGCACGCTATCGGTAGGGGTCGGGATGTCAAGGCTGCTACGTACATAGAATGTACGGCGGCTGGAAGCAACATGAAGGTGTGGGGAGTGGGTATTCACGAAGACGTGGTACAGAGTTCTATGATTGCCCTCTTGAGCGCGGCTAGCAACGTGAGTTTTTCTTCTTCTTCTTTCCTCTTCTTGTTTTGAAGTTCTATGTGCTGATATATATGGATTATAGTTCGCTTCTAGTCGGCCGGGAAGCCCGTTTGTTGCCAAGCCCGTGAGCGTGGATGGCCATGTTGCTGAGCTGAATCTGAATGGCAGTCCCAGTAAGGTGAACGGGTCTTCCTAAGTTGATAGGCTATTGGATGTTTCGGATATACTTGGACGAGATGGGAAAAAAAAAAAGAGGAAGAGGGAAGAAGCAAGATGCTGTGTGGATGATGGATGGAAGAGTCACATGTTGCAAAAAATCTATACCTTGAGGAAGATGAAAGTGCTGAGGTTGCAGGACGGGAAAACAAAAAGGAGGGCCCTTTTAGGGCAGAAAAATTGCATCAGAGGATGTTGAGTGAATTTGATGTGTATACTATTTGTTTCGAGGAAACAAAGTGTTTGCTTTTATCATTCAAGGGCAGAAAGGCTGCGTCAAATGATGTTGTTGGGTAAATTTCAAGTGTATACTACTTGTTTCCAGGAAGAAGATGCTTGCTTTCGTTGTTTGATATAAATCGTTGAGCATCAATTACAACCATTTACTTGGACAACTACTACGTTACGATTGGTTCAATAGCATAGGTTCTTTTCTTTACTTGTTGTCAAAATGCATAAACTTGACACCCGTTTACCATGTGCGCATCTGCAACTATGAGGCAAAAAATGCCATCTGGAAGAGTCGTTGCCGTGGAAGCTGTGGAGTCAGTATTTTGATTCTACGGAGTACACACTGAGAACGCCCGGGCGGGGAATAATAGAAGCCTTTGGAAAGGTGGCTGTAAACGGATACTGTGCGAACTTGCAAAACGTCTGCGCAGCACATTCTTTGTTTTGTTCGTGGTGCCTGTTCGCCAAGAGGGGCTCTAGTCTAGTAGGTGGTATTTGATAACATCTCGTACATGCTTGTATGTGAGGGGGAAAGGATGAAAGACCCTTGACACAAATATCCGGCGTGTGACGACGCTGGGGGTGCAGAAAAGCGCTGCGCAATGATAAGCATAATTCACGGTCTGCATGAAGACGCTTGAGCGAGGCCTGGCTGTTCTCGACCCCGCTTGGCTGGGCGAGCTCTTTTCCGACTCTTTACACTTGTATGCTGTAGAAGTTGGGGCCATGACATGGAAGAGTGAGGCTCAAAAGCCTCCAATGCCCGTTGTGACATGTATAGAGCAGGCAGGCACATGCTAATAGCGGAGTGCATCCATGTGTTTTTCTCAAGAGGGGTGCTCGATTTGCAAGGTACCAGACCTCACATGACGGCACTGGAAGCAGAGGCTGTAACACTAGCAGCTTCCATGTCCGGGCCAGATGGGCGGCAGCGAGGGATGACGCATATTTGCCACTCCCTGCTGATCCCCTGGAGCCCTACCGGGCCAACAGGGCCCTGCATCAACAGCACAAGAGCCGCTGCGGTCTTGTCGGCGACTGTTTCTGTCTCTCGGTATATAACAGAGACAACAGAGCATGCAAGCACGTACATCGCATATGAGTCCGTCCTGTCCAGCCCGTCTAGAAGGAAAGGCGAGAGCAAAATGCAGCTGCTGCAGGTGGCATGTGCTCGCAGGCGTCCGGGCAGGCAACTTGGCGGGAACCCTTGGATCGCGCGCCCCGCTATCCCAGCAAGCTTTTCGCGCCGCCTCAGCTGCGTTAAACGAAGTTTCGCCGGCTTCGCCCTTGCAGGTCTACCCCTCGTTGCCCTCGCAAAAGCAGCACAGGTTGCGGTCTAAAAGCCAGCCACGGCTGTCGCTGATTCGACCGACTGCGCTGGGTGGGCACCCGGGAAAAAACATCCTCCCGCGGCCTTGCCCGGCTGCTGCTTGCTCTGCACAAGGGCCGCTGTCATTCTGCTCTGCGCTGTGCTGCTTCGCATTCCCGACGCCTGAGACTGAGACCCTCCCCGGAAGCACCGCTAAACAGGCCGCCGCCACACTACAGTAGTGCTCGCTGCCCACTAGCCCGCCCAGCTCAGCTGTCGGCTCTCACTGCTCCAGCGGCTCTCCAGCATGCCGTGCGTGCGTTGTTTGTCCCAGCCGATCTAGATTTCCAGGCATAAACTCTATTCGCTATTTGATCGCATTCTCGACACCGCGCATCGTTTCACTTCCCTCTTTTCTCACTTTCCTCACTTTCCTCTTCCCAAAACAGCAAACAAGCGCTGCAGCCGTCACTTGCACCTGAGCTTGCCCTTTACCTGCAGCCAGCCATTCCTCGACTCGCCTCTTCTTTCGGCCGCGCTGCGCTTTGTGCTTCTGTTTGTTTCTCACAGCCCGGCACGCTCTTTAGCACGTCCCTCGTCGCTCCCTGGCCCTTCTAAAGTAGCGCCCCGACAGGCATCCGGCAGCTGCTGCGAGAAAGTGGCGGTAGCACCTCTAGCCCCGTCATCCCACAGAAACTGCCCCCCTGCACCTTTTGGAGGCCAGACCCTCAGTGCGATCCCTCGACCCTATTCGCCCTCTTCACTCTCGACGCCTGCTTCTGACCGTAATACAGCCCAGGCAGCTGTTGGGATCCTCACGCTCCGGCCTTGATTTGGGACCACGATAAAAGAAGAAGAAAAAATTATATATCAACAAGAACAATAGACCGCCCTTTGCCTTTTTTTTCTGCCTTGTCGAACCAGACCGACTACGTGTATCCCACAAGGCTACCTCTTTTTTTTTTTTTTTTTTTTGTTTTCCTTTACTTTCTCTCTTTGCTCGCCGACTCCGCCTTAGGAACCTCCCCCGCGCCTACGCCCTTATTTTTTTTCCCTTCTCCCCCCTTGGTGCAAACACGTGTAGCTGCACCCAACATCGACACGGCGTTTCCCACCAGCATCAGCAGCGCCCTTTTGGTCGACGCATGAGAGGACGCTTTACAGACCGCAATCATGTCGGGCTCAGAGATTAATACGGTGCTCGCACACTCGCTATCTGCAGGTTAGTAGTGGGAACTCAGAAAAGAAAAATCTCTATCGCAGGATACCCTCGCTGCGCACCCCTCTTGAGGGGCACTCGGTTCGGCTAGAGGTCGTCTTTTCTTTGCTGATGGAGAGCCTCACTCGAGCGGGATCGGCAGAAAAACTTCAGAAATCAAGTACCGAGCATCGTTAGCTGACGCGAAGAAAAATATTAGATGCGAACCTGCGAAACTCCGCCGAACAGCAACTCACTCAGGCAGCGGAGAGTAACTTCGTACGTTATCCCATGTCCTTTGAGGCTACGATAAAATCGATCGCAGACAACTGACATTTCTTCTCTATTTTTTTTTTCGTCGAATAGCCGCTGTATCTCGCTACACTCGTTCAAGAACTCGCGAATGACCAAGCACAGGGCTCCATCCGAGCCGCGGCTGGTATTGCCCTCAAGAACGCCTTCACAGCCAGGGACTTCGCTCGGCAACAGGAGCTGCAGTCAAAATGGCTGCAGCAGACGGACGAAGAGACCAAGAACCGCGTAAAGCAGCTGACACTGCAGACCCTGTCCTCGAGCAACACTCAGGCTGGTACTGCCGCCGCTCAGGTCATCTCTTCAATCGCTGCCATTGAGCTGCCCCGCGGCCAGTGGACCGATCTACTGTCCTTCCTCGTGAAGAACGTCAGCGAGGGCGCCGATCACCAGAAGCAGTCTTCTCTCACCACCATTGGCTACATCTGCGAAAGCCAAGACCCAGAGCTGCGACTGGCTCTCGTTGCCCACTCAAACGCCATCTTGACAGCCGTCGTTCAGGGCGCCCGAAAGGAGGAGACCAATAACGAAGTCCGGCTCGCCGCCATCACCGCCCTCGGCGATTCCCTCGAGTTTGTTGCCAATAACTTCAAGCATGAGGGCGAGCGAAACTACATCATGCAGGTCGTTTGCGAGGCCACCCAGGCCGAGGATTCGAGGATCCAGCAGGGAGCTTTCGGCTGCCTCAACCGCATCATGGGTCTCTACTACGAGAACATGCGCTTCTACATGGAAAAGGCCCTCTTTGGACTGACCATTCTCGGGATGAAATCCGAGGATGAGGATGTTGCCAAGCTGGCTGTCGAGTTCTGGAGCACCGTCTGCGAGGAGGAAGTTTCCATTGAGGACGACAACTCGCAGGTCGAAAACGCCGACCAGATGCGCCCCTTCTACAACTTTGCACGTGTCGCGGCCAACGAGGTCGTTCCCGTACTTTTGACGCTTTTGACCAAGCAGGACGAGGACGCTACGGACGACGAGTACAACTTGTCCCGCGCCGCCTACCAGTGCCTGCAACTCTATTCTCAAGCTGTCAACTCTACCATCATCGGACCCGTTTTGGCCTTTGTTGAGGCAAACCTCAGGTCTGATGACTGGCACAACCGAGACGCTGCCGTCTCTGCTTTTGGCGCCATCATGGAGGGCCCCGATGAGAAGGTCTTGGAACCCATCGTCAAGCAGGCTCTTCCTGTTCTGATCACCATGATGGACGACCAGTCCCTTCAAGTCAAGGACTCCACCGCTTATGCTCTTGGCCGTGTCACTGAGGCTTGCTCGGAGGCTATTGATGCCCAGCAGCATCTTCCCACCCTCATTGCCTCTCTCTTCAAGGGCCTCATCAGCAACGCCAAGATGGCTCCGTCATGCTGCTGGGCCCTGATGAACCTTGCTGAGCGCTTTGCCGGCGACTTTGGCGCCGCCTCTAACCCAATCACTCCTCATTTCAACCAGGCCGTCAGCTCACTCCTCGATGTCACTGCCCGCCAAGATACCGAGACATCTGTCCGAACCGCTGCCTACGAGGTCTTGAATGTCTTTGTTCAAAATGCCGCCTCTGAGAGCTTGTCAGCTATTGCATCGCTATCCGATGTCATCATCAAGCGCCTAGAGGAGACCATTCCTCTGCAGTCTCAGGTTGTCAGCGTTGAGGACAAGCTGACCTTGGAAGAGATGCAGAACAGCTTGTGCACTGTTCTCCAGGCCATCATCTCCCGCCTCGACAAGGAAATTTCTCCTCAGGGCGACCGCATCATGCAAGTCCTCCTTCAGATCCTCAGCACCATTGGAGGAAAGTCAAGCGTCCCAGAGGCCATCTTTGCTACCATCAGCGCCCTTTCAACCACAATGGAAGAGGACTTCATCAAGTACATGGAGGCTTTCGTTCCATTCTTGTACAATGCACTTGGAAACCAAGACGAACCCAGCCTTTGCTCGATGGCTATTGGCCTCGTTAGCGACATTACGCGATCCATGGGCGAGCGCAGCCAGCCTTTTTGCGACAACTTTATGAACTACCTTCTCAACAACCTAAGAGTGAGTTATTTGCATTCTACCTTTTGCATGAAAGCCTTTGTATGCTGACTTGACGTTATAGAGCACCACCCTTGCCAACCAGTTCAAGCCTGCTATTCTGCAGTGCTTTGGAGATATTGCTGGTGCTATCGGAGGCCACTTTGAGACCTATCTCTCTGTTGTCGCTCAAGTCTTGGAGCAAGCATCCACAGTCACCGCCACCCCCGAGGGCCCTGACGAGATGTTTTACTACGTCATTTCATTGCGAGAAGGTATCATGGATGCATGGGGTGGCATTATCGGTGCCATGAAGTCTAGCGGAAAGAGTGAGTTTGCCCTGAACCCATTTTTCTCTATACATACAACATTTACTCACAATTATCTACAGCCCAAGTTCTCCACCAATACGTCACATCCATCTTCCAGCTTCTCAATCTTATCGGTGGTGATGCCAACCGCAGCGAGTCACTCATGAGGGCAGCTATGGGTGTCATCGGGTAAGGACCCATTTCGATATCCGATTTAAATTTGTAAATACTAACATCTTCTAGTGACCTAGCTGATGCGTATCCCAACGGAGAGCTTATTGACGCCTTCCGACAGGGCTGGTTGACCACCATGATCAAGGAGACCAAGACCAACCGCGACTTCCAGCCCCGCACAATAGAGACTGCTCGATGGGCTCGCGAACAGGTCAAGCGCCAGCTTGGCGGCTCACAGGGCGTCATTGCTCAGTCTTGAGCTGGGGCCTCTGTTTTTGGGCGATGAGCCTCTAATAACGACAAAGCCACAGCTGTTCCGTGCGTCACAGTAGCCGACGACTCAGATCAAGAGCAACTCGTTGCGGCCTCCTACCGCACTCACACCTACACCCACCATTCCACACTTCCCCAGTTCAGCACAGCACATCAGATCAGCAGCACGATCCCCATGACCACTTCATATGTATATAGACCCTATGACACTACAGTAATCCAATACCCACTTTCACGAAAATCTTCTCTACACACATTACACAATATTCCTCTTTTTGTTGAGTGGTTACAGTTTCCATATCTACAATTTTCCATATGTCCCCCTTTCAACCCATTTTTAATTGTTTTTTTTTCTTAACCCCTAGTCGTAACGATGGAATAGAGAAGTCATGTATGCCCCGTGTGCATCGAAAAGAGCAGCGGTGGCTAACCAAAAAGTCATGTAGAAAGGGAAAGGGAGTACAAAGGAGGCCGGCTATTCATCGTTTTGTTCTTTCCGATTTCTTTACCCCCAGTAACAATGGCAGAAGTTATAGCCCTCTTCGGTTCAGTTTCTGTATTGGTGTTAAAGTCGTCGCGCATTTCATCCATCGGATGCCCGTTCGAGTGGACGAGGCTTTGCATTTAGGAATGGCTCTTGTGATTGGTTTTTTCTCGCAGGAGCGGCAACCGGCACGGTAGTGGCTGATGGAATATCAGGACAATAAGGAGCGTGTCGGGGGAATTGTTTGTTTTGTAGCTCGACTCTCACCCTCGACTGGTGAGACGAAGCAAAGATGGAGAACGGAAAGGGATTAAAATCCATATCAGACAGGTTCAGGGGAATGACTTTAGAACTAGAGAATCAAGTGATCTCGTTCCATGTACGATGGTCTTGAGCTATCCAGCCATCGTTAGATAGTGGCATCAGAAACTGCAAATGGAATTTTTGGTTGACCCCCCCTAAATTACTTGAATGACGTTTGGAACTTTGTATTTGAATTGTCCAATCTATATATGCAACAATCTTCCTCTAATGCCAAAAAGGTAGCCAGGCAACACAAAAAAAGACTGCGGTCTGTGTGGCTTGAACACACGACCTTCAGATATTTCTATGATTGAAGTTGCGACTTCAGTCTGACGCTCTCCCAGCTGAGCTAAGACCGCTGAATGGCAGGATGATAGACTAATGGACACTCATAGGTGTAGAGATTGGGTAGGAGGGCAGTTGAATCTGCGGATAGGCGGACGATTCATCTCCAGTTTGATACTTGATCAACCGCATATATGAATGATTGCCCAATGCAGCTGTTGAATTGTACAAGCATCGACTACATATATTCATCACTGGACGGAAAATTAGATAGTTTTATGTATTGTGCGTTGGCAATTTAGCAGCAATGAGACAAAGACTGAGCATCTGGGCTTCTCTCGGTCTTCAAGCTTAATTCTGCGTCAACTGTAGCAACGCAATCAACCAATCTAGCGTTTATTGGTCGAATAAATATCATTACCTCTAATCATTGCATCTCGTTTTTGTAATACCTCTGGATCAACCCATAGACTTGCGCATGATGTTGACGGCGTATTTCTGGTGCTCCTCATGCTCTCTTCTTTATAACCTGCAAACGAAAAGATAGATTAGAAGCATAAAAAAAGCCAGAATGCCGCTTTTTGATAATATAGATTCATTCTCTGCCGATATCGAACCTGCCAGCTGGCAAACGAGTTCCGCCTGGCAGACAAAGCACGGCAATGGAACAACTTCTCGGTGCGTGGTTACGGAGGAATGGGATTAATCCTTCTCCGGGATCGCAGCTTGATTGTTCGCGTGGAAACTTGACGCGTAACGCATCGTCTGCGTCCTTTTTTTCTTCAACCATCTTCACGCTCTTTTACCTCGTTTGTTTGAACAGTCCCATCATACAGCATACTAGCATATCAGACCAGCAGAAGCCCAAGGGGCTCGAACGCAGAGGTTCGATCTTATTTAGTAGAATCTGCTTAATGCCTTTCGTTACTTTCATTTGTTGAACTTTTGATCCTTCGTTTTCGTGCAAAAGGAGTTTTCTAAATTCGTTTACTTTGTTTCCCCTTTGCGTATCGCGATTTTGCGAGCCCCTATCAACCATGTTTTATTCTCATGAGAGTAAGTTACCCTAAGCAAGTCTCTACTCTCGTTTCAGAGATGCTGATGTCTACTCATAGTTCTCAACAGCTCCCAGTATGGGGTTGCTACTATTTGGTATGGACGTCTGTTCAGCTCCTCTACGAAAAGGTCGTTTCCACTAACTGCCGTCTTCACTCTCTAGGCTGGTGGCCACAGTGGGCAAAGGAAACCAGAAGAGACTTACCAAGAAGGCGATCCAAGAGGTCAACGTTCCAAAGGCGTGCGAGAAGATATTGGACCCAGGAGCTCCTCTCGCTCTCCGTCTCCAAGGAAATCTACTCTATGGTGTCTCGCGTGTTTTCGAGCAGCAGTGCGCCTATGTCCTCACGGATGCTGAAAAGACTCAATCGGATATGGTGACTTTTTTTCGAATCATTCAAACAAGTGAAACTGATCCGCGGGCCGGAAAGACCAAGTAAGTTGACAGAATCTTGCACAACGACATGGGGACGACGATATCTAATATCTATTTTACAGGCGTCAGAACATTGTCTTGCAAGATGACCCTGCTTTTGATCCGTTCACCTCACTTCCAAATCTGAATCTGCTGCAATGGGACAAGGACCTTGTACTATTTCCAAGCCAGGGCGGATCAAGCAAATTTTCCCAGATGACACCGCTCGCGGCAGCTGGTAGTCAAGGTAGCTCTTCGCCACGCCACCGCTCTGCACTGATTAACCTTGAGCTCCCACCTTCTTCACAGTCTGCTGCAAGTTGCCGTCTTCCTTCAGATTTCGGCAGACTCAGCCCTTTGTTTGGTAAATCAATTCACCATTCCGACAGCATGGCTGAGTTCCAGCCGTTTGGTGACGATGAATTTCCATCCATCTCGGGAATCGGCTTCGAATTCGACGCAGAGGGTAATCTTGTTAGCATTCTTGATCAGGATCTTGGGCCCGAGCCCGAGCTGCCTCCTCTTCCTGCTCCGGCAAAGGCTACAAGCAATCTTGGATTGCAGCGAGTGATGAGAGATGATGACCAGGTTCTCATTTTGGGCGAAGAAGAAAATCTACTGGACTTTGGGGACCAAGCATTACAGGGTATAGATGGTCGTCTGGCAAATACTTCGACTCAGCTGCCTGCAGAGACCCAGCCGCAGAGAAGTGAGCGAGCAGAAGCAGATACCAATCAGGTATCTGCTAGGATGGTCAGATCGAGACGAATCGATCCAAATGCCATGATGGATGAAAGAATCACAGTTTCTAGCCGAGAACTCAGAGATTGGACTGAAAATTACATTGCAAACGCTGAATCTCTCCGTCAGCAACAGCGAAAGACCACCACTACTCTTGGCCAAGCGAGGAAGAATGCAGTGACGCTCCTCTACGACTACGGTGTGGCCAGTGTCGGGGCATATCATCAAGCAGAAGGCCTATTCCACCCCTTGGCAGCTGATTTTGCAGGAATCTCGTTGAAAGCACGCCTCCAAGGCAAAGAGCCGGATGAGATTGAACAACTCGAACCTGCAAAGAGAGGCCGTCGACGAAAGTCAGACGAAGCTTTCGAAGGCGAACATGATGAAGACGAACGAAACACAAAGCAGCGACTCGTTGATGAAGTTGAACTTGGACGAGGCGGAAATCCTGATGAAGCACACATCATGTTTGATGACAACTCTGTTCCCGAGATTGGAATGGAGGCCGAGCCGCCAATGGAAGATCGTCATTCGTCCTCAATGATGCCATGGAGCCGACCTGGCTCAGCCGTTCCAGGCTCTTCCGTCCGAGGCAGTGCCCAGAAGCCCAAGACTGCCCCCAGCCCTCTCCTCGGTCGCGGAAGTGCCCTGAGCTCCATCGACCGCCATAGCGATCCCGCCGAGCCCTTCTTTGGAATGGACGACTTTGGTTCTCACGATTCATCTTTCCAGCTTGGTGGACCTGTGGGCCCTCTTGACTACGATCGAGACAATGCCACTCAGCTTTCGACTCAAGGCCTCGACGTCACCAGCCAGGATTTCTTGGGATACGTAGCTGAGCAGGCCGCAAAGACAGGTGTAACCCACAGTCGAGACAAGAAGCATCGTCAGTGGATTGAGTTCAGAGAACTAGCTGAACCATTGACTCACCCTAGAGCCGTTGCCGCTCAGGCGTTTTTACATGTGCTGTCTCTGGCATCGAAGAACGTCATCTCAGTTCATCAGGAAGGTACGGCAGCCATGCAGCCATTTGGAGCCATTCACATTGGAATCAATACCTCCGTCAATGAAATGTTTGAGACGCAGGTGGAGTCGGAAGATGAGCTTGCTTGAATCTTGGAGGCACATATCATGGGGGGGTTTTCGAGTTACGGATTATTGAACGCATCGTATTCTGGTTTGCACGGCGCATCCATGATCTTTTTTTGTTCAAGGGTTTACTGGGAGAGACTTTTTTTTTTTTTTTCTCTTTCTCTTTCATCTGGAATGGGGCGTTGGGAACTAGGGGTAATCGACTTTTCACGCTGGGACATCGGGAAGCAAATAAGTCGAGGAAGACTACACTCAACTACTTTTTCGAGGGATTTCATCTTTTCTATCACGAGGAATTTGGGAGCATTTGGGACCAATATGGGGATGCGCACGTCTTATTGCAAATTGATCTACATACGTTGGTAATGGTAATCGGCCTGATTTACGAGAGGATGGTTCATTGAGAAGACACTATGAGAGACGGCAGTTTCGATCAAGTTCACGCAACGGAAATGATAGTATAGTTCATGGACAAAAGACAGTTTATTAACGCCAGTTAATCTAATTAATCATCAAACTCATCTTCAGCATCTGCTCCCTCGCGATCTGTAAAGACCAGATACTCTGCACGTTCCTCATCAGTAGCATTTAGGTTAACCATTTCCCAAGCGCTCTTGACAGGATCCAATACAGCATCATTAAACGCAAGGTCCAAGGGTAGCAGCGAGAATTCAGCTGTTTGCCCATCAATGTTCACGGATGGAGTATCAACGCCCGTTTGTTCATAGTACAACTGGTAGAGTACCTTGGGGGGCTCTTGGCTATTCTGCGACAGAGAGGCTAGGAGAGATGAGAGAGCCTTCTGAAGATGTGCCTGGGCACTTGGGGTTGTGAGAGTGCTTAGATACAATACACCTGATGCGATAGAATGTTAGCAAACTATTGCATTTTCTCCAAGTCCAAGTATGAAAAATAAAATGATAGATATGAAAGTGTTGATCAGGTTGTCAGAGGAAATTATCGTCAATGTAATTCCGCAGTTATAAAGTATTCGTATTTCGGTTTTTTCATCATAACACGGAGGGATGTGAAGGAGAGGAAGCTTGAAATAAAAAGTGAGAGAAAACTTACATTGTCCAGTAGGGCATTCGCCCGCTTCACTCGAATGGGCGAGGGCGTAGATGGGATACTCGGAAGAGACTCCATCTTCGCCAAGTGCCGTGCCAGCAGGGATTGCAACCACAGCAACGGCTGGTGCCGGAGCACCTTCAGTCACCGTCTTAAAAATTGACGGCAAACTTGAGTCGACAATCGCTGTTAGTCTGCTCAGACGGCGGCCCTCACCTGTCGGCTTGCCCAGTCCCTTGACTATAGCCTTTGACTTGACAGTCATATTATTGGATAGGACGACATTGTACTCCTCGGGCGTTTCAGCCGCGGCGGAAGTCTTCTGAACGTCCTTGATGCCAACACCGAGCATATAGACGGCGCCGCCAACAGCACCAGCTCGGCAGCCCACTTGGGCCACTTCAGAAAGGCCTCCCCATTTGGGGTAAACAGCCGCAAAACCAGGGCCAAAGACTCCCATGGATGTGAGATGGCGGTGGATAGCAGCGAGGCCAGCTTCTGTTGAAATCTTGCCATCAAGACTCAGCGTCAGAGTGATGATGTAGGCCTGCAAATCGGCATCGAGCTTGAACTCGTTGGCCAGAAAACTCGCCAGCGAGTCGCCTGCACGTGATCTCCATACATCAGTCTGCGGCTCAGCGTCGTACTCCAGTACAAACTTGAGGAACTTCATAAGCCCGCGCTTCGCCTTGGCCGAAATCGTCGTGTTGGTAAACACATCTTCTCGTGTCGAGGGTATGCGACTCAGGCTAGAGGCAGACGACGACTCTGTGGCCTTGGGCTGGAGTATGTAAAAAGACCCCACGGCAAGAAACTCGAGCTGCCGGAACGCTTTCGACGACACCAGCTTCGAGAGAAGCTCCGAGCGCGTATGGATCAGCTGCGGCGCCAGCGCGAGGCTGTACGCCCTGGACGACAGGCTTTCGGCACCACCGGGTCGAGTCGCCCGCGCTGCTGCAAAGACGCCATCGCCTTCAGCAGTCTGGTGGTTGGCGGCCCATTCGTCCACCTCCTGCAGGCTCAGGACGGCCTCAGCCTCGCCGTAATACTCGTTGGGATCAACGTGGAGGATGTTCTTGCCAGATCGCGACAGCGCACTTTTCACGAGAGAGAGAGAAGGCTGGTCAGTCAGTCGTTTGAAGGGGCCAGCAGCCAAGCCGATGGAATCCGAAGCTTACAGGGCGAAGAGGGACTGCTGGAGCCCCGTGCCGCTGATCACTACATCCCACTGTGTATCTGAGAGGGATTCCATGGTTCGGTTCACAATGGACGGAGGGAAGGGGAAAGAAGACGAGAGCGAGAAAAGAAGAAAAAGAAAAAAATTGTTTAAAAAGCGTTTAGCTAGAGGGTTCAAGCTCAAGCGAAGTGGAGATGTATCTTGCTAGTGAGGTTTGGCATCTGAAGCTGTAGCAGCAATAAGCAGCAGTCCGTATTAGCTAAGTCAGATGGCCCGTGCTTTTTCATAGTCTAACTTCCGACTTCTGAGCTTTTTTTTTTCTTTTTTCCTTCTTTTCTCTCCATAGTTTCACCGCCCGTCGAATTTTTACCGTCATGTCTTTGATACTTTATGTATGTGGCATCGCGATTGCATTTGACTTAGGCGGCAGAGAGAATTGTCGGCCGGTATCTACTGCTCTAGAATAAAGTCTGAAAGGGTGGTTCGAATGGTTGACACATGCTCACTTGAAAATCTGTGTTTGGTGCGATGTAATGTGACTTGCTTTCGGATTTGTGTATGGCCTCATCTGTAGAACTGGCACCCGACGCGACTCATCAGATCTGGCCAAGTAAAACTCCGAGAGCAAATTGGCTCCCAGTATCTGGACAAAGATGGTATTATGCTATTCTAGATGTTTACTGGCTGCCAGTTATTGCTGATGCAAAGTCCTCCCACCGCGTGCTTGCCCAATTGAGGAATTCCTTCGATGTCAGTAGCTTCGCTGTCATGACCGTGCCTCCATGCTTCGAGATGGACAGAATCCTTCTTGAGCCTCCCGTGCAGTCAATGACAATTGTGACTGTCTCGTCGCATAATGACTCCTCCAAGGTATCTGGATCGGCCAGCAGCCAGAATTTTCCATCTGCCGGCTGGTCTTTCGTCTCTTTGCCGGTGAAAATGACTGCCGTGCATGAAATAGGCATGCTTTCCACGGTAAGGGGCTTAGGATCTTTTCTGGAGCAGAGAATCATCTCCCTGTCTGGGTCATAGCGAGCCTGAGGCAGTTTTGTATCGCGTAAAGCAGCTACCGTTGCTGCCCACGCCGCATCAAACGGGTTGCCATCGAAAGAGATGAAGAAAAGATCAATATATAATACCCAGTATGCCACCACATACTTCTCTCCTTCCTTTTGATCGCTCTCTTCAGCTCCTTCTTCCTCATCTGCGAATGAGACTTCGGCCGGTCGGTTGTGCCATATCCGCAAGTCCTCTGCTCGTAGGAGCTTGGAGCTATGTAGGAGAGAGTAGATTTTGGTGCTCAATGTTTGGGCGAGAGTTGTGGGCGGACCGCCAGGCAAGAATTGCGGTGCAGATCCGGTGGCAAGTTCGATATTAGGGACCAACAAGTCGTAATCGGATAACTCCGTCTGTGTATTGGATGCGCGGTAGTTGGGGATATTCTCTGTTAGGATGGTTTCGGCGCGGATTCCGCAAATGACTGTGGTGTCACCTGTCCGCACCAGAGCACTTCCGTGGGCGTGTGACAAGCTGGACAGATTAACTGTGGGTTTCCGCACCTCAAAAGGAGCCCGGCCATTGCTTCGCGCAGGGGGGGTCGATTCGTCGGATGGTTCGAGGTTTGCGAGGAGATACGGATGAGGTGAGAGTTTGGCAAAGGTAGAGCGCGATAGGCCCACCTCTGGTGCCATGATGGTTCGAGAGTTTTTGGCGTGGTCGAGGAGTATCTTCGAGAGACGGATGCACAAATAGCGCCGTTGGTGGGAAAGAAATTTTGGGCTTTGCTTGGAATTGAGTTTTGAGCTCCCGTATCCAAAAAGGCGTCTGGAAAAGAAAACTTGGCTATCAGCCTTGCGGGGTGGGGAGCTCCAAATTATCTATAGCCAATGAAATCGGCGTGGGGTCGCAAGGCTGAGCGTGGGCTACCATTCTTCATCGCTGAGACAGGAGATGGCTTGGGAATTCGGAGGACGAAAGAATGAGCCCCTATATCAATCGATGCCGTTGTTGCCGGATTAATGTAGCGAGTGGTTCGATAATTTGTCAACTGCTACTCATCCCCAGACATGAATCATCGCTGATCGGCAGCGTGGTCTAGATAAAGCTGCTCGGAACAACGTCTGGCTTCCAGCTATCACCACACGTGATCTAGCTGCAACGCCGCAGCCCAGATCCCAGAGTCTTCTACTGTACAGAGTAACTACGGACTATGCATGTTTGCATATGCTTTGAACAAGGTATTCTTGAAGAGCTAAAGTAGCAGCAACTGCAAAGGACAACTGCAGCTACTCCGTACACGAACACACAAATCAGAGACTGGAAACTGCCCTCCCTGTTGCAGAACGCGGCGTTTGATAAAGGCCATGATCGGATGATTCTCGCAGAACAGCAAGGCGGCCAGGACAAAATTTCCCAAACGATGCACGATATCCAGAGCAACAAGTGGCAGCGGCAACAGCCATCAGCAGTCCTACGAGAGACGCCATCTCACGCGAAGCGAACAGCCAGCCAGATGCTACAGTACAGGATGCCAAGCAAAGGATGCTCTCTGTACGACTGGTTCCTGACAAAGAGCCCGTTATGAGCAAAATTGGCGGCCATCTTACATGTCCCCGCACCCCCGTTTCTTGAGCCCGCTGCCGTCCCTCTAGGCTGAGCGGCGAATCAGACGCCCCAGCTTGCCGCCCGTGTCCAAGACAGGCCCCTCCAACCGAGTGCCGCCCGTCGAATCACGGTGCAGAGTGCATATGGCTCGCCGAGCTCGTCACCAACAGCCCTCCAACGCCGTTTTTCACTTGTCCAAACGGTCCTCGATTTGCAGCTGCTCGAGCTCGTGAGTGGCTCAATCTTCAAGCCGGAGCTCCCCCCTCATTTCAGTCATTCCAGTCATTTGAGGGCTAATTACCTAATTGGGAGGAGGGACTTTGATGTTGGTGGCGGCGAGTTCGTGATTGTCGTTGCTCCACTGCCTTTGCTTGGCGAGCGAGGACGTGATTTCCTGGCGGCAGAGAGTGGCCCGAGTTTCCAGCACTGTGGCCGTTGAAAAGTCTGGGAGCCTGTTTCTTCGTCAAAACGGAGTCGTTCTAGATCTCCCTGCGCTGTCGTCAGCAAAGTCGGAGACCAAATGCCAGCCGCAGAGCGGATCGACGGCAGCTCGACTTTGGACGAAGAATCTGCCATGAATCGATCCCTCGTTAGCTTCCGCCCGTGCTTGTGCAGTCTGCAGACGAATCCTTGCCCGAGCATCAATCGTCTGCCGAGAAGAGGCCAGCCGCCCCCACCGGTCACTAGCAAGTTCCACTGATTACTGCTTTGTCGCAGCAGTACCTGTTCTTTGCCAGACTGGGGACACACCATGTCTGCATTCCGGAGCTATGCCCGTGGATTGACCTGCATGCTGCCTTGTTCGTCACCTTGCCTGTCACACTGGACCGCGCCAATTTGCCCGCCTCGGCGTGGTCACCCCCGGATGCACAAAAGTCAGCCACCAAGCGACCAATCTGGCGACCTGCCCAGCCGCTGGGGTCGATGTGCTTCCCGTTAATCTCTGCAGCTTTTCTGCCTCCTGCTTTGGCCGGGCTGTCCGATTGATTGATTCGAGTTGTCACAGTTCTTGCATCGTTCCATTCCCCGCTCACATGGCGATATAGCACATCACCAACGCCTGATGCTCGTTCGTATCTGATCCGCCGCTTGTCGCCCGCCATTACAATGGCCATTACTGCTTGCGGCAATCTATCGTTAATGTGATCCACCGGCTTAAAAACCCTTGTATCACTTGCTCCATGCCGAGTGCAGGGAGCTAGGAAGCTGTAGGAGCCATGTCTGTGCTTTATATCCTCACGGGCCGCCACATCCTAGCCCCCGCCATCCATCATTTGTTGATCAATCTTCACAATCCCGCTGCTCAAGCTCTTTCGCTTACTGCTGGCGTTTGATCATATCGAGAAGTCTGGTACTCCTCGTTATGACTGCAGGGCGCGCTGCTGTTTGATTGCCACTCGTTTACGGCAGCAAGTCCGTCCTCATCGCTGATCGCTGATCGGTGGTTGTAAGCGCCCAGGCGGCTGTAATGCGATAAAAGCACTCGCTCTCCTTGGCCCAGCTTGAAACCGCGAGCCTTCCCATTGCCTGCGTCCCACACAAGCGCGGAGTGATACTACCAACGCGTCCTACTCCAACTCCCTGCGTGTCATCACCACTTTTGCTACGGCGCAGCTGAAGCGACTCAGCTGCCATAATGGCACCCCAGGTGCAGGAGCTCACCTTGCAAGCCACGCGAAGCGTTTCCGACGTTGTCAAGCGGATACTGATTCCCTTGACTCCTACAAGCCCGCCGGGTCTTATTCAAGCCAACACTGTCGATCCTTGGGCCAAAGCCGGCAAATATGCTCTGGGATGGACCTATTTTGCAGCCGCGCTCTCGGGCTGCGTATTCTTGGTCCGCGTGTGGCACTATTGGCAGGACAAGATCCGACAGGCCATTTACAAGCAACAAGTCGAGGCTCACTATCGAGACACTTACAATGTTGACGCCGAGTTTGTCATGGATGCGATTCGCTCCGGCACGGCCTCGGAGTTCTTCACTGAGGGTAACCATATAGGCGAGAACAAATTTCGTCCGAAAGCGCATTTCTCTTCCATTGGATTTGTAAACGATACGTTGGCATTGTTTCGATGGGTCTTTTACCGGTCTATTCCAGATGTTGTCATCGGAAAGTTTCGGTTTACCTTCTCCTCGCTTGCGGTCCTGACGGCAACCTTTATCGCCTTGGCTTTCGTCACCCTTTATACCTTTTTGCAGCAACCACTCTATTGGGAGAGCATTCGATTTGGAGCACCGCCTGTGGCGATCAGAGCCGGTATGCTTTCCGTGGCATTGACTCCATGGATTGTGGCAACGAGCATGAAGTCGAATTTGTTGACCCTATTCCTTGGCATTGGGCCAGAACGACTAAATGTGTTTCACCGATGGCTCAGCTACATTGCTTTATTTCTGGCCCTGGTTCACATGATCCCTTTCTACGTTCAACCTGTGTGGGATGACAACGGCATGTCTATTTGGGTTTCGGTTTTCCCACCTGGTAGCGGCATCATATACGGTAGCGGGATTGCCTGCATAGTACCATTGATTTGGCTATGTGTGACCTCTTTCCCTTGGATCCGAAGAGTTGCCTACGAACTGTTTGTCATGTGCCACGTTCCAGTCGGCATCTTGTACGTTGGCGTATTGTTCTGGCATACCAAGAATCGTCTGATGACCTGGGACTATCTCTATGTAACTGTGGCCATCTGGGGAGCTTGCAATATCGCACGACTCTTCAAGCTAAACTGGGCCAAGCCAGGACGATTGTCTTTCATGGTCGGGGATGAGGCTGCCATTACCCTGATGGCTGAGAACGCAATCAAAGTCACTATACCTACTCAGATGCGATGGAAGCCGGGCCAATATGTTTACCTTCGCATGCCTGGCATTTCCTTCTTCGACAACCATCCATTCACTATTTCATCTCTCTGCAGCGAAGATTTCCCTTCCGAGTATGGAGAGAATTACCGAGATTGTATTCTCCTCTTCAAAGCATATGGTGGCTTTACTCGCAAGGTTCTAGAAACTGCAATCGAGAAGGGCCCGTTTCATACATACCGTGCGTTTCTAGATGGCCCATACGGCGGGATGACGCGCGATTTGGCTGCTTTTGACACCTGCATCCTCATTGCGGGTGGAAGTGGCATTACTTCACTGATTTCTCAGCTTCTCTACCTGGTAAAGCGAATGCGTGATGGCAAAGCCATCAGCAGGAAAGTTGTAGTCGTTTGGGCTATGAAAAAGCTGGAAGACATGGACTGGTTCCGAGAAGAGCTACGCATCTGCCGTGAGTCTGCGCCTCCCGAGAGCGTAAGCTGCAAGTTCTTTGTCACTGGAGCAGTTCGTAATCGGCCCGGGCAGCTCATGACTGCTCCCGTCAATGGGGGAGCCAGCCGAGCCTTGACTCACAAGCTCCACGACAAACTCGATGGCTTCGTCGCAGGAATTGCTTCGAAGCGAAACTCGGCTTTTATTCAAGCTGAAGCACAGGGTGATCCGGAACGCGAGCGCGAACTCCGGGCTGAGAACGAGGATCGTATCACTGCACTTCCACACCAAAAGTTCATGCAACCTCATCAATATCCACCTCCACCACCCAACCTGCCTTCTGAAACGTCGACGCTCAATCAACCCGTTGCGTCTGAAGATGGCTTCGATCAAAACCTCAACGAAAATGGTTATCCTGTGGACAAAAAGCCACAGGACCCGGCACAAGAAATCCAACCTGTCCCAGTTCATCCTATCCCGGTTCCGGAGCTCGCGCATTTATACAACTCTGGTATTCCCGTCGGGGCTACCGAGCGTCCCATCTCTACCTTTGGCCCGCCCGCCGGGTTTGACTTTGGCTTCCCAGAAACTCCCACCGAGTTCCAAAAGAGCCTTATGCGATCCGCGTTCCCCATGCCACACCAGACTGAGGATGGTTGGACCATTGAGTACGGCCGGCCCGAACTCGGATACATGCTCAAGCAATGGGCTACTGGTGGACCAGAGGGCAGAGGCATCCTTGGCCGAAGGACCGCTGTCTTTGTCTGTGGTCCTCCGGGGATGAGAGTCGGTGTCGCTAATTCGGTGGCAAAACTCCAAGCGGAAATTTGGGGCGATGATGAGCTGGAGGAAATATTTTTGCACACGGAGAATTATGCTCTATAGAGTCGCCGTCCTCTCTGTGTGTATTTGTAGATGTAATGATGGTGGATGTGGAGGATAATGACTTGATGTATATTTATTTCTTTGATGTTATGATAGGCTGTTAGAGCCACTGAGATACCACTTGTACATAGCAGCAAAACATATTTTCCTTGTTCATAATTGAAGATTATAATCCGCTCAGCCCTATGTTTCTTCTCTTTGGTCACATCTTGTATGAGGTGGATAGGCATTCAAGTTGGTGCTCTTATAGCAAGAGTAGCACGAATATCGATGCTTTGTAGTCATATTCTACAGCAGCACAACACGGCTGGTCGGTGATGGTAGTACAACTATAGCGAGACGTTGAGATTGTTAAATTTGTCTCAATTAGCACTTTTGTGTTTAGATCGCTCCTCTATCGTAGACTTAAATCCAAAGCCTTCCCTCCTTTATAGCAGACAAGCCGTTTCTCAAAGCTTTACATCCTTGTACAGATCCATATCCACAGTTGCCCTACTCACAATCTATGAACGAACAACTCCAAAAATGAAGTTTCTCGATACTCTTATTGTTATCGCCGCCCTCCTGACATCTGTTTTCGCCATGTCCATCCCCGACGCTCAGAAGACGGGGGCTGGGAATATTGAAGCCGACAATGGTGAAAATATCTGTCGGCCTCGCCTTAGTAAGACATCATTTCACTACAGTTATCAAGGACGCTCAGTAGAAAAGTTTCTAAATTAATTTTTTTTTCTAATAGCATCTTGCATGGCTAATAAAGAGTGCTGCTCGCGCTCTTGCATCAAGCATCATAAGATCAAGGTCTGCAAATGACTGATCTTAAAGTTTGCACTGAGACTGCTAAGGAGAAATGCTGCTGGATCGCGGTTATTATGCGGCTGGAGTCACAAGATTCAGTCTCATAAAATTTTTTGATTTCGTTATTGACTTTTCTTCATAGCATCTTTGCTATGGAAATGTTTGATGGCGCTAGGGAGAGAAGAAAAAAAAAAAGTCTCCAAAGCTTCTCATCTCTTCATGTGTGGGTTGGCCGCCTACAAACTCGGGGAACAAAGGGTGATACTTCCGTTTGTGGCAATTTTTTTTCTTTAAGGATCTTAGGTTTCCAGTTTTCATTTTCCTTTCAAATTAGTCAAAGTCACTACCTTGATGGCATGAGTCGTGGAGAATAAGGGCAGCTATGAGGCGAGCGTTGAACTTTCCGCGCACTCTATTGAGCTTGCCGGGCACCTTGATGGCTAGCGGCGTTGTCGTCATATGCCTATAGGGACCTGTATATATAGGCCGGCCGTTGTTCACTGCAAAGCTTGCTGCTGCATAGAATCCGTATTCTTTAGAAAATAACACTCGACAATAAAGCGGAAATATTCGCATTTTAATTTTGCTTTGCTAGGCCTCCAAATTTCCCTATTTTTTGACTTTAAGAGAAGCATTTATTCGAGCGTTGGATATACCCACTTTATCGCACTCGCACGACACCATGCTCGACTACGACGAAGGCGTGCTAAACAAGATGGAGAAGGGATGGGCGATTGCGACGCGCTGCTCAGAACAAAGGCTAAAGAGAATATACGAGTGGACAGACGCAGAGCTCAACACTGCCATCAAGGAAGGGATGGTGATGCTGGAGACTGTTTGCGTGTTTGTGCACGGATGTATCAAATCAGGACAATACAAGTGCGCTAAGCTGCCATTCCATCCCCGCCAATATGATATTGATCATGATTGCTGACTTTTGAATGTTGATCGTGTCAGACTTCCAGCTGATTTTTGGAAGATTCTTCATTCCGAGTATGGCATCGTCGTTTACCCGTCGGCCTTGACAGAGAGCATTGCTGCTGTGGGCGTGGGAGCGGCTCAGACCTTCTCGGAGGTGTACAGCAGTCATATCGGTAAGGGAATTGAAAGCCAAATCCGCATATCTGAGTTGATGCGCTAACTGTTGCGTCTTTGAATAGTCATGCTTGGAAGACGAGATACGGACCATCCACCGCTTTGCCCGTTTGAATATATAAAAGAGCCGCTGCCGGTATACGAGAAATGAGAAGATAAAGATTTGAATGACTGGTCGTGGTTTGGAATTAAGAAGCGAGGTTAAAGGATACGAGTATCTCGTATGTTAATAGATGATAGCGCAAGAGGAAACATTTCCAAGATGAATAAAAAATAGAAGAGCAACATCACTCATGCTTATGAATCCGTCTTTTGTCCCATGGCGCCATCTCGGTTTGCCCTCCAGACGCCTTCTTCACCCTCAAATTCTTCCCTCTTCCATACCTCTACTCTTGACTTGCACGCTTCTAGGGCCTCTTCTCCTGCCAGCCAGGCAGCTTTTCTGTGTGGCGACGAGACTGCGATGAGGATGCTTTCTTCGCCTATGGGTACAGTGCCTAGACGGTGAATCATAGAGATGCCCTTGAGTCCGTGCTTGGTGAGGATGTCTTTGCAGATGGCTAGCATTGATCGCAATGCCAATTTGTTATAGGCCGTGTACTGAAGCTCCTTGACCGGCTTTCCAGCAAAATTGTCTCTCGTGGTTCCTATAAATTTTGTTTTATTAAAGTGAGTCATTTGGAACGCATGTTATCTGAGATGAGAGTGTCCTATAACCAACCTGCGAATAGGACGATTGCCCCCGCCATGGGGCTGCGGACCTTGTCTATCGCCGCTTGGATATTGAGAAAATCATGCGTTAAGCCCACATAACAGTTTTGTTCCGACATCTCCCATATTTCATTTGCGTCGCCGTCTTTGATGTCTCCCATGGCTGGTGGCGAAAGCGGTTCAATGCTGAACAGAGTGAGACAGTTTCGTAGACGTGAGACAAGTGACAAATGAATGAGGGGTGGTATTGCGAAAAGGAGCTCTCGGGATATCCAAAAAAATGCAATATAAAGTAGATGTATATGAGAAGAAGATATGACTGAAATGATATTGTAAAAGCGAGACGAAGATCCAAAAAGTATAATCGTGATGCAGGCTGTTTGCAAAGGTTTAAGCGCAGTCCAGACGGCTTGTCGGGCATGTACCTTGCACCAAGGAATATGTGAGGGGTGACACGCGACCTTCCCCACCGGAACGCAGCGCGGCTGAGTCAGCGTTCAGCTGCTAAAGTTGCTGGGCATTCCGTAAACTCAGTCCGCCATACATGCAATCGATATGCCAACATATCCCACCAATGGCTTGTTCCCTTGTCTTCAGCCTTACTCGACCAAGCCATCGCTAACCCTTTTCACTCCCTATTCTTCTGCTGTATTTCTTCTTGCTTCCTCCATCCGCATCTCCATCTTGACGCCCTCTATATATTGTGCGCTGATTGCCCTCCGTCGTTATGCGCGACGACCATCACGCACGATCCCCAGACCGGGGCAGAGACCGAGAACGCCATCGCGACGCTCGCTACTCTCGACCACGAGACTTGCAGCACCGGCCGGACGACTACCAACCATCGCGGCAGGGTAAAGACACGGCCCGCGCACTCATGGGAGCTTAGCTCCAGCTTCGGGACACACCTTGGCAGATGAAATTGAGCTTGACGGCTAACTTGCCCACGGGTCAACGAGGCTATTCACAGTCTCCGTCCAGGGACGACGACATGCACATGCACGACGGCGGCGCGTGGGACCGGCGCGACCATCGCCCCAGGCCGTACTCGCAGCATCAGCATCAGCATCCCTACCGCGACGCTCCTGATGCGCGCCCAAGGCGAGACCGGAGCCCTCATGACTGGAGCCGTGACAACCAGGGCAGCATGTATAGCGATGACTATCACCGTGGACGCCGTGAACAAGAAGCTAGAGGCAACGACTATGCCTCCCCTTCGTATCGCGATAGGCGGCCTTACAACTCTCGATCGCCGCACAGGGACTATTACAGCAGGAGTCGGTCTCGCAGTCCGGGCCTGGACGGCGGCCGATTAAGAGAAGCTGGCCCGCCTAGCGACACCGTCATATTTGAAGGGCTACCCGGCAAGATAGATGCAGATGAGGTCCGTACTGTTTGACGAGTTTAAAGAGCATGCCGAAGAAGAGAACAACAGGACGTAATGTATGTCTAATCAAAGCGCGAATCCAGCTACGAGAGAGCATTGTGCAGAGCTGCATCTCGGACGACTTCCCATTAGTCGATGTCCGGATAACTCACGCCAAAGGTATGTCTATCTGTTGACTTTATATGCCGAGAATATGTCACTAACTTTTGTTAAGGAAAACGCAGGGCTTTCATTCAGTTTGAGGATGTTGACCATGCAGCCGCCTTTATCAATGAAAACTTCCCAAAAGTCCGCATCACTCTGCCTCACACCACTGATGACGCTCCAGATGGCAAGATTAGTGCCTATATCCACTTTGCTCATCGCAGAGATGACACAGAAGCGCGTGTTTCCGGCGGCGGCCAATGGGTCTGCCAACCTGTAAGGTTATCTCTGCTGCATTAACTAGAGCCATAACTAACTTGAAATGTACGCAGTGCGGTTTCAGCAACTATTCTTTACGCACAAAGTGCAAGCGGTGCGGCACGTCACCATCTTGTATGTTGCTAAACACATACTCTCAACGCTATCCATGGCTGACGACTTATATCATTCTTAGCTTCAGCAATGCATCTCAGCCTAAACCCAGCGGCCGATGTGGGCGATGCACCTACGCAGATCCTGGTAGTCTATCCCCTACCTGCGTTCGTTAACGAGGACATGTTTACTGCGGATATGAAGCGACTTGAGCTTGAGAAGCCTGACGCAGCCGGTCAGAAGCTGGCATCGGGCTCAAAGCTGCAATCGACTGCTCCAGCTGATCGTGCCGCTCGAACTGGTGCACGCCCAGGATCGCTGCACCGCGTATTCTTGATGCGCGATCCTAGCACTGAGGAGTCGGCTAAATATGGCTTTGCTGAGTTCTGGACTCTGCAAGATGCTGTTGACGCCATGGCCAAAATCAAGCTGCTGCCATCTTTTACTGTTTCGGCTTGCGCCGTCACCGTTTCGCATATTCACATGGGAGTGTTTGTTCCTGAAGAGCATCAGATTATGCCTGAAACAGAACGATACTCCTTCAATCCTCTGTTCAATCCTACTCTGCGTGTTCGATACCGCGATCTACGAGCATATCCCAGCCAAAAGGTTGTTGCCGCCGAATCCCCTGAGAATCCCACGGGAAACGGAGAGCCCAAAGGCGGCGAGCAGGACAATAGCAAAAAGGCAAAGAAAAGAAAAGCAGATGATCCCCTGGGCGCTACCCTCAAGAAGTCAGCCCCAGCTATGGCTGGCCACATGGCCATGTGGCAGAAGAAGCATGAAGAGATCCATGTAAATGAACCAGGTGGCACAGCGGCAGCAAAACAGCCTTCACAGCCTGCAAAGAGCTCCAAGGCAGCGCCTATCAAGTTTTCAATTACAGGAACATCCATGCAAGCTACTGATCCTCCACCTCCTTCATTACCGCCTCCGGCACCTCCCGCAGATCCAGCACCTCCACCTCCGAGCGAACAGAACGACGACAATACCTCTGCGAGCAAGCCTGAGACGACAACCAAAGCCGAGAAGCCGGTCACTCCATACGGGGACAGAGATAAACTTCAATGTCTTCTTTGCATGCGCAAATTCAAGTCACTAGACGAACTAGGTCGCCATGAAGGTTCGCAGCTACACGCAGAAAAGCTGCAAGATGAGCAGTCTATCAAGAATGCACTAGAGAGATTAGCAAAACGGGGTATCCAGCCGCAGACGCAAGCAGAAGCAGATGATGATGCCAGCTCTACGGCACCGAAATATCGTGACAGAGCCAAGGAGCGGCGTCAACAGTGGAATCAGCCCAAGAAGCCTTTGCCAACCTCAAGCGATAAAGGCGCTCCAGGAGTCCAAAAGGACCAGGCCAAACCCCCAGCTCAAGAGAAAGCTCCGGTCCAGTCCAAGGGCGCCGGCATGCTTGCCAAGATGGGTTGGACGACTGGCACTGGCCTGGGAGCTAATGCGGAGGGACGCACTGAGAGTATCGTGACCAACGTATATCGGGAGGGCGTCGGCCTCGGGTCTGAGGGTGCGAATCTGGGTAACGCACAGGCTTATGGAGAGAGCAGGACATTGAATAATCGCCAGGATTACATGAATGCTGTGAATGACCTGGCGAGAGAGCGGTTTTTCAACGAGTTTGGTGGAAAGAAGGATGAGAAGAATGGCGAGCAAAAGGACGAGTAGAAAGACTGGGGAGACGAAACGAAAGGGAGGCAGTGAGGCAATAATAGGCACAATGTATTGGAGGATCGGAGCTGAGGGATATGCTCCTGCATACATGGAAAGGCGTTTTATTTAGATTTAAAAATCATCTTCTATGGCTATAATTGACAGCTACTTCTTTGGCAGAGATTTTTACCCCGTTATTAGCCATGTTTGGAACCTAGAGTAAATGCCTTTCCCATGAAGACAACCCTCGAAGCTATACGAATAGTTCTCTTGAGGAAAGTTGTGGTTTGAATGTCAAGAAATCTTTATTTATCAGAATTATATATATAATATTTTCAGCGCCTATTTGTATGCGCTTGGTATATTCAACAAATTCGTAACCTATGTATCGTATTCAAGAAGCCAGCATCGCTTCCATACCTCTCTCATTTCGTATCCAAACATTTTTATACCATGACTCGCAAGTTTACGAGAATCCTGCCATGTGCTCTCACGTCACCCATAATAGTAATAGTTATTAGTTGAGAAAAAAAAAATATCCTAAACACCTCGCTATATTTGCTTCTTCTTTTTTTCTATAGCGCAGTCATAATCATAGAAAGAGTCACAAAGAGGGTGCCTGCAATAGCGGCCGAGAAGGCAGGATGCAGCGCGACGCCGGCGTTGTCTAAAGAAGCGTTAGAACTGGTCAGGGTTGCCAAGGATACTGGGAGTCTTACCTTTGCCCGAGGAGTCACCGTCGTCACTCGAACTGTCGTCGGAGCCTGTGGAAACGGGGCCTGGAATCGATTTGGAGCCTGCCTGGAACTCAATGATGGAGCTGCTGGTTGAATTGAGCGTCGCCTGGGCAATGCCGACCTGCTGGTTCTGCAGGTCATACACGACATAGGCAGAGCGCAAGAAAGTGTCTCCAAGGAGAACGAATTGGTCGGATGAGATGCCGAAATCCGAGGTGGAAGCCATGCCGAACGTGCAGACGCCGCTCCAGCCCTTGAATACCTGCTTCAGGGTTGGGTCCGAGAAGATCTGATCTTGGACGCTGGCCAAGTTGTTGATGACCATTTCGTCAATGGGCACTTGGATGGTCTTGTTTGTAAACTGGAAGCTGAGAGACGTATCCTTGAGATTCGCCTTGGCGCAGTCGACAAACGGGTTAGGAACGCCTTGGACGTTCATGACGCCAAACTCTTTCCAAACAGCTTGTACGACATCACCCGGGAGAAGACTGATGGTTGAACCAGAGTCGAGAACGGCGGTGGCATTGACCGAAGGAGTATCGACGCCAGATACCTTGAGTCCATTCAACTGAACGGCGTACATGACAATATCTGAAGTCCTAGAAACGGATGCCGGCAGCGATTGGAAGGGCAGAGTGGCGAGGCCACCGTGGAACTTGTCGGTATCGACGCCGCCAAAGAGAATAGAGCCCTGGCTGGTCTGCAGATCATTGAGGTAGAGACTGAAGGCGGGCATGGCAATGATCTTTTGAGAAACCATGTTTTCGATGACGGTCGGATATTTGATTGCAGCCGCCTCGTTTGACCTGAATCCCAAGCCCATAAGGCCTGTTCCACGGACAGACTCCAGGGCCAGGCCCATTTGCTGGTTCTTAATCGCGGCGTTGTTGATGGTAACGGTGTCTTTGAAGTATCTGCCCCTGATGTTGCGGCCATCTAGATAGGTGATGTTGAAGAGCTGTCTAGTTGAATTGAAGGATTTGCTTTTGGTCTGATCAACTGCGATGCGAATGATGTTAGCCAACTGAGCTAATCTGAGACATGAGGAAATGGCCGACTTACATTGCTTTGAGCAGAATTCTCCAACTTCCTCCTGTATAATCGAGTCTGTGCAGAGATCTGCATCCACCGAGTTGACCCAGGTATCGCTACTACCAGTGTCGAGCATGAAGCTCAGCTTCTGGGGCGGCGTGCCGACGCTGAACTCGGCATAGTAACCGCCTCCAGTGATGTTGTTGAGGGCATCAAGCGCAACAGTGCCATCGCGACGCAGCAATGATGGGAGCGGGTTGCTGTCAAGGAATCGCTTCTCAAAGGGAACGGAGACGACGCCTGCAGAGGCTGTGCCAGCGGCAACAAGAGCTGCCAGCGAGGCGTACTGAAGAGTAGAGCGCATGGTGAACGGCGCAAGAAACTGCAAGCCAATCAGTCGTAAGGGGAGCGATAGATTCGACGAGGCGAGCAAGTCCAGAGCCGCCGTAAAAGAAGAAACGCGTTGTCACACAAGGAAACACGAGAATTTGCTTGGGCTCCTCTCTGTATTTAAGCATAGATTTTAAGGCTGCGGCGATTGCCCAAACGAGCTGAACAGCATCGTCGCTTGGTCGTCGCCTCATCCCTGCCGCTGCAGGAGGCTAGAGCCGCTTGGGCTGGGATATATCCGCTTGTGACCCAAAAGGTCCTGGCCACCCATGAGTCTATTTTTACCCGTTATGGGCGAGCACGATGGTGGTGAAGCTTGTTGTTGTTGGATCGAACGATGCTGAGAGAAGTGCCGTTTCAGCATGTCAGTCTTGTCTTGTCTTGCCTTGCTTTGTCTGTCTTACCTTGTCCATCAGCCATCAATATCCCAGCTCAAAACAGCCGCCAAGCCAGGAGAGCCTCGATGCCACCCGTCCCCAACGCCAAGGCGCCTTGGCTGCAGCTAGCTCGACGGACGGCGTCGCGCAGGATGAGCGTAGCACTGCTAGCATCAATTAGCTGTGAAAGTGCCATCCTTGGCAGAGCAATTCAGCCACCCGTCAATCCTTCTGGAGCTGAAGCGCCACTTGAGCGATCCAGAACGGCTGCTATTATCCACCTTCAGCGAAGAGCCTCCGTTGGACCAACGCGCTCTGTGCCCCCTGTTTTCCCATGACCTTTGAGTCCCTTGCCCATTTTGTTGGTTTTTGGATGTGCCTCGCTGCGCCACTGGCTCAATTCAAGCTAACAGAGCTCCCTGTACGATGAGTCAATGGCCGGTACAGATTAGATTAGCCGCGGATACTCAACATGGGGGATTTTGTCTGTTGCGTACTCAGAAGAGGAACTCTCGAGTAAATAGCAATGTGAAGAAAGAATTTTTGATAGATTACTCGTAGTAGACTGATGCAAGCAATTTGGCATTGACTTTTTGGAGATTGTAGTCGGAATCGGGTTGCGTTCTTCCGTACCTTCCCTCTTTAATTAAAGCTAGAATAACACCTAACACAAGAACTTGCGCATTTGGGGGTAAGTAAATTAAGAAGCATGAGGATTCTTTTTGAATGACTTTCTTTTTCTTTATTTAAATAAACATTTAAAGCATAGGCTCTCTTGTTTAAATGTAAATTATCGTTAATTGTCAGATTACGTTGAACGAGTTAACATGTCTCTATTGCTCTGTTTCAATTTCGCTTACATGTCTAAACCATCAAAACAAAACTCGAAATGTACCCAGTCATTAAACTTATCAAAAATGACCATATGGTTTTTGTATATTTTAATGGGGTCGTTGTCGCTGTCGTGTGGATCAAATAGCTCAGTCCGATAGTCCGGAGGGAGCCAAAGCAGTGGTTTTTTCGATTTCAAAAGCCAAGTAAAATCTTCGCTAAGGCTGAGCATTGGCAATTCATCGTTGTAATGTAACTGTCGCCCCTGAGAATAATACGCAAAGGGTGTCTCCATCTGCTTCGAGCGATGCATATCCAATTCCTCAGGTTCCCCAGCTGTTGGATCTGAGATAGTTCCATGGGCGCATACACCTGTAACTAGACCCCAGATGGTGATATACTTCCCGCCCAGTCTAGATGAAGACCCGAAGGGTGTATCGCTTGGTGAAAATTCTATCCATAAATCGGCAAACCGACCATTTGTTATCGTGTGTAAGCACATCCCAGATGTTAAATCCCATATTTTAATAAATCCATCACGCGACCTCGACGCTGGCCGAGTGCTGCTGGGAGAAAATGCAGCTTCACCCTCGAATACTCGGATCCATGTACCCGTGAATCTATTCCCGATTTCCCTGTGCTGATAATCGCCTTCTGCGGTTGCTAGCTGCATGCTGTCTGGGGAAAAGGTGATACCCTCGATATGATACGACATCTTCATCGTCCGTAAGAACGTACGTGTGGCGGTGTCCCAGATCCGGATAGTTTGATCTACTGAACCTAATGCTATCCACCTCCCATTAGGCGAGAATGTTACTTTATCAATTCTGTCTCGCCATTTCGAATAGTCCCTAATTCGAATTTGTGAGGAGCTTTTAGCAGTCAGATCCCATAGTTTAATGGCGCAATCGGCAGAACCTGATGCCAGCCGCAAACCATCGGGCGAAAAAGCCAGTGTGTCGACATGATTCGTATGGCCTAGAAATTTCTGCAGACATGTACCAGTGGCAATATCCCAAATTTTGATCTCTTTGTGTCTTGTTGATGCTAGCCGCAAACCATCGGCGGAGAACACCATTGCTTTCTTGTCGTGATCGTAACAGTAAGGGTCTTTAAATGTCTGTAGGCAATTGCCAGTGGCAAGATCCCAGATGTTGATTGTGCCATATCTCGAAACTGCCACTCGCATCCTCTCAGATGAAAATGCTAATTCGTCCCTGTCTGCCAAGCGCTCCACTACTATAGCCTGTAGGCATCTGCCGGTAGCCAAATCCAAAACTTTCATGGTTTCTGTTTCCGGCTCGAAAACCACCACCTTGGCATGAAATATTCGCTCTGTAAGCACAGGTGCTTCCGTATCGACTCTTGTACTATGGGGTCCAACGACGCCGTCAAGAAATCCCGAGTTCAACTGTGCACAATCTAAGGGAAATACAAGGGACAGGACGACTTCGCTTGAGTAATTAGTATGTGTGTGAAAATCTTCACTTGTAGCAAGACTGTGAATTTCCAGAGTGGTTTCGCCCATAAGAGCCAGATGGGTGTCGTCTGCGCAAAAGCTCACTGAGTGGAAACCGCCTTCCATAGTCTTGAGGTGAGTGCCCGTGATGAGATCCCAAATCTCAACTATTCCTTCCATGGTAATCAGTGCTAATTGGATACTGCGTGATGAGAAAACCACTTTCAGGACAAGCTCGGTCTCAACGTGTGTAAACACGCTCCGGATATCAAATCCCAGACCTTGGCCTTTTTACCATACGCAACCGCCGCCAGCATTGTATTATCCGGTGAGATTGCCACTGACGCAATGGCATGTTCGTAGCTCTCAATTGTCTGTATGCACGGGCTCCAATTTGGACTAATCTTAGGTTTAGACACGATCCATTTTGGGCACTGCTCTGCCTCAAACAGCTTCCTAGATATACTTTCGCTGGGGCTGAATATAAGGGCGGAGGCATATATCTGTAGCGGATACTCTTCAATTATTTCCCTATGTGAAAAGACAAGGCGGTAGACGTCTCTAGTCAGTTCAAGCGTCTCATTCCTTTCGCTGTTTACCTATACTATCATTAGAATCTCATCTCGCAATTTCTCCTCTCAGGTTCACATACCAATATCTCTGACTTTTCTTCGGACATCCCAGTGTTGGCTTGCCAATGATCATATCCAAATTGGCCTACTGTTCTCGCGTGAGGCGCCTCATAAGTTTGATGCCTATTACCATCCATTGTGTAATGGCTTGTAATCAAGTCTTGCAGCCGTTGAATAGCAATTAGGGCCTGTGGTAATAACTTCAACAAGACCATTGCCTCTAGCCAATTTAGATACTTTCCTTTGAGGAACGAGTGAAGTATTCCGTCGTTTTGGAATAGTTGAGGTTGCCTGCAGCGAGCCAGGTGCTCAATCCAAAATGCACAGCAGTATGCTTTTGATGCTAATGGGTTTGGGTTTGGTGGCGTGATTTCATCCACATGTCCTCCTGGTGATCTGATGTTATAGATATCACACCGGAGGATCTTATCCAACATATTGAGTGAAATTTCAAACATCTTTGAGTGTTGATGCTCAATCCCTCCGGGGAAAATACTGGTAGCTCCCTTATGCGTCATATAGTCTTTAACAGACTGGTGGATGAAGTATATGGTTTTGTCCACAATGGTTATAAATGATCCACAGACTTTAGCCAAGTACTCGATATCGCTTGAAAGATACCTGACCTTGGTGGCGATTAATTGTGAGCTGCTGAATAGGTATAATTCATCAATATGAAGCGGTCGCTCAGCGGCAGTGACTGTTGCTAGGAGACTTAGACAGGCCTCTGTGTCATTTTTCCATCCCTTTTTTGAACGCTCCATTATCTCATCATAGAGGCTTTCCAGGTCTTCAGGCATTTCTTCCAAGATTCTTTCGATATGAGGACGGCCAGCATCTCGTAGCTGTTGGGCAACAAGTGTTACCCATAAAAAGGTACCGTTTGCCTTTGTTTTGAGTATATTAATAGTCTTCTCGCGAAGATTATCATCACCCTTGAGCGCCTCAATGTCTCGAGCACAGCGATCTATATATGTGTCAACAGCACTGGAGACATGGGCTGCATTGCTTTTCAGTTCCAATATTAGCCTGCTGTCAATCGCCTTCAGGGCGTGTTCAATTTCTCTCTCGTTTCGACTCGATACCAACCACTTGATGCGGCTGCTCGTGTCCATGATGAGATTAAGGAGTGATTTTCGCGATTCTTGGTGTTGGCATTCATCAAGGGCGTCAATAATAAAGGTGTAATCTGCCATGCATGGATCTTGAGTAATAGTTGTAAAAATCCGGCTTAGCGCAACCCACGCATTAGTTCCTTCTAAGTAACCTCTTGGTTCCTTTTTTATTTGTTCCTGGACGGATGAAAGAAGGCTTTGATTTTGTCGAAGGACTAAGTAAATCAAGCCCCTGATAATAGCGGTGGCTGTATTAAGTCGAGTATCTGTGCCTTGACAGAAGAAATAGACGAATTTCTCTTGTAGCTTGCAATTGTTTTCGAAATCTTCGATGATTCCACAGAGAAGCATTGTTTTGCCTTTTCCAGGGTCCCCTTTAATCCAAAAAACTCCATTGTTTTGCTTGTCGCGCCATTTTTTAAAATCGTTGTGTTCGAGGATCCAGCGATACGAGTCGTGTATAAGGGGACCCTTGGATTCAAGTATTCGTTTTTTATCATCCACGGGATTCGTTTTGCTGATTTCTTGGAGAAAAGCATTGTCCGCATCAAAGGGGTCTTTAAAACCAATTAGCAAAGCCAGATCACGATTACAGACAGCTTATGGGCCTCATACCAGCATTGACGTTGGTTATGTTGTGAGTTATATCTCCAAGAAATAGTGTTGCATCATTTCCAAAAGTATTTCCCAAAACCTCTCTCGTTGCCATTCTTCACGATACTTTGGTGGTTTGGAGGAAATATTGGATCAAACGACGAAGATGGAATCAGATGGCTAGTTGATGTGTAAAGGTGTAAAGAACTAGGCAGCTGAAGTAGATCCAGCATATGAAATATATTGAGCTTATTACTAGTTACGTATGTATTAGGCATACAAGCATATCGGGCAATCGGATACATTGGGGCGCCGCCGAGTACACTGCTACAATATATGTATGGTCCAAGGCTTTCATTGGCTTCACCTGACATCCTACCCTGTTACAGCAATACTTCATGTTACCTATGTGCGGGGTCTCAGTCGTACCAGCCTGATTCTCATTATGCCTTGTCATTATTAATTCCAAAGCGCACCCTATAACCAGCCCTCAAGGATTCACACGAACGTCTCTTTGTTACAACAGTCCTATAGATATTAACACTGCTATTGAGATATAGGTGTAGATATACTGAAGAAAAATATTTCATGATCCCAGCTGCCTTGTGTTGGACAGTTCCCAGATCTCCCCTCATCAGCTACTTAGACATTGTAGTCGGAGACACCAACGATTCCACGTGGCCTAAAGGAGGGCCCGCGTTCAGAAATACTAGATGGATGCCAAAAAAACACCATCGCGGGCTAAGCTGCTGCCTATGTCACCCTATTGAGCCCCGAATGTCGTCGTTGTCGAAGTGACAATCTCCAGACGTGGGATATTAATAAGAAGCAATTGTCATTTATAAATGGCCCTTGTACCCTACGTACTACTGCTACTACTACTACTAGGTATCCCATATCGTCCTCGCACATAATGCAATATTATTGCTCCCAAATCCTACATGTAATTTGTCTAGATTCTGGGTTACATAATGCCTATAGACTATCTACCTAGGTGTAGTGGAGTGGGATGCAGTATATCTGTACTCACTCCGGGCTGATGTGTATTCATCAACTATGATTCCATGATATGACTTAAAGCCTCCATCAATGCCTCAAGCCTCAGCTTAAGACCCTCCTGCCACGTTAATCCGCTTATGCACGGAACCTCAGTTGAGCCAGCTACAGCCTCACCATATCCAGTCACCTTCCAAATGCCCGGGGCATAAGGACTCTCCCAGTGCATGGACACGCCAAGCTCCCTTTCATGAATCTCATCATTGCCATTGGCCCACATAATGGTCCCAAGCCTTGCCTTGTGTAGCAATGTTGCGAATCTGTCCCGACTGGCGATTGCATAATCATGCTTCTTCGGGCCAAGCCATATCTCAGAAGGCTTCAAGGTGTAAAGAGCTCTTTGGAGCGTCGCCTCATCGACGGTCAACTTGCCAAAATCCATGGCTCTCTGGCACAAGGAGATTTCTCTTCCAAGCTCCATCATCTCCAGCAGCCTATTGATGGTGCTTATGCCTGTCCACGTTTGGCTGTCCTTTGCCATGTCCCGATCGAGATTGACTACGAATCGCAACCTTTTCGTAGGCTCAATGGCCGTTGCGCTTCCAATGATAAACTTGTACTCCCAATATCGCCGAATAGCGTCAATGTTTCGAGTCTCAAACGCGTACGTCTCCTTCCCCTTCCCCTTCCCCTTCTCATCCCTGGTAGCGACATCTTTAAAGAGCACTTTCTTGCATTCTGGGCACCAGTCAAAGACGAATTTGACTGCCCTAAGCTCGCTATCGCAGCAATACACGAGTTTCTTCTTCAAGGCCGAGTAGCTGGAGTAAACTTGGCATTTTTGGTCTTCGGAGCACGGGTAGTGCCCACAGACTGTGAATAAGGAGTAGGCTGTGACGCACATGGCGATGTTTTGGCTTGCAGCCCTAACTTGTGAAGTGAGTGTTGATTGGCAAAGAAACAACGAGAGGGCGCGAAAGGTTTTATCGTAGACTGTTGACTGTGATGGTGTTCCTCGAGGCAATCCCTCAAGCCGGATTATGAGATGTTTATATACCACGGTATGACGTACGGATGTTCAAGTATGAAAGAGATTGAACAAACGAACCGCCCTTGATGAGAAGGCGGCGAACAATGAATAACAACAATGGCAACAATGGCAATGCTCAACGTATTATTTTTGTCTATATAATGCTCACAAACAGTTCTTATAGCAGAACCCTTATCAATGTTGTGTTCAAATCGCAAATCGCAAATCCATCTTGTTGCATATAGGCACTGAATGCCTTCATTCACAACACCCTCAAATCTTGGACGTCTTCTCCGTCCCATCCTGCTGCAGCCTCACAACGCCCTACCACAATTCACTCATTAGCATCCATACCCATCGAAGAAAAACAGGAAAAAAGATACTCACCTCCTGCATACAACTCGCCAGCAACGTCCCATCCTGCGCATATATCCTCTGCATCACCACCCCCCTCCCATCGCCACTCCACGGGCTCTCAATCTCCGAAAACATCCACTCGTCCGCCCTCACCCTCTTCGGCTCGTGGAAGTAAATGCTGTGGTCCAGACTCACCAGCATCCCCATCCGCGGCCGGGCCACCCAGTCCTCCAACTTGCTGCCCAGGCCTTCAAACTCCAGAAACTGCTGCAGCGGCGCCCTCTTGTCCTCTGGCAGCGCGGCCACTTCTTGCGGCGTCATGCCCAGCCGCCAGAGTTTGTGGATTCGCGACACCATGCCGATGAAGTAGCTGTCCGAGATGTACGCCAGCGCGTTGAGATGCGCCTGATGCCCGCCCTCGGCCGAGATCTTGCCCCGGCTGCGATGCCACTGCCGCGCCCTTCGCTGGTCCGGCCTCGTCTCTTTGTCGTTCATGTTGAGCAGCTCAATCCGCCGGCTCTGAAAGGGCCCCTTATCCCACGCTGCGTCCGGCTCGTTATCCCAGCTCGGCTGCGGCATCTCCACGCCCTCGGGCAGCGCCGCCGCGTGATGAATCTGCTTGGCACCGCCACTGGCCTCGCGCACAAAGCTGATCGTCGTCGTGAAGATGCACTTGCCCTTCTGCCGCGCCTGCACCGTCCGCGTGGCAAAGGACCGGCCGTCGCGCACGCGCTCGACGTGGTACATGATGGGGATCGTCGCCGAGCCCGCCAGCAGGAAATAGCAGTGGCACGAGTGCACCAGAAAGTCGTCCTTGACCGTCAGCTGCGCCGCCGCCAGGCACTGCGCAATCACAGCGCCGCCATAGACGCCGCGCGCGCCAGGAGGCAGCCACAGCGGACGCGTGTTGGTGAAGATGTCCTGCCAGAGATCGGGGTCAGCTCCGGGTGGCGATGCCTTCAAGTGCCCTGGCCTGTTTGTGAACTCACCTCGCCCAGCACCGCCAGCGGCGTCACCTCCACCGTGTTCTCAATCGGCGCCTTGTTGGCATCTGGTTCCGGAGGCCGTAACAGCGTCGTTCGCTTGTCCAGCACCTTTTCCGTTCCCTCCATCTTTGGCGCTTCTTTGTCGCCGTCGCTCATTCTTTCTGTTGGTATGTCGCTGCTTTCCCTTCTAACCCCCTTTCCTTTCTTCGAAACAAAAGACGCAAAGGATTGTTCATTCGAGATTCAACTCAGTCCTTTCTTTGTTATTACAAACACATTTGAAAAATTAAAAAGAAAATACAGGGTCCGAGCATTCGAGTCAAGTACGTTGACACGCAGCCCATCAGGGGTCCTCACTTGACGTCAGGTCCAGAATTTGCCTCGGCTCAAACCCAGCCAGCCAGCTGTTCCTGTCTCACAATCTCAGGCTAGTCCTCTAGCAGTCCACTTTAGCGATAGCACCTCCAGCTCTAGCCCAGTCTTCATGTAAACAACACAAGAGCAGTAACAATTGCAAATTAGGGAATGAGTTGGTCCATTATTAAGCAGGCGAAGTTAGCCACTAAAATTCATCAGTGCATCTCGGGTTATTTCTCTTGAACCCAGTTGGATGACACGCTCATCGTCATTGCCGTTGCCGAGGCTCAATTCGTCCGCCGCGGACTGCGTGACTCCGTAGCTCCATGGAGATAAAGGGGCATATATTCGCATGATTCTAGCACAAGTAGGTGTAGATGATCCTGAGACTGAATTACTGAATCCTTGTTGGGGGCTGAAATACCAAATCGATGCCCTTCCATGTGAAAATCGACGCCATTCAGCACCGGCGCTCTGCCAATGCCTTCTCTGTATTCTAAACACTCACATCCCACATTTTGTTTTACAGCCCATTTCAGGGATATAGGTATATTAAGAAGGAAATATTTTGGTGATACTAATATTGCATACGGGCAACTTCATATATCCTTCACTTCTCTCTCTCTCTCTCTCTCTCTCTCTCTCTCGTCCGCTTCTCCACCTCTCGTTTTCATCGTCACCCCCCTCCCCTCTTCACGTGTCTGCCCCAACAAAAAAGCAAACAGCTCAATCTCTCAAATCTGGTGCTCAAACTACCTATACATTTACATTTATTTTCTCTCCATTGTTTTCAACGCTTCCACCGTCAGCTTCCATCTCCTGCAAAACGAAGTTTCTAAGCTGGTATATCGTCATAAATAGGCTCCAAACCTGCCCACGCTGCCGCGTAATCGCCATCAGGTCCGGCCTTTTCTCTCTGCGTCCAGTAGTTGCCGTTGAACTTCCAGTATTCTTCGCCTGAAATTTCGCATGTAACCTTTTGGAACCATTTTGATATGAAAAGTTTATCCTCCTCCTTAGGAGCCATCTCACGCACTCGTCGGCGGGCACGCTGGTTCTCTTCTAGCCTATTCTTCTCGCTTGCGGCAAGATCATACTGTCCTTCCTCCATAGCCCGTTGATCTGGACGCAAACGTGAGTCTGTGGGGGCAATCCACTGCCTTAGGTTGTCATCGATGTGGTTGAATGTAAGCACAAACGGAGTCAGGTTGAAAGGAATGCCCTTTGGTCGCTCATTGGCCTGCCAGATAAGGTACGCTCGGCTTGGATCTGCGATGCTACCTCGGTGGACAACATCTCCATTCGAAGTCGAGGGCTCGCCAACAGCAGCCTCGTAGCCTGGAGTCAATCGGGCATATATTTTGGAGTTCCAGCGACCGCCAAGGCTCATTCGCACCTGACCTGAGGCATCCATGACCTTGCCCACAATCCGGTATGCGCTTGAGGCCCTCCAAGTCCTTTCCACAAAGTTAACCGAAGCTACCTCTCCAGTCGTCCAGTTCTTGATTTCCATGAGGCCGTAGTTGTCCACCGTAGGATTTCCTGTGAGAATGCCGATAACCGAGGATGTCACCTTTTTCCACGTGAAAAAATCTTCTTTTCCACCAGCGGTAGGTCGAAGCTTGAGGAACCATGTTCCTAAAGGTCTGACGTCGATCGAGGTGCCAGTGAATGAAGGCTGAACCTTCGATGTACCCCAGTACGTCCAGTTGGGTGCCTCTGCCCAGGCAGCACCAGTTGGCGGGTGGTGCTCGATCTGCTCGACGAAGAAGCGGTAGCCTTTGTCGGGGCGGACATATTCAAATGTTTCACCCAACAGAGGGTTGAAAGGCTTTGCGACTCGACCAATGGTAGATGCGTACTCGCTGGCAGCAAAAGCAGCTACGTACATAAGTCTTTCGATCGAGTCAGCGCGCTCGGATGCCAAGTCAAGGAGATCCGCGTATTCCATGTCTTCACCGCAGCGATGGAGTAATGATGTCGGCTCGTTGAATGACACGGGCAGTGCAAACCTAGTCAAATCCTTGCCAATCATTGACTTGATGATACCCTGTCCCTAGATGTTAGCACATGTATCCCATGCAGACAACATGTTAAAACATACGAAGAGAGAAATTTTAGGCCGATTATCACTATCCAGTTTGAGCTTGTGCCGAATTCCATTTTCATACCCCGTGAAAGAGCTGCTAATATCCAATCTAGAAGAAGCAACTTCCTCCTTCTCCTGCATTGCCTTGATGTGGGGGAGCTCCGTAACTTCGACGTCGCCAGCATCTATAGCATCAAAGAACTCGTCCTCTAGCCCAGACTCACTGTCAGACATCTCCACCATCTGCTCAAGAGCAGTTTGTTTTCGAGCCAGGTTTTTGTTAGATGCCTTGACAATGGCAACAGCCTCATCAACCTCTTCTTGAACCTTTTCAATCGTTGGTGTCACGCTGGCAGAAGGCAGACCACCACCCTCCATCACTTCACGGAGCGCTTTCTTGGCCAGCTTACGCTTCATCTCCGATTCGCCGACTCGGGCTTCGAGGATCTCCTGCTCACGAGCCACTTGTGCCATGCTCTCCTCCCACATACGCCGCATATCAGACTCCCGATCAAGACGATATTGCCAGAATGCATCACGGTCTTTTGAAATACGGAGCAGGTCCCCAATCAGACCCGTCAAACTTCGGATAGCAGCATCGTATGTAGAGAGAGCCTGCGCGACTTGGACATCCGATATTGGCGTGGCGGGGCGGAGGGAAATTTCATTCAAAAGAGCTGAGTGAACGCTTGCCATAGTCTCCAGCTGCAACTTTGCTGACTGTGCCGTAATGTTGAGCGCATCCTTAGTTGCCTGGGGCTCGCGACCGCTAGTGTCTTCTCCATAGTCGTCATCGTCATCTTGATCTCCGGGTGCCGTGCTAGGCCCAGCTCCATGTCCATCTGCTTCTGTAAAGGTATCCACGAAATCTTCCTCTTCAACGCTCTCCGCTAAACTTGTCCCAGTCATATCTGACTTTTTAACAGCCAGGATTGGGCGCGCTTGCGGCTGCGTACTGACACGCCTCAAATCCGTCATGCTCGTGTTCTCACTGTGAGACTCTTGGATAGAGAGCGAGCCGCTTTGGTCGGCCTTGGCCTGTCGAAGAAGCTCCGCGTTACGAGCTGCCTGGCGCTCCTCCTCTCTCGCCTGATCTTTGGTCCATTGAATTGAATTGTTGAGGGCCCAGAACCATCGTTTGGCTTCTACCTCGTGATTCGCTTTGAGGGTGTACTTTACGGACGACTTTCCGATAATCTCAAACTTGGTCTTTTCATCAGGGCTCATGTGGAGTTTGGCAATTTTCATATTGATGGCGCCCCGGCATGCAGAACCAGCATCGTCTTGGTGCTTATAGTAGCTCAACACACCATCCTCGAGTACAAACCATCTCAACTGGTAACCCTTGCGATAGTTGGTCCATTTCTTCAAGTATCCCTTCATCTCGCGAGCTTCACGTCCCGCCAAGGGATCGCTGGGTCCGCCAGCTGCGGCGTTCTGGGAGGCAGCGTGTCCCAGGACAGCTTTCTCTTGGATTCCTCTCTGGGCCGCTACAGCAGCTGGCGACTTCTTTAAAACGGCCTTTACATTGTCGTCGTTGGTAATGGATTGAGGCAGCTTGCCTCTTCGATCACGACGGAAAGGGTCGGCACCGTGAAGCAGTAGCACTTGGATCAGCTGGATGTTCTTCTTTCTGGCTGCTTCATGAAGTAATGTGCCTCCAGCCTGTACAACAGCTGGATCCAATACGAATTCAGTGCTGTTGATGTCCAGCATAGTTTTTAATCGCGCCTCTTCCAGCACCTGGGCAAGAGTTTCGTAGTCGCCCTTGGCGATGAGGTCCTGCACCTGCTGCACCTTGGTGTCTGTGAAGAGAGATCGAGAGAGCTGAAGGAGCTGGAATATCTCGGGATTCCGAGCTAGGTCGATGGGCAATTTTCCCTGGGAATTTGCAATCGCATCGTTGATCTCTTTCTGCTCCAAGAGAAGCTTGACGGCCTGCGTGCGGCTGTGCATGGCGGCAACATGCAGCGGAGTGTTGCCATCTTTATCCCGAGCATTCACGTCCAAGCTGCCGAGGCCATCGGACAGAACGTATTCGATAACGGGGAACTCGGCGCACTGCATAGCCAAATGAAGTATCGTCGTATCTTCCAATGCCCCAGCAGCACTAGCCCCACTAAGCGACGATGTGCTTGCACGTGGGAGGCCGTCTGCCGTCTCTCGAATGACCTTGGATATGGACGCGGTATCTCCGCTCCTCAGGGCCTCAACAACCCTAAATTTGCGTATAGATTGTTCAAGGCTACTGGTTTTCGTCTCCTGAGTAGGAGAAGCTTTTGCGTTTGCAGCAGCCTGGTTGTTAGAAGGTGTTCTGCTTAGAACAGCCGACGGGGTTGATAGTCGAGATACATGGCTTCGGGGCGCGCTGGATTTCGGGGGAGATGCATGGCTGCCCGTGGCCGATAATCGACCGTCTTCAGATCCGGATTCATCGTCTCGAGTATCTTTGCGGCGCAATAGCGACAGCGCCGCGGCGGACTTGGACCGCTTATGGTTGTTGCTGTAGCCACATCATCCAGATCAGCCAGCTGAAAGATAGGAAGCTCTCAAAATAAAGAGGGACAAAACAGAGTGGGGTTATGATGCAAAGAGAGAGAAAAAGAAAGCAGCTCCGGGATGCGTTACAGCGAATGAACAGACAAGATGGTTCTCGGAAAGCAAACCTACCTGTCGCCCACGTCGGACATGCTAGGCTACAAGCAATTATCTCTGTCGAGTTTCGGGGGAGGTTCGTGTGTTCAGTTGCAGGCTGAGGCAGCCCCCGGGCCGCCAACACAGAAGTTATGTCGAGCAGTTCAAAGCGCGTAGCGAGGATGAGGTCTTTATTAGTCGTACGAGAATGAGAAAAGGGGGACGATCCAGCTAGAGCTGCATGTGAATTGAAGGACAAGAGAAACCAGAGCACCCGGCGTGGAGATTGGTGGTGGAGAAGTGGCATGTATGGACCAGGGACTTGGCCTGGAAGAAGAACAAACGAGGATGGCGGGATGATGATACAACTGGAGGGCAACTCAGCCACCACGTACAGGCGTCTTCAGGCGCCCAAGACACTGTAGCCAGCGATGGGAGCGCTGTACGGCACAGTGTCTAGGGCGTTGCGCAAGCACTCTAGCACTAAAGCGGCCAAGGCAGCTTCGTGGCCAGCGCTGGAAGCCGGCATGACGTTTTTTGTCCAGCCGAGCTAGCGACAGCGTGGCCAATGCTTGTTTGGGCAGTGGGGAGCCTGCTTAGTCATGAGCCACGCCTTTGGCCAACCAACTTCCTGTCGCGGCTTGGCTTGGCGCTTCATGCAGCCTCTCAGGACTTTAATCTATTAATACCGAGTGGTCCGGAAGAGGGCATGAACTGCCAAGGCCAATCACGGCAGCACTGGTTTGGCCAGAAGCAGGCGGGTGAGGCGGGAGAAGCTTCGTGTGTCGACACTCTGCCCTACGAGGAAGCCAATGGCGACGCAGCGAGTCATGGCTGTGATACAAGCATAGCTTGCATGGCAATTGTCTCCTGCATCCATGCACGGAATCGGATATCTTCTGAGGCAAAAAGACGAACGGAATTGCCATGGAGCGTACGTGTACGTGTATTTGCTTGCAAACTTGCCACCGAAGTCCACGTCCATCTGATCTCCTTGGCTACATGTACTCGGAACAAACGCAGTTTACAGAGAGCTTACAGTACCTAGCTGTCTTTGTAGCGGCAAAACTAAGGAAATTTACTGCGCCGTCCAACTTCAGATGGCTGGAAAAATCTTGACGTCATACGTCGCAAAACAAGTCTCTCAGATCTTTCCTCCTCCGTCACCGATACTACCCTAGGACTTTTGAGTCGCACAGCGCTGGCCACATCTTTCGAATACCAAGGTGGTGTCTTTTACGAAGACTACACGTAAGTACATCCAAAGATTCTACGGAGCACATTGCCTTTTCAGATATACAGCAATGGTTAGGGATTGGCCTATAATCCACGACGTTCTACGTCAAGAACAGTCCCAAAGAACAATAGCACATGTACATGTGTTGTTCTGTTCCATTTCCTTGCAACCACCACTTGTATGAATCCATCTGTCAATCAAGTTCAATTTTCGTACCAGTCTCGACTTTACGCCTCCGATATAAGAATGGCTACACCGGACTGGCTTTCAGATGAAGGGCTAAGCCTCGCAGACTCAAATAGCTTAGTGGAACAATACCTTTTCAGGTGAATTTGCCACATCCTTCCTTGTTCCTCGTAGATTTCGAGCCGTAATGGCTGCTTATTTGAGATTTCTCATCTCCAACATCTCGGGGCTTTATGAGACTGCGACACCTAGCGGCGGCTTCTATCCAGGCTGCGAAAGCCGTCGCATATTCGGAGATAATCAGGATGCGGAACGTTTCACCGTCAGAGCGTCGTGTTGCACTGTTTCGCCTCATTCCTCCTTTGTAAGTTCATATTGGGATTTCGATCGCTGCATTGGAAGAAATTCTGTCGATTGGTAACATCTCGTGTATTGCTCGATCTGCAAGTGCTTTTATCAATACAAGTGGCGCTGAAAGAGCTATCAATAATATCGAAGGCTACATGTAAGTTCTTCAAAACTGAAGTCAGCCATGCCGCGTTCTATATGTTCTTCATCATTAGCGGGCATATTAGCCGTTATCCTGGGAGTGTTTCCAATTTGGAACACGAGAAGCCATGGATAGAAATCAGACAAATTATCAAAACTATAGGTTCTGCGGGCTTCAATTTAAAAGTTTTGAGAGTATTGGCTCCCTGACAACAAAGAATACTAATCGTATTCCGAGCTCCGCAATGCGCTTCCTCTTACGGACACATGGCGTTCCAATGAAATGCCCGATTCGTCGATTGATCAAATCAAACAAGGCATTAATATCTAAATATAGCCAGAATCTACAATTCAGTTCCCTGAAAGGGGAATATCCATTGTAAAAGTCCCAGTCTGCTGGAGAAGATTGAAGCCTACCCTGAGACTGGAGATCCAGAGAATCTTCAATCTAGTCCCAACAAGGGATGGTTCTGTCATCAGACTGCATTAGCGCTAGCTCTGTGAAACTCCACCCGTCTTCCTATTCAAGTCAAACATAGTCAGCAGGAGACATTCAAAGGAACGATTGATGACCCTTCAACTCCAAATTCATCTTCCTATCTATTAAAAAAATTGCGTTTTTGCCTTGTGGATAGGATCATTGCTCGACTATAGCCTATTCGATGGCTACCTTTATGAAATTTCGTCTAGTCCCGGCGCGGGAAGAGGTGAGTTTGTTCCGTCAATCATATCGAAGCTATCAAAGAGCTAATTAGGGGTTACTTGTAGAAGGTTGACGAGAATGACGATTGGTATGGGCTGAGAGATGCCAAGGAAAGGAGGAAAAGGCAAAATAGGATCAATCAAAGAGCAGCTCGTAGGAATACCTCATCAGCCCTTCTTCTCATCTAATTGCACCGGGAAGACTAACGGAGCATCCGCATCAGGCCGGCGGCAACGAGACAATCTCGCGCGGGAGCTCGAGTCTTCTACGGCAGTACCATCGCCTCCAAATGCAGCTGGCCAGTGCCGAAGACCCAATGTTTCCTCTACCCAGGTTTATTTCCCGTTGTCCCCGGACCACAAGCTTCTATACGTCATTTGTCTCAACGTCTCGCGGGCAATCATCACCAACTACTTCATAATGTCTACAATTGCGCCAGAAACCGCATCCCTTTGCATCAGTCGCCGAATATTCACAGTTGAAAGCTTTTCAGAAGCTCCTCGAAATCTCGATGGCACCCGTTCATTCCCCCCAGCGTTTATGCCGACGAAAATGCAGCAAGAGGTTCCCCACCCCGGCTGGATAGATCTTCTCCCATCCCCTCAACTGCGGGATAACCTCATTCTTGCAGTAACAGAATTCGATGTTGACGAAGACGAAATTCTCGAAGACTTGATAGGAGATATATTTGAAGCCATGGGCTGTGGACCAGAAGAAGATTCAAATGACAGTGCCCCGAACGACGCGGAAAGTCTTACAAGGCCACATGTTGTAACCGCACAAACAAAAGAGGCACTGAAAACATTTACTCCTACAAACACCCCCGAAGTTGGTATCCTCTCATGGTCCGATCCGTGGGAGATATCGGGTTGGGAAGTTACAGAAAAGTTTGTGACCAGATGGGCATTTTTACTTCAAGGATGTCCGGATGTGGTTGAATCTGCAAACAAGTGGCGAGCTTTACGAGGAGAAGATCCTCTCGTCGTGGAGATATGAAGGCTAGTTGAAGCTGATTTTGAGAGTAGAATAGGCCCCGGCGTAGAAGGATTGACCGGAAACTTCTTTTCTTCTTTTCTTTTTTTGGCATATGGTGTTGAGCGGTATGGAACAATTAGTTGAGTTTACTGGCACAATGGATATTTATTCTCTCTTCTCTACTTACTCCTTCCTTGTCAAGGGTGATTGGCGACCAACATGCTAAGAGGTGAAGGACTGGAACATCATGGGTGCAAACTCTTAATCCAATGTTCTGGCCTTTGAATCAACTCCTCATTTGCTAGACAGTAACATGCAACCGGCAATAGAAAATAAAAAAACATAATGGTCGTAATAGTTACCTTGTCATGTCAGAGACGTACTTGTCACACGGTGAATGCTAAAAAAAATGCAAAAAACAATGCCCACTATCAGAGTCGAACTGATCACCTTGTCATGTCAGAGAAACTACTAGTGACACGCTATACCGCTTAGCCAAGCGGGCTTTTGATGACAGAGATTCAATCATAATATTATATGAAGCAAATCAGCTTTGCATTTCAGACAGAGGTCACGAAAGCGGGCGAGTATTATGTCATGGTCGACTTTTATTAAGCTCTATAAGCTCTGCTGTTCTTTTTCTCATCGTTCTATACTGCTTAGCCAAGCGGGCAAGAGCTGTTCTCGAGTATTAGCGAGTCATTGTGATATACACAGATGGCGAATGCGGGGACCAATATTGCGGGGCATATAGACTCAAAGATCAATTGACAAGTCACCTACATTAGAGTTCTTGTTGATCTACTGCCTCTTTGGCGCGAATCAAATTATGCAAGTCGATATCCAACGACCATTATGCTTGTATAGTTTCTTAGTGGTAAAATTAACTGTTGGTGCAACCAGGATGGCACAAGTACCGATACAAAGTAGGACGGCGTATCAATTGCTCTTTTGCTTTGTTCAGGTCGGAAATAATCAAGTTGCCCGAGTGAATACGCCCGCAGCACCACCATTGATCCCAGGAGATGTCCTAGACTCGCGTGTTTCACATTTACCAAACTTTGGGAAATGTGGGATGAATCCACTTCTTCAACAGGGCAAAGCTGTAGGAGCTACAGTACGTATATAACTTCTCACATGTCGGCAGTTGTTTTGCGCTAATCGTAGACAACAACAACCCCGCAAGAAGGAACAACGCTGTCAAACTAAAATTTCAAAAGAGCCGATTAATTGGCCATGCTCGAAAGATACGGCTCGATTGCTCTAGCGGGGATGGGCTAATCCAGCAGGCATGGCAGTAGTTTCGGGGGATTAGACGCATTGAGATGGCCTGATGTTTGCAGCTTTTGTATCAGTGACTTTGGGTACAAAGCAATTACAGCGGAGAAGCAGCGAATATGAACATGTCACCAGTAGTCCTACCTCCTGGAGCCTGATACTTGACAGATTAATCATCCGATTTCGCGTAGAGATTCATCTGTCCGGGTGCCTGGTAGATACGATAAGCGAGTGATTAATCAAGATGGTGCTGACCTTGTGTGATGCACTTGGAAGTAGTTGAATTATATTAAAACTGCAACTTGTACAACTTGCAATTTGCACTCAATGCAGTAGCAGATGATCAATGCCATAGCCAAGGTCGAGAGTGGACACTCGGAACTACCCGCACTGGACTGGGCCGCCGCTCGCCGTCCGTTTGGAAGCGGCCGTTTCCCAAAGTTATTAACGGTACAAAGTACAAGCAACTGCTTGCATCTCGCATCTCGCTGCCGTCTGCAGTCTGCAGTCGCCTTGCACTTTCCTCATCTGCTTTGCTGCTTCCTCCCCCGCCGAGCAATACACGTATATAAAACCTAGTGCGCGCTGCAAGCTGCATACATGTACTGCATAGGTGCTGCACGCTGTACCAGACGCCTTACAAATTGGCGGTTCAGGGCGCGCCGCTGTCGGTGCAAGATCAACTGCCCGCACCCAAGGTCAAGCATCCAGAAATTTTTAGCGCATGCGCGGCTGAGCTCGGAATTTTCTGTAGCGCCGACGCAGGGTCCAACAGCCCGAGATCCAGGCCTTTAGCGGGCCAAATAGCACATGGCAGTGGCAATTGACAGCCGCCGTCCCGTAAATCTCTGGCAGGTTACAAGTCCCAGGGTTCAATTTTTTCCTCTTCGGGCTTTGGAAAGCGCCAAGCTGTAAAAATCGAGGCATCATGGCCCTCACGTCTGCGCATTGGCGCCTACCCTCGCTTAACTCGCGCTGTATCTGAATCAACAATGGCGCTTCCGCGTCCATATGACCACATGCAAACTCTTCCGCAGCCTCGTCCTCTTTGCCTCTGACTTGAGCATTCGGGCCGCCGTGATTGCAGTACTTTTGCGCATGTATACATCTAATTTCAGCTTGTGAAAGATTTTCCATAGAGGCGGCTATATGGCGTGATTACCCTATCAAGCTACCTGCCTATCTATCCATCTATCTCGGGAATTTTCTCAGAATCAACATCTATCAGAAACACCGCGCTTCACTCTGCCATTACCAGCATCAGGGATCAAGCAAGGCAGGCTAAATAGGGAAGACGATACGGAAAGAAAAGCTCTCGCGGCATTCCGCATTCCGCAATCTTGGCAGGCATGGAGCCGTTTCCGAAGCTGCAAGATGGCATCTCCATCTCCGACAGTGGCCAGATGGTGCCCTTCCGCTCAGTGTACAAGCATCTGCACCACACATGGGCGCGCACATTCTCGTGCGTGGCCGACGTCTACGTTCAGCCTGAATCCCTGGCCGAGATCGAAAAAATCGCCCTTCTCGCGCACAAATGTCGCAAGCGCGTGGTGACGGTTGGCTGTGGGCACTCGCCCTCCAACATCACCTGCACCTCCAACTGGCTGGTCAACCTGGACAAGTACAGCAGAATCCTCTCTGTCGACGACCAGAGCGGCGTCGTGGTCATGCAGAGCGGCATCCGCTTATACGCCCTGTGCGAGGAGCTCGAGCGGCGTGGCCTGGCTATGCCAAACCTGGGCAGCATCAACCAGCAGTCAATTGCCGGCGCCATCTCGACGGGGACGCACGGCAGCAGCGTTCGCCACGGCCTCATGTCCGAAGACGTCCTCGCCCTCAAAATCACGCTTGCCAGCGGAACTACTGAGCACTGCTCCCGGGACGAGAACCCCGATCTGTTTCGAGCCGCACTGCTGTCTCTCGGCTCACTTGGCATCATCTCGGAAGTCACTTTTCGTGCCGTCCCAGCCTTTACCCTGCGGTGGAAACAGACCATTGATGCAGATGTAAAAATGTTCAACTCGTGGCCAAACGAATTGTGGACTCAGAGCGAGTTTGTCCGAGTCTGGTGGTTTCCCTACACTCGCCGGGCGGTAGTCTGGCAGGCCGAGAAGACCGACGAGGGTCTCCGTGATCCTCCAGTGAGCTATTATGATGGGTCCCTGGGCTACTACATCTATCACAATCTGCTTTACGTCGCCCAGTTTGTGCCTCGCATCCTGCCCTGGGTTGAATGGTTCGTATTTGGCATGCAATACGGTTTTGCAAACGGATCCACAACGTCAGCCGTCCAACCAAGCCGCAAGGCCTTGTTGATGAACTGTTTATACTCTCAGTTTGTCAACGAGTGGGCTATTCCCCTCCACAAGGGCCCGGAAGCACTCCGAAGGCTTAGCTCATGGCTTAACCAACTCACTCCCAGTGACCCAGACTATGTGCCGCATAACATCCCCTTCTCAGCCAAGGGCCTTTATGTTCATGCGCCAGTGGAGGTTCGGGTCAGCGATACGACGCTCACTACAAACTCCCGGCCGTTCCTTGACCCAACTGTCAAGGATGGACCAACGTTGTACCTCAACGCTACTCTATACCGTCCTTACTTGCGTGACCCCCCTTGCCGCGAACGTTACTACCAAGCCTTTGAGTGGCTAATGAAGGACATGGGCGGCAAGCCGCACTGGGCCAAAAACTTTGAAACCTATCGCCCCGAAATCGAACTCATGTATGGCGAAGACCTTGACAAGTTCAGGAATATCCGAGATGCCGTCGACCCACGAGGAATGTTTCTTGGGCCCTGGCATAGAGACCGTATCCTCGCGGAGAATGCTCAGTATGATCTCGAAGAAGTTGAAGTCCGGAGGACAAAATCCGTTAAGAGCGGAATTACAATTTTTGGCCAAGTTTAGGCGGGGTTACGGTGTTTACAATGAGTTGTCTCACAATACAGCGGAGATGTCTGCTCATCAAAAGTGTTTCTCAGGTATATCATTATTATAGATATGGAAAGCAAGCTTCATTAGGCCTTTATGTACATATGATTGCTAGGCCAAACCGGCATCTCTTAGTATATGGCAGAGTAGGCCTATAACAAAAAGAGTTTTTGAACTACCTATACAGAGTACTACTATACGAGACGACCTTGGACATCACTACTAATATTATCCAGAACCATTATGATACAGGTCGAGGTTTGGCAAGTGACTTCATGGAGCCCAAAGCAGCTCACCAATGACCATCCCACGCTGCGAATCCAGCAAATCTTGGGTACGTGGTGAACTCACCAATCCTGTTCCTTTATTCAAAACGTTTTGTGAGGACATATGAGAGAAAGGGGAGATGATATAGAGAAAAAGGAGGGGTGTCGATTTGCTATGAGAAAACAATAATGAAGATTTAATCCTGGCGCTGATCCTGATCAGCGCCCTCTCACGCAATCTCAAGGCTATTCGGCCACCATACCGCTCTATACGTTTACCCCCCAGCAAGTGAGCGTCAACTGCAACATGCCTATCACCGGACCAGGAACAAGGCAAGGGTGCAGCACTACCTTTTGCTCTTCTTGGCAAGAAGGGTTCTAGAGCTAGGTATGACAGGCTGCAGATTGCTGCCCTTGGCGTATAGTACTAGTAATAGTAGTAGTAGCAGTACTAATAATATTTCACTCGCCTTCGTATATGAAGCCAATCATGAACGTATAGTCGGCCATGTATCCTTTTTTGGTTATACGGTTAATGCCCATGCAATATTCTACTTATAGATATGCAGTAGCAGTATCTGCCTAGGTAGGTATTGTAAGAAGAAGAGATGGAAAATTTGCATAAGCCCTCTCCCCTCTCCTCTTGCCCTATACAGAATACGCTATATCTGGGCTATATTTGGGCTATATCGTGCTACCACTAGGTATCACTAGCTACTATTCCCTTGGACGATTCCAGCAGCATTCCGCGCCGCTTGACAGCGGCACATGTATTTATAATACGGAGAACGCTTCCGCAAACCTGCAGAATTTTTCCTGCTTTAGTTCCATCTTCTCTTGTTAAACCCGAAATTTCGGCAGCATTTTTTCTTTTTTAAATTTCCGCCAATTGGGGGGATGCGCATGCAATGCATCCTCATCCGATGGTCGCTTTTTTTTTATTTCTACATCCTCTTCTTGTCTTAGAAGCGGGGAAAGAAGGAAAGTGAGGAGATGGTGATGAGAAGTTCTAGCCAATCAGGTAACTGGGAATGCAACTTTTGTTGATTACTTACCGGGAACACTTCGTACATACTTAGGTTTTGAAGTAAATAGCACGAGTTATAAGAGAGGGGAGAGATATATAGACTTCACGTCTCGTATTGGCGCGGGGAAAACCATCCAAGCAAGTCTAAGTAACGGGGCAAAGTAAACCAAAGCAGAATTAAACAGAAAAAAATATCAACCTATTGTAGCATGAGGGCATAGGTCAAGACGCGACCAACGTTGAGTCTTTGGGGGCCAACGGCATCTTTCAGTTCACTCTCTGTCTCCTTTTTTTCTCCCAACTTTGTCCAGGCATCTGCTTGCCGAATACGGCAGTCGTACCCTAATAGACTACCTAGTGCCTGATGAGACGTAGCATATTGGGGGCTTACCACAGATGTGCCAACCCTGAGGTGATATGCACGGCTTACAAGTAGGGCTGCGATGGCAGCAATACTAGGTAGTACTGCCTATAAAACGTGCACTGTGATTCTCAACAAAAGGTCCACGGCATAGGCACAGCGGTGCTGCTGATGACTTGGCAACGCCCTCTTTTGGTGGCGACGCTGTCTCAGGAAAGGGTTATGGCACCCTCCCACCAGCATGCTCTGCAAGTAGTGTACACTCCCACCCCTTTTCGGGTCCTTTCCCTTCGCCTTTCTATTTTGCCGCCTATCATCCCTGGCGAGCGACTGTCGGCGTCTGCAGAGCCGGCCGGGAAGAATGGCGCAAACATCGACTATACTGTACTGTAGTCCCTTCTTGCGCATAGCAGACCACGGAATCGGAACTTCTCCGAACTAGGCTCGTTCTGGGGGAAGGATTCCCTCCTTGATCAAATTGCTGAAGGCAAAGCCATCCTGATGATCTATGATGTGCTCTCTATGTGGCACTGATGTCCTGAAATAGGGCATACGCCTTTTCTCCTTTTGGCCCACAATCTCATATATTGGCGCTTCCAAGATTAGAATCGTCCTTGGTCAGCATGTTATAAAGCACATCTAGGAGGAGCGATACCGAGACGATGGGTCACTAGCCCTTTGCTGGCTAACCACATTCCGTGTACTACCACATTGTAAGAACGAACCTCTATCCTTACAGTACAACCCAGTGTCGCTCAGGTCCAGAACAATCAGCGAATGATCCAGGGCAGAGCTACATACCCCGTAGTACCTCGATACCCACCGCATCTATGCTTTGGGCGGCTGTGGAGGCTGTTAACAAAGACACGGTACAGTACAGAGTGAGCTGCAGTTCATCAAATCAATCTTAATAAGAGTCGGTGAGGCTTCCATCAACCCTGTCAAACGAAATTGCCTTGCAGCATGGCCTAGGGTTATTCGCGGGTAATCGGGCAAAGGTGGGTGGGTAGTGAAGCTAAATCCAAATCGTGACCGTTTACTTGTACTCCTCCGTTTTCGACAAGATATCCCACCTCATCCCACTTCACTCAGAAGCATTCTGTTTGTGGTCAGCAGAATATTATCAGTATTCAGCATGCAAGCCAAAACACATGCCCAAGTTCAATCATCACATCTCTGAGAAAGGGTAGCAGTTGTTCTTTCGTTTGCTTGATGAGTGCCTTGTTATCTTTCCTTCCTCTTCTTCTTTCTTCTTTTCTTTATTTGGAATTATTAGCGTTGGGAGTGGTAGTACTATTAAAGCAGTAACTTTTTCCTTAGGCTGATCGGGGATTCTTACCTGAAGGTAAAAGGTAAGGCTAAAAGGAGAAAAGGCAGGATATCCTGTAATATCTCATATTTTCTAACGCGGGATGAGACATCCTAGCAGATATGATATACTATCCCTGCAGCAGACTGGGAACGGCGACCGCAGCAGGCTTGGGTGTGAAATGATGAAGAGGCACGGTACTCGTACACCAACACTCACTACCACATACGGAGCTGTCTCCGGTGCCATTCTTTCAAGCTAGAAAGGCACGCTAGATAGTAAATCATCCAGGTACTGGGTATAAGGCCAGCGGCTCGGCAGGTATATATGAATGACTAAACGGGGGATGAAATGTCCAAGTGACAACAGCTGCAATGTGTTCATCATCGTGGTTGATTGAATAGGTTATACAGAAAGCTGTCTGCGAAAGATCAGCAGTGGGGGAATGTCGCTGCCTATTGCAACTCTATATCTGTAAGACTGGGAAAAAAGGGCACCAGGTAGTGTATAGGGTGTGGTTGTGATAAGAACAGGCTGTATCTTGCATATTTCTATATACCAGTAAAGAAATGTGAAGAAAAGGAAGAGGCGGTAGCAGATGGATGGTATAGGGCATGGAGCGTTGGACAGTATGCAGTACTGTAGGAATGGCCTAATATGAATTGTTGCATTAGACTGAGCTGGTTTCATCGACTTGGCAGCAGCAACAGCAGCAGTAAAACTCCAGCTGGCCTGAGAAAAAGAGAACATGAAGCGTACACAGCCCCTGCCAGGGCAGGCTCTGACATGACGCATCTGCGGGGAAATGGTCCAGGAGAGGGGTGGTTTTGGCTCGACGTTTTGTTGCATGGCGTGCCAGATGGCGGCCTAAGGCCTGCTCGTTCGCTCTGTTCAGCCCAATACCGGTAATAGTCCAATTACTACCGCTGAATGATGGCTGATTGGCTACGAATGTGCTCTTGCAGTGCTGAAGCATGTTGGTTGGATCGTCACCATTTTGAACTGCCTAATAAATCGGCGTCTTGTCCCACGTTGTAAACTCACAGCACAGAGTACGATTGATTGAGCACAGCTGTCAACTTGGTACGGAGCAGGTAGGTATTAACCCGTATGGCGCCGCTGATGGCAAAGCACAAGGGTAGTAGCTAGGCTACTGCAGCCAGCCCAGAACTGGGCTACAAATTGGGGTAACAATTGGTAGACAAAGAAGCCATTACACGTGCGGGGCGCTATCGGCAGCGATGAACTGTCCGTGGCGTCTCATAGTTTCGGCGTGAGCTGTCTGTTGCACCTTGGACGTCCGTCCACAATCGCCGTCTAGAAAACGCCGGGACCTTGGTAGCATTAGCAGCAATGGGTAGTACACCCGGCTGGGGGAAGACTCTGGTGAGCGGCGGCGTGCGCTGGACCTCGTCTTCGGAGTTCTCCCCAAAAGAGACAGGCCCGTTTAAAAAATAAAAGTGTAATACCACGGGCATTTCTATACAGAGTATACGATGTCAGCTGTAGGACAAAAGCAAGGGTCCCGACTTATAATGATTCCGCGTTCCGTGTTTCACGGGAAGCCTCATGATAAGGGGGGGTAAGCGAAGTGCTGCCGAGCATCATGGGAAGGGGCTCTAAGAGAATATCAACTGTCGAAGAAGAGAAGTTGCTGGAAAGGTGCGGCAGAGCTCGCAACATAGACAAGGTTTCTGCCCTCTATTTGCCATGGGCCCCCCTGCGGTGTCTGGGTAGGGCAAAACGGATATTAAAGATGATTTTTTTCTGCATCGGCCTCCACTCCAAGGAACGGTATCCGTAGGGCAGTCATGCCAAGTGGTAATCGGTGGAGCAAAATGCTGGGATCGCTTCATACAGATGTGTTAGTGGAGCACTTTACAAAATCCCTGTTCCACGATATTATGCAGAGCGTAGATCTAGTATTGGGGAAGGGAAAAGGAAAAAAGATTGCACACATACGAGTTTAGTAAGTATCTGTACTGCCAAGCACTGAGTTTCGACCGCGTTCGTTTGTATTGTCAAAGACTGCTCAGATATCACGGCACGGGACAGTATGCGCGTCTCACGCTTATTCGGCTCGGGCTCACTCCTGTAGATACTGATGCTCGGGCACTTTCCTCCCGCTCGAGTCATCCGCGCCGACTTCAGTCGTACTGGGCACAAGGTTACCGCCGCCTCGGCACTGCTAAATAGAGATATATGGATTTCATATCCGTAACACAAGTCAAGGCCTTTGGAGGGCGAGTGGGCGAACAAGGCCGCCACTTGACACGCCGACTCTGAAGTGCGCTTCAAGCGGCTGAGCGTATGCACGGAGTAGGTACATTCGTACATGGATCCAAAAATAAGGCGTAAAGGCAATGGACGAAACCATACTGTGCTCGCTCAGCTGAGGCAAGGGGCGGCTCGAGTCCTCGAGGTCTGGGCAGCACCATATCAGGGGCTGAGCCTGGCAAACGAGCGTACTGTACGAGCAAGCACCAAGTGGTCGGCTTCTGCTGGAGATGGTGGACCTGTCTGTCGTGTAAATGTTGTTCCCGTCCGCTCTGGCTCACTACCACGGGAATATCGCTTGATGATGACTGTATTTCCCGAAAGCCCTGTTGGCAATGCTTGCCAATATCTTGGAGTAGTTTCGTGCTAGCAGAAGCGATGCGAGCAGTAGTGGTATCGGCCCCGTTGGCCGGCGCAAGCCATTATAGTCGTGGAGGTAGTACCGAGTATAGCAGCAGCGGCAGGGATTTTTGCTGGGCAGCAGGCGTTTAAAATTAGCTTAAGACCTCCATCCAAGGTTGTCCAGCATGGCGGGAGACGTCATGCCAGGTGGCTTGCCTTAGTGCTCTCTCTTTGACAGGGGCCCGCCGAAATTCGCGGAAAAAGGTTGCCGGTGACAAAGTTTCAGGGTTGCAACAACTGAGCTGCTCTGCTGGAGCTCTGCCAGCAAGTGGAGGTGCTAGCAGCGCAGCGCCATGCAGGCACTCTGTGGCCGCGAAATCTTAACGGACAAGAGAGCATTAGTTTGTCGTTTGTTCGCGCAATGCAACCAGGGGCAATTCTGGAGGCAGAGGCACGATGGCCCTGCGACCAGAGGTTTCGCGACCGATCCTGCTGCCGAGGGAAGATGAGATGAGATGTCTGGGCTGTGTGTGATTCCGAGCGAGGTACTCGGTCGGGCCTGGGCTGGGGAGGAGATAAAGGCAGGCGGCAAGTGGGTATGAGTCCGGGGAAGGAGCAGACGTCGCAACAGCCTTATCTGCCAGTTTGATTGCTGGACAGGCAGGTGCACGACTCGGCAAGCGCTCCCTAGCAATTAACCTGCCCAAAACCCTAAATGGGTAGCCAGGTCTTACCATGCACGGCGTATGCTTGGCTTTTACTCGCCTGGCGCCGTTTCTTACGGAGCCCGAAGGCCGTTTTTAAGGTTCAATTCACTTTGTTTTCTGGACCTCGCGTGCGCGCCATGTGCTCTGTGGCTGCTCTTGTATCTCTTGTACCTCTTGTACCAACGCATAGCCCAGGTTATCAACTCCTATCGCACCTCGTTGCTAAATCAAAAACCGACACTAACTCGAGCCATCTTCTGAAGATGCGTCGACACGTATCCGACATGCTGATTGCTGCCTGCATGGGGGCCTTCCTTTGATCCCCTGAGAGCATCACCAAGAGAAGCATAACCGCGTCTAATATAGCGTACCTACTGCTCGTAATTGCATTGGCCGCTTCGTACTGCCAACATTGATCTCAAACTCGGCTGCTGATGGCTAAGGGTCTGGCTCCGTGGGTCTGCGGCTTTCATGTCGGCGAATTGCACCATTTGATCTGGAGCCGCTAGGAATCTACTGCCTGCTAATTACCTGCCACAGCCACCGCCAGCAGGTTCCAGCTATTGCATGGAGGGCATCATGATTAGTCTCTACAAAACTCGAAGTAGCAACACCATCACCATGTTATTACAACTGCCTACATACAAGCAAAGAGAAATGACTGTTTCCTGGAAACCGCGTTGTGCCAGCACATCTCCAACGACCAGCTAGTGGACAAGACGCTCAAACGACGGGCATATGACGAGGGCGAAGATGGACCGGTGAAGATGGACTGTAAAGCGATGCCACTATTTTAGCTGCGTTGCATCTCAGCCCATTGACTGATGACTAACTTGCGAGACGTGTCTATATAGGGGCAAACGTGCTTTAGATGGACTACTTCGTAGGCGCATACTCCTCGTACATACTTGCGTTATCACGCGGGATGACAATCTCACCGCGATCCACAGGCCAGAAAAGCCATCGAGAAGATTGTCAAGATGTTTGGAGTCTCGCCCAGCGCAACCGTCTACAAGGCAAGTAGGGAGAATGAAGGCCACACTGATTCAGAAATCATCCACTCTTATTGTCCAGACTTGTCATGTTCATGTTATTGGTACTAAGGGATTTCCAAGTTATCATCTGCACGCAGCCAACGTCAGCACACATGTCGAAATCCGTGCTCGCAAAAACGACCCTAAACGCCGACGGCATCTGTTCTGCTAAAATAGTGCTCCTACCTTGTCTCCAAGGCTGTGGTTTGAGTTCCGTTTCGCACTCTTTGCGTGCTGCGGAGCAAACGGACTCTTCGGATCATGGACATCGAAACCTGTCGAAGCTGCGGAGCCCGCCGCCTCTGTCCACTTCAGCCCTCGCCTTCGGAGAGATATATCCAGAGAAATGTAGCGGTCATCACCTAGCTATCTTCATCTAGCGGCTGGCTGCTGGCCACTCGGGGACGATGCCTTTGCGTCGTCGCTCCTCGCAAGACAATCAACTAGAGCAACGTGCAGCCCGGTCACGATGCAGATTCTTGGCGTGGCGTGGCGTGGCGTCGCTTGAGGCTTCCCGCCAACCTTGATCTGGCATCTGCAACTCCCAGGCGTTCTCGGTGTGTCTGGATGAGAAAACGGGTTTTGCGGAGTGGCTGGACGTTGCATCAGCCCCTCCAGGCGGCCCCGATACGCAACAGGATGGGCATCCGCTCTTGGGGCCTCAGCCGGTTCGGATACCGCTGCGGCAAAATTTATCCGGCATACGAATTGTCTGCATGTTGGCTGCTGCTAATCTACGACGAGGTGACGAAGTGACGAAGAGTTTTCACTTGGTGATATCCCCTCTCCGCATCATGCAGCTGCCCAAGCCCGGAATTACATGTACCTGCCAGATAGCCAAACCCCCCTCTTCCGCCTCTTTATCTTATGCTTCCGTTTGCCGACTCTTGCATGGCCTGGACGTTCTAGAATACCCTCTGTCCTCTCGCAATCTCTTTCTATGTATACATGTGCGTACATGTAGTTTATATAAATAACTACCTACTAGTAGCACTGCGTATGGCCACCTGTATGCCTCTAGTATGAAGCGGTTCGTGGAGTAAGGTCCATGTATCTGGCAGTCATACCCACTACCTGAGGCCTACTAAGGAATGTGTACAAGTAGAAACTGCCTGTAATTGGGCCACTGCTCAGGCTTGAGTATGCATGTATGCCAGTAGTGCTTCGCCCTTGACTTGACAATATCTACCCCTCCTCTCCAAGATTGGAGCTTGCGCCGGTCTGCAGGGCTTTATCTTGTACAACTTGTCAACTGGAGTTGGCCCCAAAATCAGGGCAGACGCGAGAGGGCGCACCCAGCGCTGGGACGGATCCACGGCCTCGGGACAACCGTTTTCATCTGTACTGTACGCCGTCCAGAGTACCGCTACTTTACCTGCGCGTCCCGTCGGTGCCAGGGCCGTTTTCACCCCCATAATTAGGCGCCAGCCTGGGGTACCACGGCGGCGTCGTATTGGCAGAGGAAGCGTCTGGTGGCGTCTGCGGCCCCATCGACCCTCTGCAGCTACTGTGAACAGGGTTTCAGAGGTCTTTGCTCAACCACGGGCTTCGCAAATGCCCTACCGCTCCCAAGTCCGGGGACAGGGCACGGGCATGGCGAGCACATGTAAGTACAGAAGGTCCATGTAAAGTATGCAGTGCGCAGACGAAACCGTATCCATGGGCGCCGAGGCAGCAACCCATGGCGTCTGACGGGGGGAGCGAGAGCCCTGCTGCAAGTAAACAGAGCCCCCCGTGGCGGCGTGGATGGAGCTTGGCGGTCGATACGGCTGTCGTCGTCGTCGTCGTCGTCGTCGGTCTGGAGTACTCGTACCTCCAGCCCGGGTACCTCAGGTACTAAGCTTTTGTGTGCTCTGCTAGCCGATTAGCAGATTGGCAGTTGGAGGGCTGCCCCCGGCGCAAGGCTCCAGGCCACTGAACTTTGCGGCCGCTCCGCTGAACCCTGCCAGAGCTGCCAAGCTCGTGGCTGCAGAAGCACCAACGGAAGGGTGCGCAGAGTACCCAGCCCCGATCGCCGAGTACAAGTACGCCCAGCCGCAGAGCTGGGTACAGCGCCGTGCCTGCAGCCCCGGGCCAGGCCAGCGTCGCGTCGGCTGCAACCTCCAGCAGGCGCCAAGTACCTGCGCCGGTACCAGTACCAGAGGCCAGCGCGGCAAGTACGGAGAGCCTGCTGACCCACGCCTCGATCCGCTTGCCTTGTCCCACCCTTCACGTCGTGGTTCCTCGTTCTTCGGATCCCCTCTACCTCTGCTCTACTTCCTCTGCTTCCCACAGCGTCCTGCTGCATATCCCATCGCTGCCAGCTTCATTGTCCATGCGCCCTGCGGACTGATCGCGGCGTCTCGACTGGCCTGCAACTGTCTTGCCCTGCGCATCAGAGCCCCTGCATTGCCAGATTCCCACTCTGGCTGCTGGAGAATCAATCGCACTTTGAACTTCCAGCAGCCCAGTGTCTCAGCCGTGTCTTCTTGCAGCTTCTCAGCGGAATCGGCCCTCTCTCCTCTTTTGCGACGCAGCCTTGGCAGAGCACGGTGCTGCCAGTATTAACGAGTATCAAGAGCCGTGAAATGACCAGCAATCGGCCTGACGAGCCGCCATATCCTCCCATTCCCAAGCATCGACAGCCGCTTAGTCCCCTTGGCCTGTAGTCCGGATTCCAGCCATGTCGGACGGCCGGGGCGGCATCAACCGTCAGTTTCGCAACGCCCACCGCCAGAGCTTCGATTCCGCGTCCCAGCTGTATCCGCAGCGCGAGCCTGCTCCTGGCGGTGGGCAAGGCGAAGTACCTTCAGATGAGATGCTGGGTGGCAACCCTCACTTCAGCGACTTTAACTTTCCCTTCTCCGCCCTGCCCGACTCAACCGTTCTCGCCCACCAGGCCGACCCTTTCTCGCAGCACCAGGCCGGCACCATTTCCTCCATTCCGCCATCACATAGCATGAGTGCCATGAACAACATGACACGCCAGTCCTTCGTGCCCATTCTTGATCCGCCGACGCCGAATCTGGAACTAACCAGCAGCTCAATGGCCAGGATATCGACTCCGGCGTCCAACTCCATCACCGATGATGGGAATGCAGACGACTTCGGCCTCATGAATCAGAATCGTGGCGATGGCACAGACTTGGGAGGCAAGTCCAAGGACGACTCTGCGTCGGCCCCCCCTGCCTGGAGTGAGCTCAAGACCAAGGCTGGCAAGGACCGGAAACGACTGCCGCTCGCCTGTATCGCATGTCGTCGCAAAAAGATACGCTGCTCTGGAGAAAAGCCTGCCTGCAAACACTGCATGAGGTCACGTATTCCGTGCGTTTACAAAGTCACTACCCGAAAAGCCGCCCCGCGCACCGATTACATGGCCATGCTCGACAAGCGACTGAAGCGGATGGAGGAGCGCATCATCAAGATACTCCCAAAGTCTGATCAGGATTCCTTATCCTCGGTCCCCCGTGCCGTTGTCAAACCTGCCATCCCAGGAACTGGAACAATGACGTCAAGTAAGACAATCACCAAGAAGCGCAATGCTGACGAAGCCTTTGGCCGGGATCTTGAAGCATGGGCCAAGGCTCCCAGACCGAAGCTGCCGGAAGACCAGGCCGGCTCGCCAGAGTCCCGCGAGGCAGAAGAAAACGAGCTGCTGCGTGAAGGAAGGGATGCTCTTCCTCCCAAGGATGTTCAAGAGCACCTCACCGAGGTCTTTTTTGACAATGTCTACGGTCAATCATATCATCTCCTCCATAAACCGAGCTACATTCGCAAACTAAAGTACGACCATTTTTCCACGGGGAATGAAGCACGTCGCCTTTCCTTCCTAGTGCCTTACCCATATACCCATTTCAGTCAACTCTACCAGCACAGCTGCTAACGGCAAAATTTAGGAATGATACGCTACCGCCGGTGCTTGTTCTCTCTGTTTGTGCCATCGCAGCGCGCTTCACGTCGAACCCAAAGTTTAACAACTCTTCAACCAAACAGTTTATGCGTGGAGAGGAGTGGGCCTCTCACGCCAGAGAAATTTGCACTAAACGATATGACTGGCCCAACATAACGATATTGACTTGTCTCCTCATCTTGGGCATGCATGAGTTTGGAACGTGCCATGGCGGCCGTGCCTGGGCTCTGGGTGGACAGGCCATTCGTATGGCCTTTGCTCTCCACTTGCATAGAGATTTGGAATATGATCCCCAGATGCGAAATAGGAAGATCAAGCTGAGTTTCATCGATCGCGAAATTCGTCGCCGCGTTATGTGGGCTTGCTTTATGATGGACCGCTTCAACTCCTCCGGGACAGACCGGCCTCTGTTCATCAAAGAAGACACTCTCAAAATACCTCTGCCCGTTGCGGAGAGACATTTTCAATTTGATATGCCAGCACAGACCGAATACCTCGACGGCACCGTTCCGAATCATGAGCTAAACGACCAAGATCAAACGGGAGTGTTGCCGCGCGACAACATGGGAGCAGCAGCCTACACTATCCGCTCAATATCCATTTGGGGTCGTGTCGTTACCTATTTGAACCAGGGTGGAAGAGAACAGGATGCATATCCAATGTGGGACAAGAATTCCCAGTATGCCCAACTGGTGCGAGATACCGAAGAGCTACTACGCTCCCTCCCGGATTCCCTCAAATCTACCCGCGAGGCTCTAGAGATTCACCGCGCCGAAAGTACCGCAAGACATCTCCTTTTCCTGCACATGGCTATCCAGCAGAATCTGCTCTTTCTCCACCAAGCCGCAGTCTCTTTTTCTCGAGACCGTATTGGCGAAGAGGCACCCAACGAATTCATTGCGCAGGCTAACATGAAGACTTTCTTGGCCGCTAACAAAATATCCGACCTTCTCAGGGACGCTGAAGAGGTACAGTGCAGCATATCAACTCCATTTGCCGGGTACTGCGCCTTCTCTTCAGCTGCCATCCACATCACTGGTATCTTTTCCGGCAACCCGGCGATGAAAGCCACAGCCGAGGTAAATTCCAGCGTAAACGTAAGATTTCTGCGTAACATGATGAAGTACTGGGGCATGTTTCATTGGATGGTAGAGAATATCCGCATTCAGTTTCGCAACGCCCTTGAAGCGTCCCGCACCGGTGGTCCTACCAATGGCAGCACGGCGTCATCGCCAATTCTGCAGTATTCCGATTGGTTCAACCGCTACCCCCATGGAGTTTCGGACACAGACTACATGGATCCCGCCATGTACAGGAAGAAAGAAAAGGGCGAAGACGGCGCCTTGGAGCAGAAGTCGGAGCTGCAGTCAATTGAAGATTTCTTCATGACTGTTGGACCCATGCAGAACGATAAAGAAGGGCCACGGGCCGGTGCGTCCAAGCGCAAAGCCCCCTTGAAGAGGACAGCCGTCGCGATAGCAAACAACGCAGACCAGCAAAAGTCTGGCGAACAGCATACGACGGCGGCAGCAAGTGAGCAGCATCTCCACGAACAGATGAGATTAGCTATGCAACAGCAGCAGTCTCGGCAGCCGCCCAGGTTCGCGGACACGCTCGGAGTCCAGACTACCAACCCATCTACCTTCAATCCCCTTACCGTCTCACAGCCACAAAATCCAGCATACCCTCTCATCTCACCAATCAGCCCTGCCAACGCCGCACAATTTCCTCAGAGCATGCCGTTTTCCAATTTTTCTCAACGGATATGCTATCCATGGATATTGAGCCGCCAGATACAATGATGCAGTCCAACTATGGTGACTTTTCAATGGAGTCTGGGAGTGTAAACGGCCTGCAGAATATGATGAATGGGTCTGCGAGCTGGGGAAACATGCCTGGGAACAACGCCGCGGCTAATGCGCAGATCCACGGCCAACAAAACATGAAGATGGACGGCATGAGCGGCGAACATGCTCACGCCCAGGGTCAGATGGACCAGAGCCACAGTGGTACTGGTATGACCCCATATCTGAATCAAGACGCATCTCCAGGATGGTTTATGAATTTAGGTGGAGGTCAAGATATGGGATTTGGAAGCGTTGATCCTTTTGCAGCCCTGTTCGGCAGCAATGGAGGAATGCTCATGGCTGATCACCAAGGTGGCATGTAGCTCACCATCGTCTGATGCTCAGTAAGCCACAGGTCTGTACAATAGACTTCTGTGGCCGGCCGTTTGATGATTATCTGAAGAATGCGAAGATGCCACCTAGAGGCAGCAGCAAACTGCGATAATCATGAGTGGGAGTTACATCAACGTTGTTTTGAATGATGCAGACCCCCTTTGACGTATAACATATTTTATCTAACATTTACAAGACAGCAGCAACTACTAACTGCCTACTGTCAGTATCTCTCTTATCATGACGTCAGATGATGAGGGAAACAAAAACAATAAGCATTTCAAGGGAAAATGGCGCTTCGGAAAGGGTGGATATTTGGATATCTTTCTTTGTTTTCAAACGGACATATATCTATATATTATACCCAGGGAACACAACTTGGTCGTTTGGTGGAAGGACCGGAGGACACCTGTTTATTGGGCTGTCTAGTAAATATGTTGCGTTGAATTTTTTTTTTTTTTTTTCATTCTTTGTTTTTTTATTTTCTTTCTAGTATATCCTGCGGAGAAAAAAGAGCGATTTATGGGATGAACGACAATTGAATGACATGTTTTCATTTTCTTTCTTCTTACTGATTTTGATTCCTCCTCCTTCTTGGGCTACGCGACTGCTTTTTCTGTCAATATTTTCTTCCTTCTGCTTTTCTTTTTGTGTGTTTTATCTGAGTGGGCACATACACGATTGACCACTCGGTATGTTTTTATTCTGTAGTCATGATTGTATTATTATTATTGTTCTTCTTAATAGTTTTTAATGAATTTACATATCAGTGACTTTTGATCCTTATGACAATGATGCTCACCACTCTCTTTTTGCTACATAAAGTTGTTTTTCTATAGCCTGTGAATCCGATGTGAAAATGGAGAATAATACAAGGATGGCATGAATTACTAGATCTTTTCATTCTTTCTTTGACAGATGTTTTATTTCCATTTCTCATAATGCATACATGTATGCATATATAGATCAATATTCGTATAAGATAACTGAGAACATATTGCTGCGGGTATAATTTCGTCATATTAATAAAGTCTTCATCATCCATATTTCTCCCGTAACAATACGAGTACTGACATAATTATTGTTCCAACACACGTCTCTATCCAAGCCAATACGCCTCCCGCTATGCCCTTGAAAAAAAGGGGAAAGGAAAAAAGACAAAACCCAGCGCCATCGAGTACCCTATTGCCCAACGTCTTCTATATACATTCATTATCCAAAAAGAACGCTTCAGTAGTAGTGGCCTATGCTATGCAAGTCTCACTTTTGTTCATCATTCATGTCATTTCATTCCCATCCCTTTTGTTTTGCCCTCGCCATGTTATGTACCCAAACCTCCATTCATTCTTTCTTGATGTAAACCGGAATTCCATAAAACACCACTGCCGCGCCATTAAGATACTTGAAACGACATGCACTTCTCGCCCCTGCTACCGCTTCGGCAAGGGAAGCATCGCCTGGAGGAGCGCCATCACATCCAGGGAGGCTCATCTCATCATCTTCTTCTTCGACACGGCTCTTAGCCCTGCCTTTGCCCTTACTCGTGGCGCCATCAAATGTGCCTCTGGCAAAGAGACCCCATTCCTCAAAAGCCCTGCCTGCGAAACGATCGATATCACGATCTGTCACGTCCCAGAGCGTACCCACCACGGCGGGACAGCCTGACATCATGTAGTTCCAGACTGGGCCGTAGCATTCAAACTCTCCTGCGTCAGTGAGGGCGGCAGAGCTGCAGCCCATGAGGAACGTTGCCGGCCTGCACTTTTCCAGCCGTCGAATCGTCTTTCCGCGAATATACTGGGCACCGCTACCGTGACCAAAGTATACCATAATCTCGGATGTCGAAAGGGCCTTTTCGAATTCAGATTCCTTTGGCGCTTTATTGATGATACCGTTCCACGATGAAAGAGTTGTAAAGGCTGACTGGAAGAATGTCTGTGTATTCTTCAGGTCAGACGAAGGGTTGAGGATATAAGTACCAGCTTTTGCTGAGACGAAATGGCCTTGTAATTCGTTTGTTGGATTTGTCCCAGCATCCTGAATGAGCTGTCGAAGGCATGCGAGTGAAGGCACTCGAGATACAGACAGACCGTCCATGCAAGGCGAAGACTCCCAGGGGAAAGCGTGAAGGAGTTTATCAAGTACGAGTATGGTATGCGTCCCTTCCTCCCTCTCCGAGGAGCCTGCAGCATTGTGATACGCACGCAGAGCGTCGTAGGTCTCCAGGACCATTGCGTCAAAGTCGATCTCATCGTATGCGTTCCGTTCGCCGTGGAACTGCAGAATATCCACGACAAAGTAAAGCAAATCATTAAGCGCCTCATCAAACTCGCAGTCAGGATCAATTGGATTGCCCAGTCCAATGAAGAGATCCAGAATCCGAGGATCCAAAGTAATAGCCTCCATCTTGGTCGCCGTCTTTTTCCCTCGGCTTTTGTTTCGAGACGGCAGGATTCTGTCAAGCATTTGGTGAAAGTCCTTCTTAAAGCGAGCCAACAGATCCATCCGCTTGCAATGCTGCGAAAAGATGCCCTTGAATCCTCCCAGCCACGTAGTTTCCATAGTTACCAGGAGCCGCTTCAATCGAGAGTCCAAAGCCTCTCGCTCTGCCCACCAAGCTCCACGCTCCCCTTTGGCAGTAAAGTCTCGTGCAGAGTGACTGCTTTCATTTGCCAGTTTAATAAATTCCAATAATTCTTCGCGGCCGTTTTTAAAGTTGAATACTTCGGAGTCAGCATCTCGAGAGTTGGCTCTTTCCAATGGAAGACGCAACACAAACGGTCCTTGGTTCGCTTGGAATTTGGTGATACAGAGGTCATGATGGTTATCACTCAGCGAAATGGAGACAACACTCCACTTCTCTGGGATCAAATCCACATAGTTCTCTTGGAAGTTGGCCATATCAGCCACTGCTTCTACTGTCGGCGGCTTGGCAGCTGGAACTGCAATGCGAATAGGGGCTGTGTCGTTATTGAGCCCGGCCATAGTTTGCTGCTCTCGCTGCCACGTCACATTCCGGGCCAAATCTACAGCAATCGTACCCAACCCTGTTTGTGGAAGAGATTTTGAAGCCAATGTTGCCGACAAGAAAATGACTGTGCTTTGAAGCAGCGTAGAGATGCGACGAACCATGCTACTATCGGCACTGGAAAGAGCAGAAGCATGAGCTTCCACGAGAAGCGCTTGTGCTCGCTCTAATGCGTCCGCAAATACAGGATAATCAATATTTTTCTGAAAGTCCTCCGCAGTAAGCTCATTTTTCATCGATAGTTGCATATGTGACAACTTATTGGATAGAGCCATGGAAGCAGAGACAGCAGGAAAAGAAATGGTCGAGTCTTGCATTACAGAGAAGACAGGATCGGATATCATCTGCTCCATGCTGCGTCCAATCAATGAAACGGCCGTCATTACTTGCTCTTGAGAGAGTACGCTGACAAGCTTGGGCAAATCTTTGACTTTCTCCAAAGCCTGTAGAGCCGACGCCCACTCTTTCTGGTAAATGAGTCCCAAAGTGCGAGACATAATGATAGCAGCGTGCAGGGATGCGTAGTATATGTCTTTGGGTAGCTGAGCGATGTCTCCTGCGGCAGGTGTCTTAGACCTGGGAGAGTCTCGCTTTGCGGGTTTAGGAGCGGCCGGTACTTTGGCCTTTGACCTTGTTGTTCTTTTTGCCCTCATGACTTTGGTAGATTCGGCGCTCTGAGGCTTTGCAAGGGGTTCCTGAACTGTAGTGGGTTCTTGAACATGAACAGGTTCGGCGTTGGTTTCATTCTGGGGCATGCTGAGGAGATGGGCAGTCTCCTCAGCTATTTTCAAAAACTCTGCAGCTTTCTCATCGTCTCCGATTTCCCAATAAAACTCCCCGAGTTGACGAGCAAGGCGTACACGAGCAGAACAGATATCACGCGGCAGCTGTTCTTCTGCATCTTTAAAGGTAGCAAGTGCTTTGGGCAGCTTTCCGGCCTTGAGATATACAGAGCCAGTCCATGCAGCCACTTGTGCTATGTAGAGCGAAGACTGAGTACTCTCCGCAATCTTCCAGGCACAGTCGGCATAATAGACAGTTTCCTGGTACATGCCAATATGGGCGTATACAGAAGAGATATGTAAGAGGCTTCGAAGAAGTGGACTGGCTAGAGTCCAGAATCGAGGGCCAGTTACTTTCCCTTTCGTCGAAGCCAAATCTGTGCTGCTGGTGTTGATTTCCGATATACTGGCATCTGGGCTCTTCGAATCGGCCCCCAATGCTGCTTCTAATTTGGTCCAATCGTGAGTAAGCATGCGAACACTCGTCTTTACAAAAGACAGTGCGTCTTGAATATCTCCAGTTTGAAGAGCAGCAATGGACTGTAGCAGTAAGGTGATGGAGATTATCTTGGATGCATGAGCTTTGCTTTGAGCCCAAGAGGAGTATGGGGCGTTGCAAATATCACCGGCTTTGGATAAAGAATCGAGACTATGAAGCATTAGCTCTTCTTTCATTCACAACAAGGTTTTACAGCGACTTGAAATACTTACGCAGCGTTCATGTTGCCAACGCCCGTACAATACTCGGCCTGGGAGAGGTAGAATTCGACAAGAACTTGGCGGGATAGGCCATCGTAACGGGTGAGGAGCTCTTGGGTCTGTTCTATTGTCTTTAGAGCTTGGGGGAAGAGTCCAATGTTGACGTATTGCGCTGCTAGCTGGCTGTGACCAAGGATCAAGCCATCACCTGTTGCCTCAGTAGATCCAACAAACACCGTCGATATGGCAATACTAAGTTCGGAAATTGCGAGTTGGAGGCGTGTCACTCCCCTTAGGCCCGCAAGTTGGTGTAGAGATCGCAAATGATCGAGAAGTCTTTGGGGATCGTCAATTACCATGCAAAGCTGGTCTTGCGTCTGACAAGTTCTGATGATGCTTTTCCAAGAGTCGATTGCCTGGAAGATCATCGTAGACATCGTTCCATCCGTGTGCGTCAATGCAAAGATGGATGTAAAATAGGCTTGCAAGTGCGGGATGAAATGAGATAACGAGGCATCTTCCGCCCTGGCCCCGGCCTCTAGATGTCCCCATGTTTCCTCAGCAAGCGAAACGATGTTCAGTAGCTGCTCTTCTTCTCCCACGCTTTGGTAGTAAAGGTTCAGCAGCACACGGAGGCGGCGAACCGGATATTTCTCCAACGAGTATGTGCGAAGCAACGCAGCCACTGCTGCGTCGTGCAGCCCCAGCGATTGCAGTGATGAGGATGAACTGATGAGACTGACATACGTCAAATGCTCGAGAACCGCAGAGCGCTCTGCCTCAGGAAGCGGAAAGGTCCATTCATTCCACGCCTTGTCGATTCTAGCCATGGAACGCAAAGTGCGTGACATGAGTGAGACTTTGTCGCTCATAGCCCACGCCAGAGTTGGAGACTGAGTGGAGAGAGCGGTGGCAACATCAGATAATGCGCCGTTCTCAGCCATATTGGAACAAATTGCTCGTAGTGTGCGTACAGCATCGTCAGTCCTGCCAGAGCTCTTGCACATGTCTGCAAATATTTCTAGTTTTGTCGATAGTTGTGCTTTTTCTTGCTCGGCCTCCGTACAGTTTTTAATAACATCGATCGATCGACTCAAAGCTTGAAGGAGATGCTTATTCTCGTCTTTGGATCGACCGGACTTCTTTCGAAGCTGAGAAAAGACAGAGAAGTAGAGGCTCGAGATCTTGACGGAGTAAGTGCCAAGATTATCAATCTTGGTGGTTGATAGATTAGAAACGCCCATTGATTCGAGAAGCGAAGCGCAGTGCTGAAGCACATCGTCGACGGCTTGCCATCCGCTCTCTTCGGATTGGATATCGCACTTGATGACCATCAGGGTAGCGTCAAGAGTCTGGCCTAGGGATTGTGCGACGAGCTGTCGCCGTTGATCAAACTGGAGAATATGCTTAGGCGGCACATCTTTGCCTGGAGGCAGCCCCATCCATCGGCGTACAAATCGCGGATACTTGAGTATGAAGGTCTTAAGATGATTTGAGAGTGAGCTCGGAACAGTGCTTTTCGACGCATTTGGCCCTATGCATGTCATCAAGAGGCCAACGACGGAGCGCCTTGCCAGCGAAAGGCTTTCGAGAAGTTCGTTCAGCTCCGCCATGGTTCCACTTAGGCTTCCATCCAACCCTTCGATGACCTCGACAAGGAGAGGCTCGACAGCTTGGTCCAAGTCGGCTTTCTTTAGCGCAACAGCAAGGAGGCGCGCAGAGATTGCACACTTGAGAACAGATGAGTCTTGCCCTATGGCCAGAGACCCTTTCAATTCTTGAAACCAGCGGTAGGCTTCGGCATATCGTCGTTCTGCTTGCGCTGCGGATCCTAAAATATGGTGTATTGATGCTAGAGGCGAATTGAATGATGATTCTGGGAGATACTTTTGGGAATGAATGAGCTGCATTATTGCGTCGAATGATTCAGATATTATTTGGTAAACAGGGCCTTTATCTAGCTTTTGCCGTCGGGTGTAAGCTCGTAGGCAGCGAGTGAAGGGCGAGAGCAGGTCATTATCAACATGTCCCTGATGATTAGCTAGTTTCCACCACTTCAGTTGTATCCGGAAAGCCAAAGATTGTAACTCAAAGGCGGCGCTAGGAGATGGGCTTAGTCGTGGTTCGATAGCTACTGCATCTTCTTGGCTAGAAATGCTCGGCGCAAGGGACAAGAGAATCTGTGATAAGGACGCCATTTGACGAGCTGCCTTTGCAACCTCTTTTGCTCCATCCTTGGCGAGAGCAGACAAGAGGTTGAATGGGGACGAGACATATGAATCGCTGAGGTGGGGAAGGATGGCTTCGATGTGAGACGGCTTTTTGGTCGCTGCGATTAACTTCAAAACCTGCATCTGATAGCCTGTGATGGTCGCAAGGCAAGGCTTCGTAATAGCGCTCTGGAAATTCAACAAATCGGCAATTACTGCAGTAGTACTGGTGCTTTCGGGTCCGCCCTTGGTGCTCGTCGAGAGTTTCCCGCTTATAATACTGTCCAGCCTTCGTTTGAGTACTCTCAGCTCCTTAAGAGCTTGATCATGCATCCCCAGGCCCAGCAACTTCCCTACCAGCGCGGACATGCCAGTCTCCAGCTGAAAGTCCGCCTCTTCGGGCTTTGTTAGGCCTTTGAGGGATCGAAGGGCAGAAAATGCAACACGTGCACACTCTACTATAGCAAGGCATCCCGTCGATTGGGCCTGCGTAGGTGGTTTCGTCAAAGTCGCCTCACTATTGGAAGACGCAACCGCACGGTTAAGTGCCCTGGGCTGTACGGGAGAAAGCGGTGCGGACAGAGATCGTCGAATTGACTGCTTCCCAGCTGCTTCTCGAAGGTCGCTATTTTGCTTCGAAGGTGTCGAAGGGGGTGGAGGCTTCGCTACTTCGGACAGGGTCTTGAGCGTAACGTTGATGACATGGGTCGCCAAAGCAGCTCTCTCGCGGGAGCTCAGAGTTTCGGTTTGTGAGCTGGAGGCATTGTCTCTTCCGGTGCCGGTTTTCGTTTTCGTAGCAGACGTCGTTTTCGTAGATCGAGCGGCAGCGGACTTTGTTCTCGAAGATAGTGACTCAGATTCAGGGAGCAGCAACTCTTTGAGTGCTACGACGGTTGCCGGCGTGCATGTTGACGTCGAGGAGACTGCCGCTTTGACGGCGTCGACTTTTGCTTGTAAAGAAGTCATCTAGGTTAACCTTTGGTGAGAGTTGTTAATCATATCATCTCAATATCCCAAGAACCAATCCAAAAAGAGGTTTTGCCATGTGGCGCAAGGTTGATTATACAAATGAATGCGTGAGCCCAATCGTTAATCGACAATCAATGTATTTGGTGAACATGGATGTTGGGTTTAGTGTTGTAGCGGCTAAATATCGGAGGTTGTCTAGGGCAACTGACCGGGATCAGTCGGGCGCTTTTCGGAGATCCGATTAAAATTCCCCGGATTCTAGTATACCTAGACCTTACGACAGCTAAAAAGATCAAAGTCCAGAGAAGATCCCCACGACTGCGAGAATGGCATCCTCTCAGCGGCTTCTCTCTTACGCCGGAAGGCAATGCGTAGCAGCCCTTGCTGCCGATGGCATTGCGCGTGCAAGACCAGGGCTGCGCTTCGCTAGTACAGCGCAAATGAAGCCAGTGAATATCGTTGAAGGATCTTTTTGGAAGTCTCTTATTCCCAAGCCGATGCGCAGGGCGAACCGCAAGCTGAAGACGAAGGAGAAGAAAGAATGGAACCCGGCCACCTATTTTATCGTCATGTTTCTCTTTATCGGATCAATGTCTATCCAAATGATTGCGCTGCGAAACCAGACAGATCGATACATGCGACAGTCGTCACTACGGATTGCCCAGCTTCGAGAAGTGGTCCAGCGCATACAGAACGGAGAGGATGTTGATGTAGAAAGGATTCTGGGTACCGGTGATCCCCAGAAAGAGACAGAATGGGAAGAGGGTGAGTAGTTCGCAATGGCTATGCATCCGTTTTATAGCTAACCATTGGTAATGAAGTGTTGCAAGCAATTGAGCGCGATGAGGCATCTCGAAACCCCGAGAAGCAGCCTAAGCAGAAGCAGACGGAAGCCCAGGTCAAGACAGCAAACCCACCCGAGAGCGCTTCTCAGCAGCCACCCTCAGAACAACCTGTCAAGACAAAGACGGCCAGTTTTGGAAATTTCTTTTGAGCCATGCGCCATGTCTCAGGATATTTTTTTTTTTTAATATCTACGGTAGTCTAAGAGAGCATATCTTTGAAGACATACGGGCTATCTTGTGAAGCATTGCCGATCGAGGCATTATGAGACAATGCGCTTGATGCTAGCTTCTGACGAAGCTGCGAGACCAAAGCTGGAAGTACTTCATCCGTCGATACTTCCACTCTTACAGCAAGCTCGCCGGCTTGGCTAGGGTCCAGGTCGGCAAAGAATTGATCCTCTCCTCTCACTCCGCCCATATTTACGATGGCGATGGGCATACCCCGATCCTTGGCTCTCTTGACCAACCTCCACGCGGAATAGGTAGCAAGCGAAGTCCCCAGGATAAGGAGCTTGCCGGCATTATCGACGGCATCTTCGGCGGCAGTTCGAACATGGCTGGGGATATTTTCACCAAACATGACGACATTGGGCTTTAGTATGCCAGCTGTGCTCGGCAGTGCCCACGCACCATCGCTGTCTACCCCGACTGTATGTCTGAACCCCTCTGCTTTGATTGGCGGGTCGGCCAAGCATCGAGGGCATGGAGGGTATCTAAATGTGGTGTAAGGCGCGTCGGGAAGGTCCACGTCGCCATCTGGGTTGACTTTTAAGCCCCTGTACTTCTTTTCCTCAGGGTCCTCGGTATCAAGAGCTCCCGATGCCGTTGCTTCTTGGAGCAGAGCTGCCCAGCGAGGGTTAAGCCGGGCAAGTTGATGCTGGAATTCCTCACGGGGGTATTCGGTATGGCAGGCAGTGCACTTGGTTGACCTTAGATAGCCATGGAGCTCGAGCGAGGGCACTCGGGGATGGGCTCTAGGATGGAACGAATCAACATTCTGAGTAATGACGGCACTGATCAGCCCAATCTCCCCCAAGTCTCTGATAGCATAGTGTCCCGTATTTGGATTTGCCTTGAGAAGACTAGGCCACCCAAGGAAGCTCCTCGCCCAATACCTCTTTCGAGCCTCGTGATTCTGTGTAAACTCATTGTAGTAGATGGGCCGATAGGTCTTGTTCACTCGATATGTGCCATTGATTCCTCGATAGTCAGGCAGCCCCGATGACACTGAGAGCCCGGCACCGGTGAGCACGACGGCAGAGTGAGGCAGCCGATTGGGCGGAGGAGCAGTGAAGAAGTTGTGGAGGGCAGTGAGAGCGCCGGTGAGCGAATGAGCCGAGGCTGGGATGATTGTTGGCGACGGGAGGATGTCAGTGTAGGGGATTCGCATCAAGGGTTTGTGCATTGGAGCGCTGGCATAAGGGTTGATGGCTGCCCAGCACCCTTCTATCGGTATCTGCTTTGGCGAATTCCGTACGGCGGGTTATAATATGATGTGCGTATGTTTGTTTAGTTATTGGGGAATAAAGCAGTTGTGCTTGGTTCTGGCACGCTCGGGATATCTGAAGCTGCGAATGGATGATGAGAAGATCACGACGGCGCAGTTCTTGGGCAGCGCCGTCGTTGGCTAGCTGCGGCCTAGTCGCAACCAGCTAATCCAGCCAACTAATCAACCGAACCTCATTGTTGATGCTGGATGATTATCTAATAATACACAACGTCCCATTCCGATCGTGCCCCAATCGATCTCCGATCAAGGCGCCGGGCTGGCTGACAAAGAAGACGCACCATTACATCAACGCGCCTTGAGCGCAGCAATTCAGCGCACGTCAGAGACCTGTCCGGGCGGGCGATGCCCCGTAGCCACAGCGCTAAGCTCGCCAGAACAGCCCGCTGGCAGCGCTGCCGACGGACATGCCTGCCTGGGCAGTGAGTGGCCTGACGCGGCGAACTCGGTCTCCGGACCACGGACCCGGCCGTCCTCTCTCCGACAACTTCTCTTCGGCCTGCAGCAGGAAGAGGCAGAAAAGGTCAGCGCTGGACGAAATAACAATCTCTTGCTGCTCCCATCCCATCCCATGTCTGCGTGCGGCCAGCCCTGAATCTCGTCGTCCCCCTCGCCTGAAACGGGTGAAACAAAAGGCGCTGCGTCTGCATGTCTGCTCAGGCCAGGCGCTCCACGGGCCTGGCCGTGCGGTGCGGTTCTGGGGCGGCTGCTGCTGGCCAGCGCCGCGCCCTGGCCGTGCCAGTGTCATTTAGCCTCCAGCACCAGCTGAGGACACCTCAACGTCAACGCCAACCTTGCACCGCCAGAGCCCTCCAGACGCTGTCGTCGCCGTCCACCATCGTGCCGCCCTTTTCGCTGTCGGCGTCGTCCAATTGCTACGTTGCGCTGGCCGACACCCTCTCGGCGCGCAGCTCCGTGCTCCTCCTCCGCCCCGTCTTCCGCGGCCGCATCCGCTCGCTGCCCTTCATCATGGGCGTCGCCCGCCAGGCACGCGATCGCAGCGACCATCACGACCACGGCACCGACCATGGCCACGACCACAGCCACAGCCACGGCCTCTTTGGCCACCACCACCACCACGACAACTCCTACCTCACCTCGGCCGACAAGAACGACCCCGGCGTGCGCATAACGCGGATTGGCCTGCTCAGTAACTTGGCCATGGCCATTGCCAAGTTCATCGGCGGCTGGGCGTTCAACTCAAAGGCCATGATTGCCGACGGCTGGCACAGCATCGCCGACCTCGCCTCCGACATCCTCACGCTCGCGACCGTCTCGTGGAGCATCAAGCCGCCGACCGACCGCTTCCCCCTGGGCTTTGGCAAGGTTGAGAGCCTGGGCGCGCTGGGCGTGTCTGGAATGCTCCTCGTCGGCGGCTGCTACATGGGCTTCGAGAGCGCAATGACATTGTACGGCCATTGGGACCCGGAGACGGCGCATCACATGCTGGAGCACGCCCACCATGGACACAGTCACTCGCACAGTCACGCAGATCTCGGCATTCCCAGCATACACGCAGCTTGGCTAGCGGCGGCCACGATTCTGGTCAAGGAATGGTTATACCAAGCCAGTATGTCAAAAGTCTTGTCTCCCTATGGATAAGTTTCTAACGCATGTTTCTACAGCTATGAAGGTTGCGCGCGAGCGCAAGTCGTCGGTCCTCGCCTCCAATGCCGTCCACCATCGCATCGACAGCTTGACGGGTATCGTGACGCTCTTTGCGATTATCGGTGCCAACGTAATCGAAAACGCCGCCTGGCTAGATCCCGTCGGCGGTCTCCTCATTTCCATCATGGTGCTCCAAGCCGGCCTGGGCAACTCCAAGGCAGCCTTCTTGGAGCTGATAGACCAGAGCCTGGATGACGAGGTGAAGTCATCCGTTCGAAAGCATGCGCAGAGGGCCATTGCCAACGTCAGCGAAGGACACCAAGCCGAATTGCGAGACATTACCGGAACCAAATCTGGCCCCAACTACCTGGTCGACCTGGAGATGGCTGTGCCTGGCGCATGGACCGTCAACGACGTCAAGGATCTGGAAGACGCCGTTCGCACCCAGGTAGGAGGCAAGGTGCGCGGGGTGAAGCGCATTCGCGTGCGGTTCGTGTCCCGCGATGGAGATGTGAACCGCAAGTTTGACGAGTTCATCCCGGGCAGCGCTCGGGCGAGTGTTTCCGAGGAATCAGACCAAGAGGAGGAGCACAACCACGATCATGGCCATGACCATGACCATGACCACAAACACAAACATTAGAGATACAGCAACCTCGAGTTCCATGGTATTTCTGCTCTTGTATATAAGCCTTGCATATGACAGTATTAGACCTCATTGTTTAATGATTATCGTTATCACTACTCTGCTGTATCTACTATACAGGCTCTGAGAGAGAGCTTCGGCCTGGGCTATGCTTGTCCCAGGTGACTCTCACGGCGTCGCTGCGTTCTTGAAGCATTTGGCGCTGGTCGTCAATCACAATTCAATGGCCGTGTGGCTCAATGGCAGAGCGTCTGACTACGATTAAGTACATCAGGAGGTTGCAGGTTCGACCCCTGTCTCGGTCAAATTCAATACCCCTTCTCAGGAAGAGAATTTGGTTTCTTTTTTTCTTCCATTTTGATTCTTCTCTTTTGCACCTTCTTCTTGTCATTGTGTTGTGGAATATCGTTTGCAGGTTGCCTCTTGTTTCTTCTTTTTTTTTCCTCGATAAACGAGTTTTGCATCTTCTGACTGGTCTTACCTTTTTTGTCGAGCCATCTTTCCATGTTGACAGAATTTGACTCTTCTCCTATCAAAGAAGCTAAAAAAAAAATCAAATTGAAAAACAAGTGGATGAAAACCTTTGTCTCAGCTCTTGATCCTTATGATGTTCTTTCTGTTCTATTTTCTATTTCCGTCATGGTAACATTTGCAGGTCCCAAGATATGCTAGCTCTATAACAAGTACAGTATACCCTGCCTTGTCTCATAAGCCGCCCCATAACTGGCGGTACTACCAAGTAGCAGCGACAAAGGAGTTATTTAGGCTAAATTGCTGATAACAAAGACCCTGTAAAACCCACTTCAATCGAATAACGTCTACCATAACCGCACCAAATACAGACTGCGGCGCTAATACCGAGTCCCAGTTATTGAAAAGCAGAACAAATGTAATAATGATTTCAAGACCCTGAATCAATCACAGCGGTGGCTAAATTCCACAAAAGCTGTTTTGCAAATCATTACCATTTTAGCCTAATCGTTTAGTTTTTTTTTGCTCCGAGTAGTCGGAGGGACGCTTAGGCGCTTCTCCACCTCTCCTCCTAACAGCGATCATGGGATTGTTGATAGTTATATGCTTATATGTAGAGGCAGCTTGTAGTGGTGTGGCAATTACGTCGTGGATGCGACATATTCAGCTTTCGTCGTCTTTCGTAAACGCTACATTTTTTACTTGAAACATTTTTCAAGTTCAATTATTTGGTTGTTGTTGTGATAACATAGATACATCTTAATTTCTGAGTTATCCTTCCATACTGCCATTGATAGCATCCCCTCACCAAGCATCATCCGGTTACACTTTACAAAGGAACACGCTCACTCTTCACAAATTGGAACTTCAGGGATCAAATCTGCGACTATGAGCACAGGCAACGGCCCTCTCTATCTGGGCTTTGACCTTTCAACCCAACAACTCAAGGGTAAGCGGAATTGAGCAAATATATGACGCCTCTCTTCTCTCGTATATCCAAGACAACCCCAGCTAACACGACCAACTACCAAAAAAGCCATCGTCGTCAACACCGACCTCAAAACAGTTGCCGAGGCAAAAGTAGACTTTGACCAAGACTTTGGCGCCAAATACGGCATCCAAAAGGGCGTCCACGTCAAGGACCAGACCGGCGAGGTCTACGCCCCCGTCGCACTATGGCTGGAATCCCTCGATCTCGTGCTGGAGCGCCTGTCCAAGGCCATGGCGCCGTTGCCCATGAGCAGAGTCAAGGGCATCAGCGGCTCTGGCCAACAGCACGGCAGTGTTTTCTGGAACTCCCAGGCGGAAGAGCTGCTGCGGGGCTTGGACCCTGCCAAGTCGCTGGTTGAGCAGCTGGAGAAGTCGCTGGCGCATGAGTTTGCGCCCAACTGGCAGGACCATAGCACGCAGAAGGAGTTGGAGGCGTTTGATGCCGAGTTGGGGGATCGTGAAAAGTTGGCAGAGGTTACGGGAAGTGGTGCTCATCATGTAAGTTGGAGCGGGAGAAGACGACACCCTTTTCATTCTATTGGGGTGCTAACACAACCTCCTTGAACAGAGATTCACAGGACTTCAAATTATGAGAATCAAAAGAGTCCTACCACAAGTCTACGCAAATTCAACGAGGATATCACTGGTGTCTTCATGGCTCGCCTCCGTGCTCATGGGCGCCATCGCCCCTCTCGATGTGAGCGACGTCTGCGGCATGAATCTCTGGGACATTCCCAACCAGACATGGAGCGAGCGCCTGCTTGCCCTCTCAGCAGGCCCCGAAGGCGCAGCCGATCTGCGCAAGAAACTCGGCGAGCCGCGAATGGACGGCGGAGGATCCATGGGCGCCATCTCGTCGTACTTTGTCTCCAAGTACGGCTTCAGCCCGGAATGCCAGATTGTCTCCTTCACAGGCGATAACCCAGCCACGATCCTGGCTCTCCCCTTGCGCCCTCTCGACGCAATTGTTTCTCTGGGAACATCCACCACTTTCCTCATGAACACGCCTACGTATAAGCCCGACGGCTCATACCACTTCTTCAACCATCCTACAACGCCCGGCAACTACATGTTTATGCTTTGTTACAAAAACGGTGGGCTGGCTCGTGAAAAAGTTCGAGATACCCTGCCCAAACCGGAAGGCGGCGCAACAGGCTGGGAGAACTTCAACAAAGCCGTGCTGGATACGCCCCCCTTGGATATGAGCAGCGAGAGTGACCATGCCAAGCTCGGCCTGTATTTCTACCTCCGGGAAACCGTACCAAACATCCGCGCCGGGACCTGGCGTTTCACCTGTAACAACGACGGCAGCGACCTGAAGGAAACAACAGAAGGCTGGCCCAAGGAAACCGACGCCCGCGCCATTGTCGAATCCCAAGCGCTCTCTATGCGTCTTCGCTCCCAGAAACTCGTCTACAGCCCGCGAGACAGCCTCCCCGAACAGCCTCGACGTATCTACCTAGTCGGCGGCGGATCCTTGAACCCGGCCATCACACAAGTCCTCGGCGAGGTCCTTGGTGGAGCGGACGGCGTGTACAAGCTCGACGTTGGAGGCAACGCATGTGCCTTGGGCGGTGCGTACAAGGCGCTCTGGGCGCTGGAGAGGAAGGACGGCGAGACGTTTGACGAGCTGATTGGGAAGCGTTGGACGGAGGAGGGATCGATTGAAAAGGTGGATATTGGGTATAGAGAGGGAACGTATCAGAAGTATGGCAAGGTTTTGGGTGCTTTTGAAGAGATGGAGGGTAGATTGCTTGCGGAGGAGGAGCATTGAGGAAAAAAAGGGAGGGAGATGAGCTTTCAAGAAAGTTGCCAATAGATGTGTATTCCATAAATCAAGAGGCCTTTAGTGTATTTTTGAAGGCGTCCAAGTCTCTATAATAAGAAGAAGAAGAAAATAGTTGAACTGACTAAAAAAAAATCTTGCCCTTCGCTAATCCTGGATATTTCAAACAAAAGCCCTACCCTCTATCGAACATACTTGCCCATAAACCGTCTATGGAAATCAGAACGCAGCATATCCTGAAAATGAACGTTAGTAAGTAGGAATGATGATAAAACGAAGAATCAAAACTCACGTTTACGAATTCCTTCTTCTTGTTCTTATCCTCCGTCCCTCTCGCCTGATTCTTAAACACTACATCGTCGTCCCACCGGCGCTTCATGGTGAAATCCTGCTTGTTGAGGAGTGGGTTGCCGAGCGCAATGTCTCGTTCTCGAGCTTCTTGTTCTTCTCTTGCTCGTTCTTCCTCCTATTTTTCAGGGACAGACATACATGGTTAGTAGCTGAATATTCCTCCGACTGTTTGGACTGATGAGACAATACCTCTTTCTTCTTCTTTTCTTCACGTTCTCTCCGTACTCTCTCCAATTCTCTTTGTAGCTCCGCATCTTCATCGTCATCGCTGTCATCCTCTTCGTCACTGTCTTCCTCTTCTTCACTGGAGTCGTCTGCATCGATATCCCTGCTTTCCTCTAATACCCTCCTTCTCTTCGCCTCTAAATCTTCCTCCCCATCCTCGTCGCCATTCGTAGATTGCCCTTGCAGCGGCCTCTTCTCTCCTCGCACTGATGCCACCTCCGCATCCTCATCTGCGTCATCCTCAGGGGCCAGGACGCCGCCGTTCTTCTTCTTGAAGTGGGCTGCCTCGGCGGCAAGAAGCTCGGCAGCGAGATCGCGCGTAGGCTCGTCGTCGGCATCGCCGCCCTGTCCGGCTTTTCGGTATTTGAGCTGGGTGTGAGCTGGGAGGAGTCGCTGGTGGTAGGCAGGGCCGCGCAGGGCCTCTTTGCCTCGAGCCTGATGTCTCTACGTTAGCATTGCTGTTTGCGATTTCGTATCTGGGGAGATGGGATTCTTACGGGATCAAAAGTAGGTCTGTGGGCGGTAGTCATTTTTGTAGCTTATTTAAAACAATCAAAGACGCTTGAACAATCGTAATGGGCTGGATAATTGGGAAAAGTCGCAAGCGCGTTGCCGTTCAATTACGTCGCGGTAGCAGCTTAGATGCAAGCCGACTTTATGCACACCGCCCGGCAGAATTTTTCAGCGGCGTTCTAGGATCTCACTGAGATCTCATGTCACCAACTCTAAAAAAGGAAGAAAGAAACTAACTATTTTCTCAAACTAAATATTATTAAACACCAAATTTCACCATGCCTCGAGAAGCAGAGCCTTCATTAAGCGAACGGACATTTACCCTTCAGGCCATTAGCGAGGGATTGCGACTGGACAGCCGAAAACTCGACCAGTTTAGACCTCTGGAACTCAGCTTTGGCGATGAGTACGGCGTGGCAGATGTAAAGCTAGGAAAAACGAGGTAGGCTCAATGCGTCTCTAATTTCTTGATATTGATTAGGGAGAAACACCAAAACAGAACCGAATTGCTAACTTTGCTCTCGTTCAGGGTATTGGCCAAGGTATCAGCAGAAGTCACAGTCCCCTTCTCTGATCGGCCCTTTGATGGCATCTTTCAAATCACGTCAGAGCTCGGCCCCATGGTCGCCCCTTCATTCGAGGTGAACCGACCAACCGAGACCGAAGTGTTACTCGCCAGACTCCTCGAAAAGACGGTCCGGAGATCAGGAGCCCTGGACACGGAATCTCTCTGTCTCATCGCCGGCCAGAAATGCTGGTCCGTCAGAGTCGACTTGCACATTCTATCCGCCGACGGCAACCTCATCGACAGCTCATGTCTGGCCGTCGTAGCCGCCCTGAGGCACTTTCGAAGACCGGACACCAGCATAGAGGGTGAGACACTCACCATCTACACAGCAGCGGAGCGCGAGCCCGTGCCGTTGAGCTGGCTGCACTCTCCGTTCTGTACGACGTTTGATTTCTTTGGTGAGGACGGCGAGATTGTTTTAGTGGACACAACATGGCTCGAAGAACAGCTGCGGGTGGGCAGCGTGACGTTTAGTCTGAACAAGCATGGTGAAATTTGCCAGATTTCCAAGTTGGGAGGCAAGCCCGTGGAAGCTACGTTGATTATCCAGTGCGCCCAGACGGCGCTGGCAAAGTCAAAGGAGTTTACGGATCTGGTTGATGCGAGACTGGCAGAGGATGCGAAGAGGCGGGACAAGGGCGGCTTGATGGCTGAACTATCTGCAGAGAACGAGAGATGACGATGATGCTCAGAGAAGAAAAATAAGCAAAAGGCAATACTAATATGATCTACATGTTAAAATCTTAATCAAGAATAGAAACAAAGAAGAAAGGCAAACAAAATGCATGATACCCCTAACAGAAGTTTTCCGCTGATGAATGTGCTCAGCTTTCGCCATGATATGATGATGACCAGATATAAAAGAGCAGAACGTGACCCAGCTTCTATCCAACCAAAAAACGCCTCGCAACACCTCACACATGATATAACTTTCGTTCTCCGTCCGCAAGGGCCGAATCCGTTGGCTCCCCCCTCTCTTCTATGCCGTGCGTATCGCAAAGTAACACCCGCTCGCTACCTCATAACAGGTGGCCTCGACTCCTTATTCCACTGGACCCTCGACCGCACCCAATCAATCGCTTCTCTCACGCCGTCACCCGTCAGCGCACTCATGGCAAGCACCCGTGAGTCGCGAATGGCGCTGCCCTTCTCGCCCTCCATGACCCGCTTCACCAGCCCCTCCTTGATCCGGATCGTCTCGACGCAGTCCTCCCTGTCTTGCTTGTTCGCCAATATCAATAGCGGCACGCCTTCCGTCTCCGAGTGCTGTAGCACGTCTTCCAGCACCAGCCTGCACTCGTCCAGCCGGCCGATGTTCTCGTGCGCCAGGTCGCCGTCGCCAATGTCCGTGCTGTCGATGATGAAGACGATGGCGTGGCAGCTGGCGTAGTAGCTCTGCCATAGCTTGCGCAGGGAGTGCTGGCCGCCAACGTCCCAGAGCTTGAGATACATGTCTGGCAGCGTTATGGTCGAGACGTTCTGGCCGACGGTGGGGACCGTCTTGAGCTTCGGCTCAGGCGCATTGGGGAGGAACATGGATTTGACCTGCTCGTGGAAGGTCGTCTTGCCGGCATTGTCGAGGCCGAGGAGGATGACGGAGTATTCTACACAAGAGATGCTGCGTTAGAGGGAAGATGGATACAGCGTGAGACATTGCCAAAGTGAGGCGCGCTAAGCAAGCGACGATCAGCTAACCTTCTTTACTTGTCGCCAACATATAGAGGCCCTTGGCAAGGTGGTACATCGTTAGGGGGTTAAAGCTTCGCGAAGCTCTACTCTAAATCATGTAGAAGAGGCTGAAGATGGATTCGAGATCGGATCGCGCAAGTCGATCAGTGACAAGCTGGCTCCTTTGCTCAGCGCCCAGCGGACAGGCTATAGGGGTAGAGAATTGCTGGTCGACAAACAGCAACGGGCCATAGGCAGCAGAGAAGAAAGCGACGGCTCGAGGGGCGCCACGAATCTGCCTTGGATCTTGCTGGTGGGAGGCTGATGCGATGGATGGCCCGTCACCAGATGCTGGGCCGACAAAAGCCCGTGTTCCTTTTTTGAGCGGCCCCGAGAGCGTCTCCCCACCCCCGCCAGGCGCCGAAGAGCCCCGCCGGCCTGACTGCTTGACATTTGGGGCAAGCATGAACTGCTGCATGCGGACTGTGGTATTGACAGCTCATGGCACCTGTCAGTTTTTGCTTTATTGCAAATAGTTCAACTTCGTTCTGTAGTTGGAATGGTGGATGCAGCAAGGCTGTAAGTGCCAAAAGAAAAGACATGAGTTGTAAACTGTCAGGCAGGCCAACACCAGTGCTCATTGACCTTGGTACTTGGTATGTGTCTCGTTTATATATGTGAGCCATCATAATTTGAATATATGTGCTTATCCGCTACTCAGTATCATTCAGTCATCAATTTGCTCAAGAGATGCCATTTGTTATGTGGCTATTGGCTTGTATGCGCCCACTTATACTGTTGGAGCAGTCTTCCGCATTTCCGTCTTGGCTGGTGGTAGTGCCAACTTGTTACACGTCAATACCCTTCAATAGTATCTATAAATGAGGCGCATAGATTTTCTGCAGAAGGCGTGGCTACGTGGCTGCAATCTTCTGCCATTCCTTTGGTTTGGACTGCAAATTACGGCCTATTCTCTCTTTAATACACCATAAATCCAGCTGCCGGCAATCATTCGATCAATGCTACTAGGTAGTACAACAGCATCTGGAACCTGCCCAGCACATGCGACGGACTCGTCACCACCACTAAATCTCCGCGCTAGGGGCATTTGCAGCTAGTGAACCCACCAACAGCCAGCGCCAATTACAGGGCTTAGAGGGCCCGGCCAGATCTTGGCCATCGCTGCGTCTGATATCCAGGCTGCCTGCATGGCACGGTACCAGGGTACATCTGCAACAAGAATTATTCTGGCCGCCTTGGCACAATCGCAACTCTCTCCATCTTCACCCACCATCGCCAGCCATCCTCGTCTGCCGTGTCTCGCGACCAACGGGCCGTATCGAACCGCCGGACTGCCGCGACTCTGGCCTGCGAATCCATGCCCGCATCGTCTCGCCTGGGCTCGCGCATACTCCACCACTTAACGACTTCGCTCCCACCTTGATCGTGTCCAGATCTGCCGTCCAGATCGCTCACCATGGCCACCATGGCCGCCACCCAGCTGGCCGGCTTGGGCTTCAAGCTCTTGCGTGAGTCTGATTGCATTGCTGCGCGACAAGCCTTGGGCGCCAAATAGACTGACTTGCGACGATTAGGGCGAGAGGCTGAAGAGGATGATCCCGAAGGTAACGTCGCCCCACGATGCCGAACAAGAGCAAGACGAGGAAGAGGCAGACACGAATAGACAATATGAACAAGAGCGGCAGGAAATGAACATGATAAAAGTATACAAAATAGCTGACAATGACATGTAGAGGGAGATTCCGCGCAGAAAGAGCTCTTCGCAGCATGGGCTCTCTTCATATCCATCATGTTGCTCATCATCGCCTTCTTCACAAGCTACATGCTCCAGCAGAAGAAGGTGACGGCGATCCATGAGACAGTCATATCCATCTTTGCAGGTTCGAGCGCACCAAATGCAACCCAAGTATGGGCTCCTTTGCTAATATTGCTCGCTCCGCAGGAATGGTGGTCGGCCTTGTTCTGCTCATCACTTCCGGCGACTCCATCCGAAACCTCATCAGCTTCGACTACCAGATCTTCTTCAACCTCCTCCTACCGCCCATCATCTTGTCCTCCGGCTACGAGCTGCACCAAGCCAACTTCTTCCGAAATATCGGCACCATTTTGACATTCGCATTTGCTGGAACATTTCTGTCCGCCGTCGTCATTGGGCTGATCTTGTGGATCTTCAACTTGGTTCCTGGGTCCTTGAAATTGACTCTTGTTGATGCCATTTCGGTCGGCGCAACCCTCTCCGCCACCGACCCCGTCACCATTCTGGCCATTTTCAACACGTACAAGGTCGATCCTAAGCTGTACACCATCATCTTTGGCGAATCGATTCTCAATGACGCCATCGCCATTGTCATTTTCGAAACCGCGCAAAAGTACAACAAGGGCGAGGCCAACTATGGCATCATCAGCTTCTTCGAGGGTACCGGCATCTTCTTGCTCGTTTTCTTCAGCAGTATGCTTATCGGTGTCATCGTGGGTGTCGGTACGGCTCTGCTGCTCAAGTTTACCTACGTGCGGAGGTTCCCCAAGATTGAAAGCTGTTTGATCATTTTGATCGCCTACGCTACTTACTTCTTTTCACACGGTCTACACATGTCTGGTAAGATCTCCCCCGTTGCTTGACGTACCATGCATAAAACATACAGGTCTAATTCTATATCTAGGTATTGTGTCACTGCTTTTCTGCGGTATCACTCTGAAGCACTACGCCTACTTCAACATGTCGAGGCGCACGCAACTTACCACCAAGTACATCTTCCAAATCATGTCCCAGCTATCTGAAAATTTCATTTTCATTTACCTTGGTCTGGCCCTTTTCACAGATAATGCCCTGCAGTTTGAACCTCCTCTCATTATTGTTACCATCTGCGCTGTCTGCGCTGCTCGCTGGGTTGCAGTCTTTCCTCTGTCAAAGGCGATCAACTGGTTTATTCGCTATCGCGCGCGAAGGCGAGGCCTGGAAGTTGGCGATGAGCTCCCCTACAACTACCAGGCCATGCTATTCTGGGCTGGTCTGCGTGGTGCCGTCGGTGTGGCTCTGGCTGCCCTTCTCACTGGTGAAAACTCATACGCCCTTCGGGCCACCGTCTTGGTCGTCGTGGTCCTGACTGTCATCATCTTTGGCGGAACCACGGCTCGCATGCTGGAGATTCTCGGTATCCGTACGGGCGTGGTTGAAGAGATTGATAGTGACGACGAGTTTGACATTGAATCATTCGGCACCGGTCTTCAGATCAAACGCTCCGGCTCTGCCATTGGATACAACCCTCGCCGCAACGGCAACGTCGCCTTGAACAACCTGAGCGCGCCTGCAGACAGTTCCGCAGCCTATGTATCTGGCCACTCTTCGCCTCACACGGGCGTCAAGCCGAACAACCTAAGCCGCAAGAACTCTCTCCGCAACCCTACCGACAGCGAGCGAGCCGATCTCCTACGAGCCAACGCCGAAGATTCTGACATTGGTAGCGACATTGACATATCAGACTTGCCGCCCCCTGCCGCTCGTCGCTCTCCTCGCCCGCCCGTCAGCCCCAACCCGCCAGGATCCGAGGGCAGCGCCTTCATGAGTCCCGCCGAGCCAGCGTCAAACTCTACTCCCATAACGGCCTCTGGGGCATTCCGGCAATTGCTCTCGACTGAAGACCCGGCTAGCTTGTTTAGACAGCTGGACGAGGACTTCATCAAGCCTCACTTATTACTTCACGGAGATGGCGGCAGAGGCGGTGGTAATGGATCGGGGGCTGTATAAAGTAGCAAAGAAATGGGATTGTAATAGACTGGGGTCTTTTAACTCTTTGCTTTCATCCTCTGATTTGTTTTGTCTTGTTTTCTTTTTGTAGGTTACTTTTTGGGAAGTATATGATGTATACATATCATACCCTCGGCGTTATCTTGAACCAAAGTAATAGAATGGAACATTTTCCTTCCTTTTTATCATGCATATCTACATCTCACATAGTAATCAAGACAAAAGGGAAAGCAGAGTGTAACAGGATAATCAAGAGTCCACTACTGGTGATTCCCATATTTTCAATTCTTTGCACAACATGACCTACTACTTACTACCCTTTTCCTCTAGTGTGTTTTCTTCCTCCTTTTGGGAAGTTTCGGTAGTAAATTTTTTTTGGGTCTGTTTTGTTGTGCATATCGTCTCTTCAAAAGACGACATAAAAGCTATGTATGTACATTTCTCTAACAATGATGCCTTTGCCTTCCATTTGCCCTACCCCCATTGCCGCCGCCATTGCTTTCCAGCGCTCTCTCCGGTTTTTTGCATTGTTTTTTTTGTTTCATTCCTCCTTCCAGTTTCATAAAACTGCTGAGAAAAAATATTAATTCCCAGTGAACGTGATCCCGCCCCTGCCCCAATTCTAGCATAAGAGAGAAGAAGAGAAGAGACTGCATAATTCCAAGCCCGTTAAAAACCTCATTATAACAGATAGGAAGTGGAGAGAGAAGAAAGTAAGAGAGAAGAAGAAAAAAGGCATCTAAACGTTAAAAAGTAAAACCAGCCCTCCCTTCCACGAAGACCCTGTCTCCTTTTGTTGCTCTTTGACGAAGATAAAAAAAAAAAGGCGTAGACGAAGGGACGTTAAAAAGGGGGGGAAACCCCCCAAAGGTAGTAACACTCAAGACATCGCATTAAAAAGTTACAAGGAGTACAAGTAAAAGACAATTCCAGAAAAAAACGCTAATCATTATTTGCTTGAAGAAGGTGTTGCGCTTCCGCTAGCCTGACGCTGAACGGGTACCGGACTGACCGATGGGGGATTCGTCGGTAACTGAGGTGAGGCTTGAGATTGCGGCTGTGACTGGGCTTGCTGTTGCTGTACCTGGGCTGGAGTCTGCACTTGAGGTTGGGCCTGAGCTTGAGTCGGAGCCTGAAGTTGAGGTTGAGGTTGAGGTGGAGGTGGAGGTTGAGATTGTTGCGGCTGCTGGGGCTGTGGAGTTGACCGCTGCTGTTGCTGCTGCACCAGGGCGGGAGACTGTTGCTGTTGCTGTGGCTGGGCTTGCTGCTGAGCCGCCTGTTGCGCTTGCACCTGAGGAACCTGCTGAGGCCGCTGCTGTTGATGTTGTTGTGGCTGCTGATGCTGAGGCTGCTGCGGCTGCGGCGTATGCTGTTGTTGGCGTTGTGCCTGCTGCTGTGCCTGTGCCTGAGCCTGAGCCTGTGCTTGGGCTTGGGCTTGGGCCTGCGCTTGAGCCTGAGCCTGCTGCTGCTGTTGTTGACGAAGCAGCGCGGCATATTGATGAGGGCTGGTGGTAGCAGCAATACTAGTTGCAATGCCGGGCTGTCCCGCAGCAGCGTTCATGGCACTCTGCCGTTGCGCCATCATAGCGCGTGTCAACTGATCAGTAGCGAGATGGCGAAGTTGCTCAGGTGACAGGTTAGGATTCTTGCTCCTAAAGTTGGCTTCTAGAGCGTTGATCTGCGCGGCTATGGTGGGAGGAATTTGCGTTGGCAGTCGAGGGCCCGGGGAACCACTGTTGGTAAGTGTAGGCATATGCAGACCACTCGTTGCTGAGGTATGGCCGTTAGCAGCGTTGAAAGACGCCATCATAGCCTGAGCAGTGTTCATAAAGGTTTGCTGTTGAGCAATAGCAGGGACTCCGTTTCGCATAGCGGGCGAGGAATTCTGCTGCGCTTGCGGAACAGGGGTTCCTCCTCCTACAACGCCGGCTTGGGCTTGCTGCTGCGCATGTTGAATCTGGGCCGCGGCTCGTTGCTGCTCGGAGATGCGTTGCGCGCGCATCATCATGTTGGCGTCAGGTTGCTGGCCAGGCATTTGCATCCTGTGCTGGGCCTGCATTGCTTGTAGAGCTTGCAACTGAGCCTGCGGGATGCCGTTCATCTGCGCCGGTGGAGCGAGATTGCTGCTCATCTGCGCCTGAACGCCTACACCGTCCATGCCGTTAGCAGGTGCCTGCATGGGCAAACGTGCGCGACTCTGTGCCGCAGCCGCAGCAGCAGCCGCAGCGACAGCAAGCGGATTAGGAGCTCCGGGTCGGTTGACCACGCCATTGACGCTGTTGGCAGCAGCGGCCGCAAGATGAGCGGGATTTTGAGCGCCTGGTACGGGCACTCCGGGTGCAGCCAGCTGGGCGGATTGGGCTTGGGCTCTGGCCTGGAGAGTAGCCTAGACATGTCGTGTTAATAAAACTGGCAAATACGGATATCGCAAGATGAAGAAATAGACTTACTCGTCGTTGAGCTTCCTGCCGCTGCGCAAACTGCGCCATCTTTTCAGCCAGAGCTTGGTCGCGTTCCCAGCGCATTATACTATAGTCCCGCGGAGTTTTTCCTGGGCGTTGAGACATAGTATCGTTGGCCTTCTTCGCAGCGTTTTGAGTTGCCGAATGCTGCTGCTTCTGAATTGTCGTCTCTCTTTTCTTGGCAAGCTTCCTCATGGCATCAATGAGAGTCAAGTGCTTTTGATTTCGGCGCCTTTCAACTCTCAGTGGAGTAGACTGCCTTCGTCGAATTGGTGTTACTTGCCCTCCCTCCTGGGAAGCTCGCTGTGCTGCCAATTGGTTTTGCTGAGCAATGATACGTTGAGCTGCATCGATCCTGGTGTTGTACGCTTTGAAGTATTGCGTCTTCTGCATATCAGCTGGAAGACCTTCAAGGTTTATCCATCTTTCGAAGCATTCCCACGGCGTCCTCCTCTCTGCACCCGATGCAAATATTGATCTGGTGGATAGCAGATTGGAAATTAGTGACCAATTATAAGAGTGTTCACGAACCAAGCTACGGAGCTCGTCATCTTCAACCACGGTCCACTGTGAAGAACTGCGAGTTTCGTAAAAGCTCTGTAGCGGCATGGGATGTTCGGAAGGTGGCCGGAACTGGTGGCCAGCGTGCAGCCGATCGCGGATGTGTTTCGACTCTGGGGTAAATAACGCAACCTCAGTGCTTCTAGGTGGAAGCCGGACATTGTGTGCGAGTGTATCCGCATCGAACGCGCTCTCCTTTTCGTCATCAGATTCTTCGTTATAATAACTGTACCGACTGCGCTTTCGTGGAGGGCCGTCAGAGAGCAGCTTCATTTCTCCCTCAACATACTTGCTTAGAGGCAGAGCGGGTCGTCGCCAATGAGCGTCAGGATCATATTCTGGTCCTGTAAGCTCGAACCGCGGGATCTTCAAAGGGGCCCCATACAAAGGTAGCTCTTCCAACAACTTGTCTGAGGCAGGTGATTGCCGTAGAGCAAATACTACGTCATCCTCTTGCAGGGCAAATATGGCGGAAGGTGCAACAGTTTCAGGGAAATCCTCACTAAGATTGTCCAGAATCTGGGGCGAATCTGCATCTTCCGTTATGAGATCCGGAGTCGGATGGTTTTCAGCCTCAGCATCAGGTGCATCGGCATCACCCATCGGCACATCATCCGTCTTCAACGGAGGGATAAACGCGGCGACCTGCATTGCTTTGCGCTCTTCAGGAGTCGATTCAACCCAATCCGCACAGGCGTAGGCAATATTTTTGGCCACGGCCATCTTCCATTTTCTTTCTTCTCGAAAATCCGTCCGCATCCATTTCATCTCCTGAAACAAAACATCCCAATGTGACGGCGGGCGAGTCGGCTCTGGGCACCGCTTTGGCTGTCGAAGAGACCACTTGTCATGTTGCTGTAGGTGATATACTCTACGGAGTACCTTACAGGCCTGGTGATCTTGTATAGCGAGATAAGCGTCAGGGGTGGCGATGGTTTTGTTTGCGTGGAAAAGGATCTTTTCAATAGGTTGCATCCAGTTTGTCGCGCCTGTAAAGTTCTGAATGAAAAGAGGGGTGTAGTAGTCATCGGATGGTTGAATTGTTTCTTTTTGGCCAGGGACCAGCGCCTTCTCTTCCACCTGCTTGGGCTGCTTGCCGAATAAAACGGTTGACACCTGAGCTTTTGACCTGTCTCTTTTGTTCATATTCTTCGGCCTAGGGGGCGGCGATTGAGGCGTCGAGGTAACCGGCGTCAACTGGTGGTTTTGCGGTGCTTTGGTCGTGCTTCGTTCTGTGATGGTGGCAGACCGCGGGCTCTCCCCCACAATTTCCGATACAGATTTCAGTCGCATTGCTCCAGATGATACCCTTGTGACTGCCCTTTCGGGAGCCGGAAGTGGCTCCCTGGCAGGCGTAGACTTGACCGCAGCGTTTATGGAAGCTGGAGGCGGGGCAGCAGGCGTCTGAGTTGGAAGCAATTCGGTGCTTTCAGACTTCGTGACCCGGGTGGCATCCACATCCATTTTTTCTGGGGTTTCTTCTTGGCTGTCCGGAACTTCAATGGCGGGCTTCGCGGCTGGCGCCGCCGATGGCTGAGCATGTTTATCTTGCAGCTCGATATCTTGCTTTGCGGCGGGGTCCGCCCCTTGATTAGAGTTTGTAGCGTTGGTCTTGACTTCGAGTCCGGAAGAAGCTTTTATTAGTTCCGGGCTTGCGGCGGCAGCACTTGAACGAATGGACTCCTGGAGAAGCTGATCTTCATCCAGTGTAGTAGCTTTTGGCTCTGGTTCATCGTGTTTTGCCCTGGTTGGCATAGCTCCCGTATCTGTTTCTGCAATATCTTCCAACTCATCGCCCCTCTCTTCTTTCTCTTCAGCGTCTTCCTCCAATCGATCATGCATGTACTGAGGAGCATCATGCTCAGGGCTGGTATCCGCCGACACATCATGGACCCCAGGAGTCGTGGCACTTGGTGCCGTTGATCCAGGAGATGAAAGCGCATCTGGAACCTTGGTCAAACTGTGCGGGACCTTGATAGACAGCTCCTGATTACGTCCCGTCTGGCTCGATTGAAGCTTATCGACTACTCTATTTTCCGTAACGTCTGCATCCCCTTCTGCTCTCGTCGGTACTGTATCGGATGATTCCTCTGAAGGCGATCCCTTGGTCCCCGGCGGGAAAGAAACTTGTGCTGGTTTCCGTTCGGGTGTAGCATCTTCACTCGCTGCTCCATTGGTCGTTCGATCGGGCTGTTTCGTTTCATCCTTTGCAGGCGGCAGAACGGTGGAAGGCGTGGAAATAGCCTTGGGCTGGACAGGAACGGCAGAGGCTCCAGCTGGATGTGGCACGATGCTGCTGGACGTTAAGGCGACAGGAGTTGGCGGAGGTTTCGTTAATTTCGCTGACGGTTTGGTGGTATCCTCGGGAGGCGTAGGCTGTGACTCGGTCGACGCAAAGCCATCGGACGGTAGAGTTTGCTGTTTTGAGACGAAAGCATCTTCTTTTGTAGATGCAGCAGCCGGCGTGGGGAGCGTTGGGGAGTGTAGGGCTGCTTCCTGTATTGATTTTGCGATTAATCGTTTCAATAAATCAACCGAAAGTAAGGGCCGTAGCGGAATAGCTTGTTCGTTCAGAGTTTTGCCCCTGCGGAAAGAGAGTTAGCTATGGCTGGCCTCGGGAGTGCCCAAGAGACGCGTGACACGGCCAACGATGTATTCGAAGCCAATGTTTTCGTTTGTTTACAAAAGAAAGAGAAGTGCAAAATGACCGCAAAAACCTGATAAATAAAGGGGCACGCACTGCAAGATTTCGCTGGTCTGAAGAAACTGCCATTCCGCAGCAGTAGTGGCCGGCGCGTCGGGATTCGCGAAGGCATCCTGCGGGAGGCTCTCGGCCTGCGTCGCGACAGCGAAGAGCTCGCGAAGTTTCCTCTTCCGAGACGCTACGATTGCACTGGTGGCGGTTAGCATGGCAAAAAGCACCTCGTTTTGATCGGAAAAATCCGCTCTTTCGAACGAGCGCACACTCACTTGAATTCGTTACGCTTGGATTGAAGCAGCCTCGATAGATCGGTGTGGCCGACCTCAGTCATAGCATCGGCGGGAGCGACATCCGTTTGCAGGCGAAACGGATGTCGGAGGATGGCCAGAGAGGTCGTCTGAGATGAGGTTCGCGATGCACGACGATGGAAAGGATCGTGGAGGTGGCCGTTTTGACGGAAGTTCTGGCCGATTGCTCGTGTCGCCGGTTTGTGGGAGGGCGTCAAATTCTGTCGGGCGCCAGTGTCTTGGGGGGAGTTTCGCAGGGGGGGAGCGCTGGAAGCCAGCAGAGGTGCTGTTGCTCGTTCGCCTAGCACTGTATGGAGTGCACTAGCCGTTAACAGCTGCTGGTGGGAGTTGGCTGGGCGAGGACCGCACGCGGCGCTAATGAGGGCAGTAAAGTCAGGGCGCCTAGGACGCCTAGTGCACAGTAAGCTCAGGGCTTTCTACTACTGTGCATCACCGCTTCGCAGAGTGCTTGTCAACGCTGCATCATGGATGAAACTCGCTGAGCAGACGATCTTCAGGCGGCTCAACTCGAGGAATAGGAGGGCGAGGAGATGTCCCGAGATCTCCTGCTAAGCTTAGATGCTGCCTAATGTGCACAATGGGCTCGCAACCCCTCCTTTGCGACCTCCATAATTTTTTTTTGGGCTCTGCCTAGAGTTCCGAATGGCTGCAATCTGTTCTCCTGCACGCATTGGGGGATCCATTTGCGATCATTTTTTCCTAGTGAGATTTTTTAGCAGTTGGGCGCCAACAACGGTGCATCAGCGGAGAAGATAAGACTTCTTGCAAGAGTCGTGCCACTTTCATGTATCGCTCGCCGAGTAAAACGTGGGTGAATACATCCGCATGCACTCCACATAATTTGATGCTACGGTCGCTGCATTCTGACCCAAGACAACATGGGGGTTTGGCCACATCACCTCTTTTTCCTTCCGCCTGCAGCCACAGGCAGCCACAACCCCCACAACGTATTGCGGCTTCCAACGATTCTAGCCGACCGCTCCGCCTGCGAAAAAAATTCACGTAACTTGTACAAAAAATACAGGCGTCTTGTAGCTAGCTGTACGCTAAGGCTCGTCTTGGACTAGCCCGCAGCGATACGTACTTCTTCCCGCCCAGTATCGAAATCCAGAAGCTAAAAGTTCCGTAGCCAAATTCAAGGATTTGCATCAGAGCATCAAGGTACATCGTCGCGCTGCAAGACTTGACGCGTTATGTCTGACCAGAATAAAGGTCGCATAGCCATTAAATTTGGCGGAGGCAGCAACTCCTCATCGGCAGCGAAGCCGTCCCGATCGAAGCCGCCGTCGAGTCTAGGGAAGCGACCGCACTCTCACGCCCTGGGGGGCGATTCCGACTCGGATTCCGAAGACGATCGCCGCCGAGGACGACATGAAGCAATCACAGGGTTTGGCGCAGATGGCGCAGAGACAAAGCGAAAGCGGCAAAAGGAGGAGAAGAAGGTGTACGTTATCGAGCGACAATCGAATCGAAGCTGGAAGGATGAAGTGAGGAGCCACAGACAGTCGAAGAATCTACTCCCAGCCGAAGCCAGAGCCCAACAGAATGCTGTCACCGCCGAGACCGAGCCGGCCAGTCAAGATACATCTCTTAAATGGGGATTGACAATCAAAGAGAAGAAGCCTGCATCGGAGGATCAAGCTCCCGCAGAGTCGAACGCACAGGCCAGCGACGACGAAATGCGAGAAGCAAGCAGCGGCGAAGGCGAAGGCGATGCTGCACCAGCGGAACGAACGGCCGATGACGAGGCTATGGATGCTCTCCTTGGAAAAACAACTGAAGACAAAAAGATCATTACCGCAGGGCAACCAACGGAAGACGATGCCTACCGCCGCGATGTCGAATCCTCCGGCGCAGTATCCAGCCTCCAAGATTACGAAGACATGCCTGTTGAAGAGTTTGGCGCCGCACTGCTCCGCGGCATGGGTTGGAACGGCGAGAATCGTGGTCCCAAAGTCAAACAAGTCAAGAGACGACAGAATCGCCTCGGCCTTGGTGCCAAGGAGCTCAAAGAAGAGGAGGAACTCGGCGGATGGAACCAGATCGGCAAGAAGAAGTCCAGGCCGCGACTAGATGATTACAGGAGGGAAGAGAGCAAACGCAAGGAGAGTCGACGACATGAGGACAGCTACAAACGAGAAAGGGAGCGCGAACGTGACCGCGAAAGGGGTCAGCATAGAGACAGAGACCGGGACCGAGATCGAGATTATAGGGATAGGGATAGGGATAGGGATAGACATCGGGACAGAGACCGAGATTACGACAGGCATAGGGACCGACATCGCGACTCTGACCGGGATCGACGACGATGAGGTAGACTGCTGCGTCAATAACTCGATACATCAGCTCACACGTCAGCTAGCTGGCTGAGATGGCACACGGGCGATACTCATCTTGATTTGAAGTTCCTTATACCATAAAACTTCGCTACAAAGGGCACATAACAGGACATATTTCACTTTTTTTTATATAGACGAGCTCCGCAAGCACAACACATAATTCTTGAATAAACCACCGCTCAAGCATTTGTTAGAGTACGAAATTTGATTGATTAGACAACACGCATCCCCGCTGAGATGTAAATAACTGTGCTTCATGTATGATTTGACAGAATTCAAGATTTCCCCTTTCGTTGTCCGCCATGGCAATATGTTCATCATTGATCGTCGTTTTTTTTTTTAACGTTTTCTATATTCCAGCCAAGTTTTCTTTTCCTTTACTGCAGCGAAACCCGACTTAGCGTATCCGTCAAGATACTAAGCTGCATCAGACTCTCACCATCAACTTCAATCTCCTTTGCGCCAACAGCCTTCTCTAGCGTCCTTGCGGCGTGCAACAGCGGTTCGACATAGCGATGCTCAATCGCCGCAGCCATACCCACCGGCGCAAGAGATTTGTAATCCTCGCCAAACAGGAACAGAGCAAAGTTGGCGACTTGTAAATGCAGAGGAGCATTTTGGGCCCAAAATTCTAGCAATGCAGAAGCGTCGGCCTGTTGGAGATGCGACAGGTCTGGAAACAAGGTATACTGAATGGTTTCGAAGCACTCTGGGCCGGAGAAGCGACCTTTTGAGCCAGCCTTTTTCGCGGCAATCAGCTCCTCTCGTAGCCATGCGACCGCGCACGCTTGAAGAGAGGAGAATTCGCAGTTTTCCAACAAGTCTTCTAGGATAGCCAATCGATCTTCCTCATCGGGATCAGCGTGTAAGACTGAGCCTGCTACAACGGTTGTTGCATTGCGCACTCGGATGTTTTGGTGGAAGATTGACACAAGTGTCAGAAGATGGTGGTAGGGCATAAATCCTGTAACAGCTCCAGCGTTATCGGGTTTCGAAAGTGCTTTCCGTCCATCTAGCCAAATTGCCATAACAATTAGGGCCTCAAACGTTCCCGGATTCGTGGCGATCTGGTTCCCTGATTCATCGCCTAGAAAACTCTGCAGCAAGGCTTGGTGATCAGGCAGCATGTGTTGCGGGTGTAGTTCTCCTGTTGGGAGGCCTCGATCCGCGTCGAAAACGTCGGCAGCAAACATCCAATACGCATTCAGGCACACTAAGCCACCTGTCGATAAATGGAGTTGCTCTGGGTGTGCAGGATCGAATTCGATAGACAGGGGCGCCCGGTAAATTGGGCCCTCGAGATACTCTTTCATCTTGAAAGGGGGCAATTTCGATAGGCCCAAATCGCCAGCAAGAGACTATAGAACAGTTAATATTCACCTTCACCTCGGACTAGGCTTGAAGAAACTCACCACTAGCTGTCCCAGCAAAGCATCCTTCGCTTGAAGCTCTACAACCTCTTTGAACGTCTGAATCATAGTCTTTCGACCGGGCACTATCCGCTCTGGGTAGGTATATTCCAGCATCCTTGAAGCCCATTCCACATTATTAGAGTTGACATAGGCTTCGAGGACGCATGTGATGAATGATTGCAGTAAGCTATTAATCAGGCCCGGTTCATTTGCGTTTAATGTATCTGTACGATCGGCTTCGGGGTCTGGCGCTTGTTTCGCTGGGTCGCTGTCTTGAAACGGCGTGTCCAATTTGACGCCCGACTTACGAGATGGCAAAAGAGGCCGTGTCTTGCGCGCGAGAGATTGGACCAGAGAAATAACCGCCGCGGTAGATGCTGCGCTTGTGGCATCGTAGCACCTCTGTACTGTTTCCAGCGTGGTGTGTAGGAACCGTGAGGGGGCTTTGACTTGCAGGCGCTTGAGAAGGATCCCCAACATTCCGCAAAGCGTCACAAAATGCCGAATAGCTTTCGTCTCACCCTTGGTAACTTGATTCGTAGCGTCAATAGCAGCAGCTTTCTTTTCCTCTTCTACCTCGTCTTCACCTGCTTCCTCTCCCGCAGCAGTTGTCTTCTCCATGACCTCAAGAACCTTGAGGATGACCTCTCGTGGGTTGCCCAGTCGCGCAATGCTCTCCAAACACTCTTCGCTGCCCGGAATGGGAATCAACATCTCGACCAGATCCCACCCAATGTCTCCGGCTAATGACACGTCCTCCAGGATCTCCTGTAGCGCAGGCAGAATCTCTGGAGACAGCGACATCTCGACAATGGTGAGATATGTGGCGACATCTGTGGCTGGCGGGCGAGACTCGTGAAGTCGCTGAACAATCTCTTCTGTAGTGGCCATGGTGGTGTTGCGACGACGTATCTTGACAAGTATTGGTTGCGCTACCGAGGTGGATACAATCGCGGAAGCGATCAGATCGAGATGAGCAGAATAAACGAGAGATGGTGCGTAGCCAAGAGGCTCTAGCAAGACTAAGCAATGCGGTATTTCGGGAAAAAAGAAAATCCAACCTGGCAGATTAAAGAAGGAGAAAGAAAAGAGGGAAGAGGGAGCAGATCACAAGGCCATGAGATCGTCCCAGGTACTTTGCCTTAGTAACAAAAAGTGGTGATGCGCCTGTTCCTGCCCCTCCCTGGCACGCGGAACCGGTGCCCCGCGCTAGCTGCTATTGGATGGGGGGGATGCGCTGGAGACGTCACTGGAACAGGGGCACAACTGGAACTGGGAACTCGAAAAGTGGGAATAGGAGTGAAAAAGAGTCATGTTTCTGAGAAGTTGCTCGGAAGCACGTCTGTCTTCATTGAAAGGACTATTGATGGTTACATGTATGCAGATAGTTATATGGACACGAGCTCTTGCCTGCAATAATTCAAGATATCAACAATATTGTAGGATGAGGCATATACATATATATAGACGATAACTACCTAGATATGAAAGTCAAATGTCATTTAAGATAATCGTCTTCTACACGCGATTCGCAGCCAAGCTACATGTAACAGACGTATTGACTTTTTTTCGTCTCCAAGCATTACCTAGGTAGCGCCGTTTCTGAATAGCATCTCAGTGATTTCCTCCGTCTCTTCAAATTGCCGGGCAAATCCTAGCAATGTTGGCTCTCTGTTGGCCATAACTTCCTCTCTTGACACTTCAGAGAACTCAGATCCCCTTGGTCGGATATTGGCAACTTCTCCAGTAGTAACCTTGGCTCCTTGACTGAGCAGTAACTTCACCAAGCCTAGATTTCTCCTCCTTATTGCCCACATGAGCGGTGTCTGGCCCTCCTTATCCATCGCCTCAATATTAGATCCTTTCTCAATCAACTGAAGAGCCACATCCACATGATCGTATCTCATTGCACATATCAATGGTGTCCTGCCCAGCTTATTCATCGCCTCAATATCAGCTCCTTTCTCAAGTAGCATATCGATCAGGTGCTTATAGCCACTTGTCGCTGCCTCCAATAGCGGTGTCATGTCATCACGCCAACCACAAGCCTCGGTATCTGACCCTGCTTTGATTAGCAGCTGAACCATATCTTTGAGATTCCCTTGCACTGCACAACATAGTACCGTCTCTCCCCAATAATTACGGGCATTTATTTTGGCACCCTTTTGAAGTAGGAATTCGACGAAATCTCCATGCTCTTGTTTAACCGCAGCCCGGAGTAACGCGTAACTAAAACGAGGAATTTCGTAAACATCGCTTATGCATTTTTCGATCAAAACGCCGAGAAGAGCCTTGTTTCCTTTGCTGTAGACATACAGCAGTGGCGATTGGCTGCATTCATCTTCCCAGTTCACATTTAAATAAGGATGACGCGTGTTCAATAACATAGCAACTTGTAAAATCTCACGCCCTTCGCCTACATGGCTGCAATAAGACAACATATTCCTCTTTCGGTCGAAGTCGTGGTTGTCAAAAGCATTGAGACCAAATCTCTTGGGACAATACTCTTCATAAAGATCATGAAACTCGGGAGTGCTCTCTGCTTGAGCTTTCAAGAACTCTAGTATTGTCTCATTGTTGCGCCTAGCCAATGCCGCACAAAGCGGCGTCCCGAAACGTTCGTCTCCCACTTCAGAAAATGCGAGTTTGAAAGGGTGGCACCCGATGAGAGAGCTCATATTCTCTTTCGCCAAGGTATACAAAAGTCGTGGGTCTGAGTAATCGCTCCTGTCTTTATAACTGCTCCTGATTATTATCCAACTGCGTGCCTCAAACTCTTTGAGAAATCCAGCTTGACTAATACCATACTTTTGTGCTGCATTTGCGTGGAACAGGACATTGCGAATGGCGTAGTCTAAAAATGGCAATTTGTCATTTCCCAGTCTGTCAAATGTCGTTCTCGTCATAGATCTCGTCATAGAAGATAGTTCTTGAGGGCAGATAGCGCTACCCATGCTAATCAATTTGAGACAACGCTGTTTTAGCTCTTCATGACTTTGCCCATGAACATTGCCACTTAAATCTGTCCAAATTTCTCCTAGCCCGTTTTTTTAAGAAGAAAATCTTTAACTGACTCATGAATGAATTGAACAGTTTTGCCCAAATAGGTCCTGGACACAATAATGTCGGTAAGTCCAAGAGAAGAATTCAGAACAAATCTCTGAATATCATGTTCTGATATATCTCTGTGAGGCCATGTAGATGAGATATCGGAAGCAACAGCGAAATATAGCTCTTCTGGTCTCAGTGGTCTCTCTACAAATAGAATCCATTGGAGGCACAGGAGTATTTCCCCTGACTATTCGTCAGAGTTTCGCGTCAAGATATTTTTAAATAGTTCGTGCAGGCCTCCAGGAATCTCTTGGTATTTCATTTGTAAATTATGAATATTTCCCCTATCGTATTCTTTGTTGAGGATCATAACAACCAAAATGACCCACATGAAAACACCTCGAGATCTTCTTGGAATATCGGCGTGAATCTGATTGGCGATATGATTTTGTCCAATCTTTAACTCGCTTCTCACATATTTCGCTATATCTTGAGCATGTTCCTTTTGGTTTTCCAGGATGAGGCTTAATCCATTTTGAATTGAGATGTATGGATAGTGCCTGCTTGAAAAACATACCAAGAAGCTAGTCCCTTTGGATGTAGCTAAGTCTTCCAGATATTCAAAAAACGAAATCATGTCTCGGACTTCATCCTCATCACATTCATCCAGAGCGTCAATAAGACACACCACTTTGGATTTCTGTATGTTTTCGATTGCTTGGTGGAATAGAGATTTTAATGGTTCGACATACCATCGATAGCTTTTGTCTTGATCTACTATGAAATCAGACAAGTCTAATTCGTCTTGAAGGGTTGGTAACTGCTGAAGTAGCTGCAGCAATAGTGACCGGTACAGCCCAAGGGTTGATTTCTCTAAACTGCTTCCCCGTGCGTTGAAAAAGAAAGAGATTATAATCCTATCTTGCATTCTTTTCCGGGCAGTCGCGAGGGCAAACTTCATGATTGTTGATTTCCCAGCTCCAGGCTTTCCTTTAATCCAAAGAAATCCGTGATGGTCGTGAATCTTTTCAGGATCCAGCCAGTCAAGATATTCAACACTTCCTAGTAGCCATCTGCATGTATCGGCGTGAGCGGTCTTGATGTTATCATGACGATCTTTGTGCTGATCAAACTTCAGAGAATTGAGTAGCGCCTTTTCCTGGTCTTTTTTTTCTTGGTCTTTGGTAGGAGTTCGTACTTTTTCTTCTCTGATCGCTCTTTGTAGTGTGCTGATGTTATCCAGAGGGATTCGATGGAGAAGATCCTTTGTGTAAGCTGCCGCTGCTATGGCGGCATACCCTTGCCACTGTTTGTTCTTATGCGAATCTGAGTAGTCGCATATTCCTCTAACAACCAAACAGGGTAATTGATTCATGAGGCCGGCAGCTTCCATTTCGAAACATATAATATTCTTCTCCCGTGCGAGCTTATCGCGCAGCACGGCATCTTTCATGAGCGTATTTGCAGAAGCAATTATTCCGTAATGAACAATAGGCGAGCTCTCATCTGCAACTCGCCTAGATCGTATAATCAACTTTGACGGATCATCTCCACAGGAAAGCGAACAATCTGGTGTGTTGATGCCATCGGTAGGATGTATAATCTCGCTACGATAGAGCCTGTCACTGGTAAGATCTGGACGACCAAAATCTTTTCGTAAATTCGGGTTTCTTTTGAGAATGTCGTCAATTATTCCCCCCAACTGGCCATAGCCTTTGCGTTGGTATTGCGATTTAAGCCCATTGACCGCTGCTCGTAAGATCCTTGGCGACTGATCCAATAGTCGCGTTGGTTGAAACGGCTCGCCCTGCACCATTTTGCCAAAGTCGTATTGCAATACGCCGCTCTGCCCATCACGAGAGGTGCTGACCACGATGTCACCCAAGCGAATATCACACCTTTCACTCGGCGCACCGCCACCAATGCCAACCATCAGCCCGACCTTGATATTGGCGAAAGAATGCAGCATGTCCCTTGCGACGAGTGCCGCAGAATCTGTTCCGTAATCTGCATCCGGCAAAACGGCAACAACAACATCGTGATCTCCTATGCGGCCAAATGTGTAGTCGTTATGATCGCCCGGCGCCATATAGTCGGGTCTCCCATACTCCTCATCGAGAGCAGCTTGCGCGGCGGTATATTCGGTGCATATGGCGCAAATCCATCCCACTGTATACTCGTCGCTTCTTTTTTGTAAGCAGATATCGGCCTGTTTGCGTTTTCTAGAGGATGTGCCTTCCATTTTCTCTGGACTAATTTCAAGGACAAAATCTCGTCACTTGCAGCGTTTCCTTTTCGTAGTAAGGGATGCAATTATGACCGCCTTGGCATTTGTGTGTTGGCTGCATATAGTGAATCGATGACTTGATGGGCATTCTGATCGCCTTGATGCAAAGACAATGTCAGGTCGCTGGGCATATGTAGTCATGTCGGGCAGAAAAGATGCTGTTATTCCAGGCACACATGCATACATGTATCAAGTTGGTGCGGCAGTGCCCAGCCTCATAAGGCGTAATTTGGCCCAGAGTGTATCCAATGGGTTTGCAAAAAAACGGGGACTGCGAAATAAATAAACACGTACATTTGAATTACATGAACAGCACTGCAATTGGGACACTTGCATGTGTAGTACTCACTTTTGTGTTTGATCGTGTCTGGATTCCCTCTTTTTTTTTGCAAACCCTTGGTTCCGTAGCTTGGAAAGCCACCGGATTACCTGGGCAGAATGTTACAGTATACATTTGCATATTTTTTTCTCTTATTCCTATTCATACACTCATACACAACTAGATACCTACCTACAGTCGTAATAATAAGCGATAATCCAGTACAAGTAACGTTCCACCTTTTGCCATAAAAACATGATCCCCCTGTAAGCAGAACACCAGTAGCCATACGCTCAACTCCAGACCGTTCCATATTTTATCAACAAAATCCCAAAAGATAATCGCAGCCCCAGGCTGCTGTTATACACGTCATACATCACCCCTCATCTATTGCCCTGACAGCGCTCCTATCGTACACTAAATCGACCATATAGGAATGTGACTTTTCAGCTCAAACTTCTTTCTAAGGCTTAACCCAGGCCATTTTACTCTTAGAGTACTGGCTCTCGCCTTGGTATTGAAAGCCCAACATCTCAGAAGGTCGTAATGGTGAATGCAATTTGACGACATCACGTTCCGAGGGAAATGATGATGGCGCGTTAAGCCCCTTGGGGGCATTCTTGTTGTTGAACGGAAGCACGCCCTTCGACGATACTGCCCGCGGTTTTGGTGTAGCTCGTGGTTTCGACGGTGTGACGCCGCGAATCTCTTTAATAATATCTTGCAGCTCCATTTCATCGCTCGCAATCTGGGCTCTAATAAACTGAGAGCTGCTTCCCGATGACTCTTGAAGTTTCTGCATAACAGGCGTGCGCGGCGTGTAGGAGATATCATCCAGTTTGGGGGCAAATCGAGCATCTGGAACGACGGACGAATCAAGCTGTGCCTCGGGCCCCATATCCAAAAGAGTCTGAATATCTAGACTTTCGCCAGGAGGGATGGCATCGGGATGACTTGGCGTAATGCAGTCCATGTCGACTTCTTTGCGGAGAACGTGATCGATATCAATGGCAGAGAAGAATGCACAAGATTGAGGGAGGTCGTTGATCCCTACTTGCTGTGCAAACATGGCTCGAGTCCAGATGTTTGCTACTTGGAGTGCAAGCGCTGCCTTGTACTTATCTTCACTCTTCACCAGGTATCGAACCTCGTCATGAACTGAAATGGCCAGCCGAGCGTCGAGATTGAATCGACGGATCAAGTAATCCATGGAGACAATTAGTAAGTGGAGATAGTCGACACCCGATGACTGAATAGCCCAGTTGATGCGAGAAGGCAAGTAACCGCCTTTACTCACAAAGCGGCTCATAAGCGCCTGTGTGATTCCCGCTCCCAGCACCGGCGTCCTGGCCCAATCCTGTTCAGCGAATTCTTCCAATTTATTGAATACAAAAGACTCCGTCCCTCCTCTCCAGAACAGGCGCTTGTTTATCGTCTTTCGATTGGTCTTGATGCCTTTGGTATTGGCATACAGCCTCTGTGCAATCTCCGTGGTCTCAGCCTCAGATAGCTTGGGGTTGAACTGTCGTAGGAGAGTAGCTGCAAACTTGAGCCCAGCTCCATAGATGCGTCCGTAGTTGAAGATTTTAGCTTGGTTTCTAGAGATGCCCAAAATCGACGCTGTCCGTGAATGTAAGTCCGTGCCTGCGGCCTTGGTACCCTCGAGAGTCATGAAACCAATGGCATTCCCGCCGTGGATTTTGAAAGTCGCATCGCCTACTAGACTTGCAATCCAAAGCTCTTCTGAGTCGACATCGGCACCGACAAAGCAGTAGCCAGCGGGAGCCTTGACCATGGATTTCAACTCAGACCCAACACGGTTCTTCTTGGCATTGCTTGCTGTCAGCCAAGTATTCTCGACCGCTCGCCGGGTAATGGTACCCATGGGGACAATTTGAGGTAAAATAAAGCCCTGGGTGTTCTCTCCATCCTTCTTGGCCACCATCCCCTCTGCAGTCTCGGGTAAATCCTTCTCATAGACAACCATTTGCGACATAATCCTATCACGCGCACTCATCCAGTATGAGCATGATGCATTCATTTCCAGCGCTTCCTTGGCATATTCATACTCTGACGAAAGGGTGCCATTTTCAAAGTAATTCAGGTACCCTTTCGCCATGGGATTGGCGCAGCGAGCAGTAGGGCCATCTTTGTGTGGAAGCTTAAAGTAAGAGTGTTTGTAATCGTCGCGCAAATCCGGGTCAGAGTCATCAAAGAGGCATTCTGACATGAGCTTCGCAGTGTAAGTGGACACGGCATCCGGATCAACTCGAAATACCCAGCCATACTGGTGAGACCAGAATAACGGATGCCCATCCCAAGCCAGCTTCAATAATAAAGGCGCAATGCGAGTCCGTATTGATAGGTTAATAGGGGCGTCGTTTGTGGCAAAGAGATCTTTGTACCATTTCGGCATGCCCGGCTTCTTTTGCCTTGCAGCTGGCCTCGGCGGATCAGCTTTTCGTTTTCCCTTGACCATTCTGATCTCTTGGCCGGACCAATCTAGCTGGTTCATCCAGGGGTCGTTTTGCCAGATCTCAGGGTAATCTTTTATTTCCAAAGCCTTCTCTGCCAATGCCACTAATCTCTCATGAACCGACGCAGACAATTTCTGGTATGTGGCTTCCGCATTGGCAATGTATGAATCCCAGGTATCATTTACCGGTAGAATGACAGAAGACAGGTGCCGTAGAGCTGCAAAGCTAACTGGATGCGGGCAAACTTCCAAGAAGTTGGGGAGGATAGCTTGATACACCCTGTGAGTAACCGATACATCCGCAGCGCAGTATTCGAGAAGTTGGTCCAATTTCTCCAGCACACCGTCGCGGTCCAGCTCGCCAAAATCATCCCGTATTTTTTTATCAATGGTGACATTAAGATGAAACTTGGCCACATCTCGAAGAGAGTTGATTGAGCTCTTCTCTACCCACAACTCCTCTTCTTCGTGCACACTTGAGTTGCTCAAAAGCTCAACCATGCCGTGATCAACAGTTTTGCTCGCTATCCTCTCTCTAGTTTCTCGATTCTTCTTTGCTTTCATCCAGGTCGGGCGTTGTTGTGAGCACATGCCATTGACGGCAACATGCAAGGACATGGTATCGAGAAATCCGGTCCTGGTCTGCTTCAAATTGTATTCTTCCAATATTCTTGCCCTGTCATAGCCAACATTGTGCCCAACAACGATGCGATCGGTGGTCGGATCCCCCAATGGTATCAAGTGCTTGTCCTCGGTCGACTCGCCCAACAGCCAGGGAGATAACCAAGAATACCAGGCCGTAGGACTGACTGCGCAAGCCATTACTGCATACGGACTTTCTTTCCACATGACCTCTGTGTCAAAGGACAGCATCTCTTCATTAGGCGCCTCTACTGACTCTGTCCGGCCATCAGGATAGTATTTTGTCCACCCGCTTTGTCGCATCCATCTTTTCGGCCTCAGGGGGACATTTGCGCAAGCGAATTGCTTGGCGTACTGCAAATGCGAACCAGCGCAATCGATTCCAAGCTTATAGAAGTGTTCGTCAAGGGTGTCACCGTGAAGTTTGGGCAGGTCGAAGGCAATGGGGCCGGAAGCATCTGTATTCTTGCCATAGAGCTCATGGCGCTTCAAATGATCCACGGACAATCTGACTAGGTCTTCGGGCGGAGGGTTGGAGCCGTTTGGGAATATCTGAGGGAAGATGTATTCGCTGAGTTGCTGTACACCAACTTCGTTGTATCGCGACGTGGAAGGCACTGGTGTTGCGCCGTTAGTTACCAATCTCGATTGCAAACAGTGGCGCAAAGAGGCTTACAAGACAGCGATGTTGAATTTTTCGACTCAGACTCCTGGGTGAAAGTTGCGAGCCATCGCGACGGTGCTCTTCTCCAAACACTCTGGCATCCTCGGTGGCGAGCAAGCCGAACGAAGCTTGCGATCGGAGCTCGCTGGAGCTGGCCAGCGGCAGAGTAAAGAGCTCTCATAAGCGTTGGCGAGACATCAAAAAGGGGCGACTGTGCACCAACGGGCCTCTACAGACGGAGATGCGATGAAAAGAAGGGGAAAATCAAGTTGCGATAGAGCCGCGAACGTTGCGACCAAAGTCCATGAAGCGATTCACGAGGAAAACTTTCATGCTTCCCAGGCGACGGAAGGGAATTTTAGTGGAGTGGGTCGCATGCTCTACAAGGGTGAGCTTATCAACTTTAGTGGATGCGGAGATGGCAAAAGTGACGTTTTGGGGGGCCATGTGTAGAGGCTCACGCACTGCAGAGGGAGAGAATTAGTGGCTTGATTTCAATTATATAAATCTTTTTGATTGCTCTTTGGAAGACGGTATCGCAGACACAGACAGGTCCAGATATCGGCCAGATCTAAAAAGTTACAGCCGCGCAGATGCAGCAGACAGGCATTAGAGCTGCCCCTCACTCAGCCAACATTGATCTGCCGGCTTCTGCTACGCCCCGCCATTGGTCCAAAGTCCCAATTTGGAAATGGAGGATGGAAGCCATCTTCGAGTCTTTCCGCAGCCAGGCACCGCAAGGCCGGTGGTCCAAGTATGGAGTACAAGCCGCCTAACAATCAGTAGTAGTAAAATGGCGGTAGATATGCGAGTATTTACTAGTAGATGTGTAACATCCAGCCTTGGTGAGATCTAGGAGCATATGAGGGTCAACTTTGTAAAACAAAAAGGTACCTATTCCCGCTTCATCAATCACAAATAGCTGCATTCTAGCCGATTAAAAGCTGCATCATGAAATTACACAATATAGCCATCGTTTTACCAAACCTGGTAGGTAGGTAGCTACGGTTACCAATACACGGCGGATAATACTGGCACTGATCCTGCCAAACCTTTCTGCAAAATAGCCGTACAGTTTAGAGCAACACCAACCCTAGAGTTACTCAATAAGCCAAGCGCAGCCACCCATTCTGTTCCTTCTGTTATTCTTTCCTTCTCTCTATTGTAAAGTTCCATGTTGTTTATACGTGGACAGCATTAGACGCAATTTTTGCCGAGTGTATTCTTTCAAGGGTAGCACAGATGCTTCCTCCCTGGTTCTTGCACAATCTACGTACTATCAATCAGGTACTCACAGCCAACTTTTACGTCGATAAAATAGCCTCGTCTTCCCTCTCTGCTCTCTTCTTTTACTCACCGGCCCTTGTGAATTTTTTTTTCATCCGGCAAAGTCCTTATTCAATTATATCTAGATGGCAAATGCCGCAATGGAGAGGGCTATCTTGACGACGCAAGAGATACCGTGTGTCGAATGCGTGTTTCGTCTTACTTCGAAGCCGCCGAGACAGCATTTGCCCTGCCAAACTCAACATACCGGTACTCCCGTGGCCATATCTATACGTTAACTAATATTGGCATTGACAAGTCGGTTTAGATTATTTACTTTCCGGCTGCGTCAAGTGTACCCTTGAGAAGCAAACCTGCCATCTGGTATACTGATCTTCCCTTCTTCTCTCAAATTTTGATTAGGCCCGGTCTAAGCGATTATTCAGCTACCCATTCGTGCGATTAGTCTAGGCATAGAGTTGCAGGAGGCTTGCGTAAGACGTCATAAACATGAAGAGGTAGATCGTCCCATAACCTGAAGAGCCCGGTTGATTGACTGACTGACCTACAAACTGGGTCAGGTCGAAAATTTTGAGAGCCTTGGCGAGAAGACGTTACAGGCTATCGTTCAACCTCCGCAGCAAACATACATTAATGGTGACTCGGCAGCTCTGACTAATGGCCAATTACCAGTGAGCATTATACAAGCATTAATCTGTAAGCACAATGGTTCTAAGCGTATACCTATACAATAGGTGTCTGGTCAACCGCAAGCGGGCCCTTGGGACGCGCAATTTCTACGGCGACGGCAGCGGTATGAAGTCGGTGCTCACTGGCCAAGAATTGAGCGTAAACCAGTCGATGACACTCAGCCAGAAGGTGAAACGGTCAAGGCCAAAAGAGACATCCTGGGATCTCAAACGGAAAATTTAGGAGCCCAACTAGCACAGATCAAAGCTCGAGTACAGAATCAGGGCAGAACAGGTTTTCAATAAACGCCGCCAAGATGCTGCCGAGACTCGCTCTATCATAATAAACGTCTCTTGACTTCGGGTTCGCCGGTAATGGAGATATGACTCGTTTCATTTCTGCCGCGTCGGGATGATGAGAATCCCTTGCGCCCCTTTAATAGTCTGACTGGAGCAACCTCGATTGAGTAAAAGATACTACATGATGATACTTTGCATGCAGAGCAAGTGGAACACTCCCCGTTTATGAGCTAAATGACTCACGGGGGGGTACTTGAAAGGGTTAGATTTTCTCTGTGGCCATGGTCTGTTGATTGACATGGTCCGGGGCGGGATTCACAAACTGGATGGTTGATACGGCTACCCCCTTTCTGCTTTACCTTGGCACAAGTATGTTAAGGACTTGCAACCATCATCAACTAATGGTATTCATTGCTTTGAGTATAGATGGATGCGAAATTGAGGGCGATGTTTGATTTTAGGCAGCTGAATTAGATGGTGTTTTGAAAAAAGGGGGGGATAGGCAGCAACATTGCGGAAAAACTGACGATGGGATAGACTTTAAAAATTCGGGAAAAAGAGAGAAAAATCAAATTATTGCTCGAGATTTGCCGTGCTTGCGTATTAGGTAGGCGTATCCAGCCCCTGAGCGAGCCTACATTTTCAGTCATGAGATGGAACACTGGCGGTGGCGACGCTGTACACCCACCAAACTCATTAGCGAAGGCATGACTGGCAAAAACGGGATTCAAAGCTTCATCCCGATACTACTTTTCCACAATTGCGACTCCTTTCATGTCTCGTTTACCCCGTTTCTAAATTAAACATTCGTGGTTCTTGGGCGAGATGGTTGGGAGTTGAAGGGGTGACTTTGGGCATCCACACATGGCGGAATACCGCCCTTGGTTCTACGCTCGTGTCCAAGCAAATTACAGTGGATATAGAAAAAGATGAAAGGAAAAAAAAGGGATTCTGGTGTTTATGAGACGAAAAAAAGGAAAGATGGATGATTTCGCCCGGGCTCGAACCGGGGACCTTTTCGGTGGTGTCAACAGATGTTAACGAAATGTCATGACCAACTAGACCACGAAACCATTTGATATTCCTGATTGGATGTTTCTGCCGGGCGTTGTGAGCATTCATGAAAGCTAGCATTTGCCGATGTTAGGCATCTTCTTCAAAAAGACTCTACGATGCAGTGTTTCTAACTGCTAGCTGGGATGGTTGCTCAACTTGTGCTATCACAACGTCACGCCATCAATACAGCTTTACGGCAGCGAAGGCCGGAGGTAGCGGGGTGTTGACAGCCCGGATGGGGCCGTACAAGACGACCACCGGCAATAACTACGCGCGGAAGAAGACTGGAGGCTACTGTCGGGCGTCGTACGTAGCAGCACTAAGATGGGTGTGGCTGAAGTATCGAGCAAATTCATTTGATAGCCTGAACTGACTGGACTTACTTTCACGGGTTGATGCCTGATCTGAGTGCCTGGCAGGGGATATCCATATTTCAGAAAAGAGAAAGAATAGGCACAGTGAAATGGAATTGCTGAAACGTTAACCTGGAGCCTGATGTCCAATTTGCTGTGTTCTGTACGACCCTTCTGAAACGGATTTCATTTTGGTTGTTGTGCTGGCCGAATCAAATAAAGCCGAGATAGAGATACGTTGGATGACGAGCTATTGCCACTTACGAACATCCTCCATTGCCCGTATGACACATCAGCCTTGCCCGCAAATCCTCGACTGTCGGACTGTAGGAGGACTCCGTCCGAAGGAATGATCCATGGCGCTGATACACGGGAGATGCAATCTAAGCTCCATCCTTGATAGCGCATGGCTATCGCCAGATTGCCTTTCTGCAGCGGTCTTTGTACACGCCCAAGTAGCTCTACTTGCAGCGCTCGATGCTCCATACAGCCATTGAATGCTAGCATTTGGCGCTAGGTGCAAGCAGCTTGTCCGTGCTCTTAATGTCGGGATTCAAAAGCTTGGGGTGCTAGGCCCGCGGGATTCGGTAACCGGAATTGCGAGGCTCGATAAACAACAGCGTTGCAGCAACAATGAGCTGCATCGTAGCAATGGTTTGAATCTCGAAGCTTTAAGCATTGATTAGTTGATTGAGCTCGAGCTAATTCGATAAATGGCAGTTTTTGCTGACGAGGAACACCTAAATTTAGATTGGAATAGTAAATGCATATATCCTTGACAGTTGCAGGTTAGCTGCGCATCATGGAGTAGCTCACCGATGCCATTCACTACATCAACTTTACTCAGCCTTACAGATGACGTGAATTGCTTCATCTGCGTATCAATACGCTTTGCGCCAGACAACAGCACTCCTATTCTACTGCTAAGCGGTAAGGAAAGGGATGAGGGGTGATTATCCCTACGTAAAACCGCCAATCGCTTCTTTGCTTTGGGCGGTCTGGAGTTCGGGTATCTTCTTCAATGCGAGGGCTATACAAGCGAACTTTAACTTTTATCCTTCAAAATCCAGAGTCAGCTGGCATCGCCCCGTAAAAGGCAGATGCTTTTGGCAGAAAATCAAATTGTCAGCTGGATGTAAAATAATGGAATGTTTATACCGTATAACAGGTACTGTAGATGTGCCATACTGGAAACTGTTTGCGGCGGCGTCAATTACATAAGATGCTAAATAATTAAGGAGGGCCTTCTGCAAAAATAGGACGCGGGGCCAGTAGATTCCAGCTGGGGTCCCACGCGTAAGCCGTCGAATGGAAGGCCGATTTGGGACCAAACATGGTTCGAGAAGTGACCACCCCGGCCTGCTCGTGGCTGGAGGCTACAATCGTGATGCCTTCGGGATTCGGGCTCGGGTTGTGACCCGAAATCTTGTAAATCAGGAGTCATAGCGCTCCATACTTTGGAGACGCTGGTGCTATCGTTGCCACCGGTAAATGAGTCAATGATGAAAGACAAAGAC